AAGTTGCGTTAGAGGCGATTTGGAGCTGATGAGCATTACTATAGGGCGTTACTGTTAGCACTGGCTTTGATTATACTGTTGTGAGAGTACTTCAATGTGCTAACAAGGCGGACGTCTTTTGAAAGTAGGGGCGCAACTACTTACTGGTCGGGGTCGGTATAGTCAATAAATTTGGAAATCTAAAAGGAAGTTAATAATCAGAGGTAATCAAATGTAAGGGTGGTTTCTTTGCTAACTTACTCGTACTATTCTTTGTTATTGACACGTCCGGATTTGGAACAAGAAACGGAGTTTTTTTTGTTTGCAACAACACTTAAGCGCCCTTACTTCGAATTCGATCCTAACTTCTACAACAATTCTGAGATAACGCGTCTAGCAACATTGGTAAGTTCAATCTTCTTTACATTTGATTTAACCCTACAGTAACGCTGTAGAGTAACGGTATTGTGTTTATTTTACTAATATACAAGTTCTAGCAATTTTTCCTTCTGTCACCAACCTTTGTAAGTTCACCCCTTTTGTTCTTTGGGCGTTACAACTACAGTAACGCCCAGCAGTAACGCCAAATTGCTACAATATGGCAAATTAACATGTTTTAGATATCGCTCTCGCTCACATCTGTACCATGGCTCGCACCAAGCAAAAGCCTGAGCGCCACGGTAAGTATTCCACCCTACCCTACAAGCAATACAAGGTTACTAACTCAACAAACAGTCAATATTCACAAGACTGCGCGCCGAGCCCGCCAAGAAAAGATCTGGAGCTACAATGCCCAGAAAAGGAACTGGGAGCGGGATCACCCTGGCTCCAACTTCCCACAACAAGCCCCTCGCCCTGTCCCTCCTTTGAGCAAGGCTTCTGTCAACAGTATGCTATTCTTTTCTAATAGAATATTGTTCACACTACTAACTTATATGAAAGAACGGATCGTCGCCGAGATCCGACACTACCAGAAGTCGGCCGCCCTCATCCTCCCCAAACTCCCATTCCAGCGTCTTGTTCGTGAAGTCGCGCAAAGCTTCATGTCAGACCTCCGCTTCCAGTCTACTGCCATCTGTGCCCTCCAAGAGGCCGCTGAGGCCCACCTTGTGTCATACTTCGAAGGTAAGCTGTCTCTATGAACACCTACAAAAACTATACTAATAGTGCGAAGGGGCCAACATGTGCGCCATCCACGCCAAGCGTATCACCATCCAGAACAAGGATATGCAGCTTGTGTCCTGGTTCGCCAATTCTCGCAGCATTAGATAAATTAGTGTGTTCTTGTATAAATAGTCAATTGATGATTTCACAACCTGTCTTTAGTATTTCAGTCGTGACAGTAACGGTATACAGTAACGCTTAATTACATAATTTATGATGAAACTGAAGTTCATTATACTATAACTTAAATATAAAAATATAAAATAATAACGTTAACGTACATGTATAGCGAAAGCGCCAAACAAGCGAAAGCGCCAAAATGATGCGGTGACCAAACCCCCCAACTAAATGTTAAATTCCTCAACAACAAAACATGCCCCATAAAAACGATGAAAGCCAATTAGTGCTAGCTATCCAGGCTATGCAAAGCGACCCAAAGTTACGCCTTCGAGTTGCTGCTAGGATCTATTCTGTGGACCACCGCAAGCTAGGTCGTCGTCTAGAAGGTGTACCTTCACGACGCGATATCCAAGCCAACTCACAGAAATTAACTAACCTAGAGGAGTCCGTCCTTGTTCAGTATATACTCGACCTAGCTGCCAAAGGGTTTCCTCCTCGGCTGTCTGTTGTTGAAGATATGGCAAGTCGACTACTTGCAACACGCGACGCGTCACGCGTTGGGTCGCGTTGGGCTTCAAACTTTGTTAAGCGGCGTGTAGAGCTCCAGACACGCTTTCAGCGCAAATACGACTACCAGAGGGCTAAGTGCGAAGATCCAGAAGTTATTAATGGCTGGTTTGAGCTTGTGCGTAACACAATTGCGAAATATGGTATCGATGAAGCAGATATCTACAACTTTGATGAGACTGGGTTTATGATGGGCGTTATCTCAACTGCTATGGTTGTAACAAGCTCAGACGGGCGGGCAAAAGCAAAGAAGGTACAGCCTGGTAATCGGGAATGGGTTACAGTAATCCAAGGCGTTAGTTCTCAAGGTTGAGCAGTACCACCATTTATCATTGTTGCAGGCAAAAACCACCTTACATCTTGGTATGAGAATAGTGGATTTTCAAGCGATTGGGTGATTTCTGTTACTGAAAATGGCTGGACTACAAACGAGAGAGGCATGGATTGGATTCAGCACTTTGAGAAGCATACAAAGGCCCGGAGTGTTGGTGGTTATCGCTTGTTAGTCCTTGATGGTCATGAGAGCCACCACTCAGATGAGTTTGAGGAGTACTGCAAGGAACACAACATTATTACGCTTTGTATGCCTGCTCACTCTTCTCATCTACTCCAGCCACTTGATGTTGGCTGTTTCGGCCCGTTAAAGCAGGCCTATGGTCGGCAAATTGAAGGTATGATGCAGTCTCATATTTCTCATATTACAAAGGATGACTTCTTTCCTGCCTTCCACGCTGCATTTAACACTACAATGACGGAAAGTAACATTCGAGGCGGGTTCCGAGGGGCAGGGCTTCTTCCATTTGACCCTGAGATAGTGATATCTACACTTGATCTTAAGTTAAGGACACCAACGCCTCCAAGCTCCCGCCCAGGTACTGCTCAACCTTGGGTTTCTCAGACACCAAACAACCCAATTGAAGCTATGTCACAGTCTACATTTATTAAAACTCGGATTTCACGCCATCAAAATAGCTCTCCAACCTCAATCTATGCAGCTGTTGACCAGTTTACAAAGGGTGCATCGCAAATAATGCATCAATTAGCACTGCTAAAGGGAGAGAACCAAAACCTACGACAGGCAAATGAAGTACTAAGCAAGCGCCGGAGAGCTAGGAAAACACGACTACAGCAAGGAGGATCACTTAGTCAACAAGGGGCGCAAGAGCTACAGGATGAGAGGGATGTTGTGCAGCAGGTAGAGCAGGAAATAAGGGCAAGCCGTGGTCGGAAGCCAAGGGAAGAAACCCGTGCCCGTCGCTGTGGCAAGTGTGGTGAGACTGGGCACAATGCGCGCACGTGTCAGATTGTAATAGACACCTCTGAGGAAGAGGACTCCGAGTAGTTTCAATTGATTTCTAATGTTGTGGTAGATTTATCGCAATGTTTGTCGTGAGGGTAGATAATTTTGGCGCTTTCGCTTGTTTGGCGCTTTCGCTATACATGTACGTTAAGTCATAACTAATTGACTACTCTATGATCGATTTTGATTGAATAATATGATATCACTTGTAAATATAATATCACGTGTAAATATAATCACGTGTAATTATTTAACAGTGTGTAAATGGAACTATTATAGTTATACTATTTTCAACTTATACCTCAAAATGCATGTACAGTAACACTTAATAGTAACGTTATTAATATTCGATTGCACTTAAAGCTATTCCTAATAACATATCATGTGATGACATGTGGTGGCCCCCACTTATAATGTAAAAGACTGGACTGGACCGGACTATTATCAGTCCGGTCTTTTAAAGGGACCTCAACTTTAGCAAACAGTCTACACTCTAAAAAAAAGACTAGAATGTTATCAGTCCGGTCTTTTTGTCTCACGGTCCAGTCCTAAAAAAAAAGACTGGACCGTAAAACAGTCCTCACTCAACATTAAAAGACCGGACCGGACCGGACCGTGGCCAGTCTACTCTGGATCCAGCACTCGGCGAAAATTCAATCAACATTTTAGACTTCAGCAAATTTCATCAGTTTTCCTCTTCAAGGACAGCTGTTTGGACAGCTGTTTGTTGGCCTGGTCTGTCGCTTGAATACCATGCTCATTTCCACTCGCTGGCCCGGAGAGAAGCAGAGGTCCCACTCCATTACAAGATTGACATCTTTCTTCGACAAACTCTTCCCTTTCAATCATATTCGATGCATGGCCCACTTTTTTGAAGCTGATCTTGAGAATCGAGATCAGAGATTTCAGCACGATGACTTGCCTCAGGAGAGCGCACAAACTCCAAATGAAATGGACAACTCTGAGGGAACTGACATAACCTTAGTCGTCATTAAGATCAGCTTTTTTCCCTGCTCAATTATACTTTTTCAATAGTTAGCGTAAATTCCCTTCGATATAAAGACGAAAAGGATTGTACCTCTGGAGGTTTTCGGCTATGCTTGATAGACGCTGCAAACACCCAAAATATGAATCCTGAACTTTGCCAGCGAGACTTCGGGCTTCTTGATTGAGAGGTTTCTCGTGTAGAGATGCCGAAGCCCTGTTCAGAAGAAATTAGCCATGGGTCCATTTCTGGAAACTTATTCGTACATTTGCATCGCCATAAGCAGCAGTTGGATAGACTCTGTGTGTCCAACTAAATCGGCCTTGAACTTGGCCACATTCTCCTTTTTACAAACCGCCCATTGTATTTTTATCCAGCCATCCTTCAGTCTCAAACTAGAACTCCCAGTGAGTATCGAGAACTATACTGTCTCGAAACGGCTCTCATTAGCGTGAAAAGACTAGAAGTCGATCCAGCACACCATGCGAAATAAGCTCGGCATGGTGTGCTCGCGCAGGGCGTCGATGACTGCGACAAGCTCAAGAGCTGCGATGAAATCGACAGCTAAGAACCCAAAGCTCATCGTTATCTCAGCGGGTATCGTACTAGAGTCATCAAGTTGTCAGTGTCGGCGTCACTGGAAGCGGTTTGGAGATTGATCTCGAGGAGGCTGGGAAGCGCCGACTGTGTTATGCATTGATTGATTGGCTCAAGCCACGCAGTAGGGGTGGCTATGCTGTTGTCGAATAGTATTGGGTACTCCAGAGTATTAAATAAGTAGTTGCTTTAAGTAGCGTACAGCTGTATGCAAACGCAGTCACAGGCAGCAGCTAAATCGCTACCATGCAGTGTGTAGTAGTCATAAATGTTTAGTTCGTGGATTGGGTAAATAATAATCGCTGCCTTGTATTTGGTATGATATTGTCCAAAAGATCAGATACTAGAGCCCTGAAGAAATGATATATATGCATGCTCCCCCACGCCATTCAATGTGTATAATGATATATAAAACGCCGTTCCAATGCCGCCAAACTAAATCACCAAATGCGCTTAGCAACCATTTCGTATCTCGTGACCTTGTCAAAATCCGTCTGCTGCTTCGCCTGTTCAGCCCATTTCTTTTCCCTCTCCTTCAGTTGTTTGGCGGCCTCCGGGTCATCCTCATATATGATATTCCTCTTCTCCTCCCCCAACTCCACCATACCGAGTCCGCCCAACCGCTTTCCGTTCGTGTCCAGGCCCATATTCTCGCGTATACTCATGGACTCGTAGCGGCGGCGAGAATACTGGAGTAGAAGCATGCCGAGGACAAGCTTGCAGCTTAAAAGCGCGAGGAAGGCTCCGAGGAAGAAAGCCGCCATGGCTATAAATGAAATAATGTCATCAGAGTCGAAGAGCTGCCACGTTCGTTCCACAGATGCGCCCGTGACATATGTCGAGCGGCCTAGAGCTTTGCGAATAAGTATATCAAGATGCTCCATTGCTGCTGTTGTTGCAGGTGAGGCAGTCGCCTCGGATTCAAGAGATATGGAGGTCGCGGTAGATGCTAGAGGCGGCGGGAAATGAGTGGCGACGAACATGTGGTACGTTTGAACAGATGCGCGGATAAAGAGGCAAGACAGTGGGATAACTGGAAGGCCAAGCCGTTTCGTGAGGTTTTGGTTGACGAATGCGTTGGTATAGTAGTCCTTTGAGAGGATGTCAAGGAACTTCTTGTAGATAACAGGCTTGACATTGTTGAATTTTCCGACATAGCAGTGTTTGATCCAGTCGACCAGAACCTCACTGCCGAGAACGAGAAGTAACGGCGAGAGGACCTCACCAGACCAACTCGGGATGATCTTAAAACTGTTTGGGATAATGGAACTGCGGAGGGGAATCGTGGCGTTTCGCAGAGTGTCGGCAGCTCCGCTGGCGGACTGTGGATTACTGAGGATGCTGAGCCCGCCAACCTCGACAATGTTTCGAAGTCCGATAATGATAAGCATCAGCCATAGCTGAAAGCGCTCTACAACGTCGGCACAAAAAAGCTGAAAGAGGTTTTGCTTCTCAACTCGCTTGAAGACTGTCCCTTTGATTTCCACAAATTGGTTGCTGAGAAGCAGTGTGAATAGAGAGTTGGAGTAGGAATTCACGGCCACGTTTAGGGTGATGACTTGGTAGAACAGTGCTGTGGCATGTATAACATTGTACACCAACGTCAAGACGAACATGCCCAGCGGCTGAAGAAGCTTGGATCGACCATCCAATCCCCGCTCCAATGTCTCATCACATACCAGACATTCAAGGATATCTTGCCCAACGGTAGCGAGTAGTCGGTCGCCAACCTGCAGATATTTAGTTCAACCCACGACCATATGATTCGAATAGCTTACCTCCAAAACGTTGTATATAACATACAATTTCATAGCTGCCTGCCCTCTGATGCTATGATACATGCGGCTAGCATCTAGTTGCATCAAAATGATACAGCTAAAGATAATAACCAGGCCTTGAAGAATATCCGCCTTATGATATGGCGATAATGTCGATGGAACAGATCTGGTTCTTTTGTGCCTTCGGCCCCATTCAAGCTTCGTCCTTCTCTCTCCAGAGCGACGGCCTTCCGTCTCCATGCCACTGGCGCCGCTATTATCAGAAAACCTCCCACTTTCACGAGGCCTTGGCGACAATACCTGTGACTGAACGCCGTCCTGACCGCTCTGAACCGGAGGCGGGTGAGGGATATCAGCGCTGGAGCTGTAGCCTCTGCGGCGATGCCATAGCCGCGGTGATCCATGATAAATAAACAGCACCACGAAGCGCACCTCTGCCGCCAGCGATTTGGCCCACCAAGATACCAAAATACCGATAGCTTTTATAAAACGTAGAGGAAGAATTGTGAAGGTATACAGCCAAGCATCAAGACATGCCAAGGTTCCAAATAGAAGGGCAGGTTCTAAATACAAAGGTACCAGTAGAAAGTTCAAGAGCCGTTCAAACTTAACCTTTGCTGACTCGTAGGGGTATTCCTGGCCACGAGACCGATGTATATATAACGGCGATGGCCGCGATGACGCTAGTTCCAATTCAAGGTATGTACTCAACAGTGGAGGAAGAGGGATCTCTTCGCTGGTCTGTGGTAGCGCGGGCTCGGAGGGTAACGATGTTACTCGTGAGCGTCCATTGCTAGCCGACAACTTGACAGAGGTATTTGGATCAAACCCATCGGATCCCCGCATTGAAGGGGGTTGTCTTCGCACCGGTGACATATTCCTCGAGCTTCTTTCTTGCCAGTTTTCACGGCGGCCAACCTGCGGACTAGAAATCACGCGGGAATTTGTGCCAGGGCGTTGGCTCCCAGACGAGAATCCCGATGTGCGAGCAGGTGGCGATCGGATTTGTTTTGACTCGAAATCTTCGAATGTGGGTGGATTCTGGAGGGTCGTCCCTCTCTTTCTAGAATCCGGTTGCATAGAGGCTGGTAAAGGAAGCGAGTCAGGCTGAGATATCAAGCTCTCAATTTCGGAGGATGACAGTTTGCGGACTCCCTCATTAGGCACATCGTTGGCCGTGGAGGCTTCTCTTTGTTTCTTGACCGTTTCGCCCTGGGCTTTGGACAGTTTTGAACTCCGCGATGCCCCAGCATCTGCAACTGGTGGGATAGGAGCTTTTAAATAAGAATCATCCTTCCATACATTATGTAGAGCGGGCGTCGGTAAGCGGCCGACGATATTGTTGCTTCGCTCTTTGCCGAAATCTCCATCGAATTCGGTCTCCGGTGTCTCTGGCGAAATGAGGTACGGCGACGTGCTTCTTGGTGACGGAGAAGGTGACGGCGAAGGAAGCTGGTGACCATCTAGAGCTTGGTCGCGCTGTTGGGGATTCGATGTGAGGTATTCCCCTCTTAAGTCGTTATTTCGAGCGGTGGTTTCGGCATGATTCATCGATTCCATCAACCGGCTTAATTCTTCCCCGCAGTCTGTGGCTGGGATATTAACAGGCATGGCGCTCTATAAGCGATAAACAATAGGTGGCCACATCTATGGCCCTTAAGCAAGGGATATAATGATACAGGCGTGTTGCGTTGAACGTAGGTCGTGGACGAGGCTGAGTGATGTTGATGATGAAATGTGGTGTCTGGTGGCACCTCCACTTTGTAGACGGTAGCCTCGCCTCGCTCGGCCCCCCAATATTAAAGCTAGAACGGCGCAACGAAGGTAACAAAACTATAAAATATTATGAGAGGTGCTATCCATTATTGAGAACTTATATTTAAATTCAGCAAGCCAGAATCAAGTGACTCTCTTTTTAAAGAGTGATCCGGCTAGATTTATTTAATTCATTATTCCTATCATATCTGTCTATGAAGAGGATATACGTGACAGGCATTTGGCTTGTCTCACCGCGAACAGTTCCCATATTCATATTCATTCATCCCTTCCTCTTATTCGCTGTCTGAAATGATAATCGGCTCCTTGTATGCCCAGCCGTCATCCGGTTTGATATCTTTCATTTCAACATCATCATCGAACCTCTCAAACTCATCACCATCGACAGGATCTACAGTTGGGAACATTTCTTCGCCATTTGGTGCTTTATCGGACTCCCATTGGGCGTAGAGAGCATTAAAAAGCTCTTTTCCAAGAGCCCTTCCGTGTTGCAGAGAGACAGCATTGCCGATCTGCTTGTACATGGCACTTGGAGACTGGGCGTTGGGATCCCAAGTAAACGTGTCTAAAAACCCTTGGGCCCTGGCAAACTCTCTGACCGTAAGAATTCGGCGTTGGGTTGGATGCAAGATCTGCAATAATTATATTAGTCCGCTGAAAGTACGGGATCAACAAGTGAAGAATTGCATTTACCTTGCCATTCTCGCCGCCTGGGTCAACGTTTGTCAAGCAAGTCTGAAATTGCTCTTTAAAGTCCAACCGATGGTAACGATTCGGATAGAAGTTACTCTTTGAAGCTCTTTGATTGCGCAAGCATGCCATATCGTGCTCGAGGGGCAAATCGTTATGGTTTGCTTGTGGTCTCATTGGAATGCGGGCAAGCCGCAGCATTGTCTGAGAGCCCCATTGGCGAGTAACATGGTTCTTGACAATATTCCCCTTGACATAACGGCGTACTTCTCGTTGAAATTCTGTAATCGGTCCATAGGCATACAAAGAACAGTTGTCCCCAACTGGCGCCTTCCCACCCAAAGGCACATCAACTGTTGGTATCCCTAATTCCCGTTGGCGTCGAGCTTGACGGTCTTCTCCGGGCACCTTAATTCTCCAATCAAACGCTGGCAAGTCGGAAATTGCATCTCCAACTGTGACTGGATTATGAGGTGCAGTACTTCCCATGGTGAACGTGTTAGTTGGAGCTGAGAGACCTTTGCAGACATGGGTTGGCTGCGGATATAAGGGCAATTTACGGCCCAATAGGGCTCCCCAAAAAAATACTCGTCGCCGGGATTGGGGCGCGCCATGTTCTGCGGCCTGCAGCATATGAAACTGCGCTGAGTAACCCAGAGATGTAAGTGCTCGGAGAATGAACTTCACACTACCTTGTTGAATACCTCCCTGGACACCGGGGCCGGACTTTTTCTGGGTACTGCCCAGTCGATGTTGTAGTAGGCCACGAACATTCTCCAGCAGAAAGTATTTCGGTCGATAGTGGTCCACAAAGGACAAGAATGTCGTCAGTAATGAATTCTTGATCGAGTTGGCCTTGGGGCATCGGTTGCACCCTGAGAAATCCTGGCAAGGTGGACCACCGTACAAGAAGTCACTGGGAAATGTTAGAAACATCTCCTCTAGCAATAATACATATCGACCTTTTCTAAGTTACTGGTGACTCACATATCGCCACGTTTGGGCATAGGTGGCATCGGCTTTCCTTGGAGGTCTTTCATGACGCCAGTTGCTGTTCCTCGTTCTTCCTGGATAGCTCTCTGTAGCAAGGTGTTCGCATTCTCATTGTATACTTTCATATGTGGAAAGTTTCTCTTGAGAGTTCGACTGGCATCAATATCCCATTCAATTCCATAAAGCGTCTCCACAGCACCACCTTCATGCAGCCCAGAAGAGAGGCCGCCACAACCGGCAAACACATCCATCGCTCGGAGCTTGAGACCAGCTTTTGAGAACGTCTCATGTCGCTTCTCCTCCATTCCAACCATTTCGTTTCCGTCGACGGAATCATGGAAATCCTCGGTATTAAGCGGCTCAAGATCTTCGAGATCAAATGTTCTTCTTGTCGCTGTTCCATCGGAACAATCGGGCTCTCTGCCACTCACATAGAATGTATCTTCCAGGTCCTTATATTTTGCGAGATTGTTGATTCTGCCTGGATGCACTACTTGGCACTTTCCAAGCAGCTTATCGTCTACATCGATCGTTTTCCTCCTATTAGTTAGATACAGTCTGCGACTGTCCCGAATGGCATGTTTTTCGCCACTCTTGAATTCAGTTCGATAGTCGCTGTTGAAGTCATCATACCTTCTGAGTATCTGTACGGTTACATGAATACCTTGTACTGAGTCTCGAAGTTTAGAAGGATCTTTCACAGCCCAATTAAATCCCCCTGTGCATTTGATATGAATGATTTGACCGATCGTATGGGGCTCATCGGACGCCCTTGGGAGCATATAGACACAATCATTGAGCTTGTATTTAATACCGTCGTGTGAGAAGCTGGTTGCCGAGCGGTCTTCGTTGATTGTGCCTGTTACCCTCGTAGAGAGTTCATGTTGTATCTCTTCGCGTCTGGCGCAGCAGAAGCACTGTTGAGAGTTCTCTGTGCCTCCAAACTTGATGTTTTCTTCGTGGAAGCTGGCATCTTCAAATCTTACGGGCGTGGTTTCCTCATCATCATAGAAGAATCGATAGAAATAGCAGTTTGGCTTCTTAAAACGGTCGCTTTCTTCTGAAGGGCCAATTTGAGTGCATCTCTCCACATTTACCTTGCCAACAATTGTGCTCTGTAAGGTTATCAGTGGGATCCATAGACACGTGCCCTCTGAAAAACTCACCATCTCAATATCATCGCAGCGGTCGAGTAGAAATAGCTCTTTTGGGCCGGCAGTTTCATCAAGAAATGTGTCACCTCCGTGAGAAAACCATCGGACATGAGCCATGGGGTCCCCCCTCTTATTGGCGAATATGTTGACAATCCTTGCAAACCAGACTCTTGCAGCTGTCTCTTTAATATTCTGTTTCAGTCTGCCGTTGGCAGTGAGGTGATCCCGATCGTCAATTCCTGCACTGCTTGAGACTTAGCAACCGCTTCGACCTGCCGAGAGGAAGTATATCTTACCGCACCGTAATACAATCCCCAGGAAGGAATCGATCTTTGTCAATGAAAGCAGCTCCGTAAAACTTCTTCGATTGTTTCTTGTCCACCAACTTAACTGGGGGTATCAGCTCGACTTTGTCAGTATAATCCCTCCCGGTCCAGCCCTGTTCCCGTAGCTTGTCTCTATTGACGGTCATATCAATAAGACCACCCAACTTGCCTTTCTGAACGTAGGATTCCACGAGACCTCCTTTCTGATTCAGGGCATCATCTCCATTGCAAACCAGTAGCGTCTTCACATATAATCCGCCAACCAATCTTCCGATCCATCTGGTCACGGTTGTATGCTCGGTGGCTTTGTCTACTCCTGAAGTACGCTGGCGAGGTGCACGAACCCTTGACACTCTTGGCATTCGAACACGAACGAATGGTTCATCATCATCCTCTAAAGAACTGTTCTCTGAAGAATTTTCATCAAGTATAGCAGACTTTCCCTCCCCTCCGTAGTGCTCGCCATGTGAGCTGTCATCGTCGATGACTATCGGGCTTCGAACACGTGGGAGTTCTCCATTCAGATTTTCCGTGCTCTCATTATATCCAACGGTTGCACTACTTGCACTTGGAGCTAAACCGGGGTCGGAATCGAGCGTTGGTGTTGGCAAACGGTTTCGCGAAGGACTCAGGTCATAGCCATTTTTCAGTTCGTATATTTTTCGGAGTGTAACCCTCTCATTCCAGCCAGAATCTTTGAGGATGTTGACCAGCTCATCTGCTATTGATCAGTCACTTATATCATAGACTTTGGGAGTGCCCACATACCAGGCTTTAAGTTTGGATGAATGCTGAAAAACAGCTGAAAACGCTCTCGAATGCCGTCGTCGGTAACTGTCTCCATCCCATCATCGATGGCATCTTCCATCCCATCATCGGCAACATTTTCCATACAATCATCAGTGGCATCTCCCATGCCATCATCAGAGACAGCTTCCATGCCATCATCAAAGACAGCTTCCACGCTATCATCGGCGGCAATCTGCATGCCATCACAGGTGATATACCCCATGGATTTTATGATACAACTTCTCTTATCAAGGACAGCCTCTTCAAAGTCACTCATAGACTCCGCATCTTCCTCGGTGGCAGATTCCATATGTTTTTATGGGGGAGTCTGCTTCACTCTGTCGGGTTTGTCGCTAATCCCAGGGGGCTATTGGTCAACACAAAGTTGAATTGTTCGTTATAGAGACCGTGTGTGTGCGCATCCAAAGAGCGAAATCCGAAATCCGAAAGTCAAAATCCCGCTATCGAAAGGGGGTAGGGTGAAGTTATCCGAAAAGATCCAGCTCTAACAAAGACAGCTGCAGGCCAACAAAACCATAGCAAATATCTAGAACTGCTGCGCAACTATCCGAATTGAATTTGCCTTTTATCAGTATAAAGCGGCCAAACATCGGAGGTAATGTGAGATAAACGTGGATTAAAGGGGATATCAACAAGGGGAGGCTCCAAGCCAGCCTCGGTCCTGAGTGAATTTAGATGCTGGCAACACCGCGTGGGGGGAGGATTAAAAACTAAGCACAATCTTCTCCTCCACATACCGTCACAAGATTCACTTACAAAATTGATTCCAACAAGGAAGGCGGTCTTCCGACGAGACGAAACAAAAAAGAAATCAAATTTTCAGGAATAGACAGGTAAATTGTAGAGAATTGTTATTATCTTTATTCATGTTCCATGTAAGAATGTCAAAGGCCATTCTGGGGTTACGAGCTGGATTATGAGGATATTACAGGCTCAACTAAGCCATACTCGCGGTGTAGTTCATCCCATACATCCTTCGCACCATCATATTCTTCAAGATCCTTCTTGGTATCTTTATACTCCTCGGCTTCTTCAGGTGCAATGTTCACTTGACCCAAGCCCGCCAGGATCCCTTCCACCTTGGTTTTCATACTCTCAATGCCGTTGGTTTCTGCCTTTGACCTCGCTAATTGAGCTTCCATCATTAGTATCAGACTCTCTCGCGCCTGGTGAGGCCTATATTCGTTCAATAAATGGTGGAAGTTTATGAATAGTGTTCGTAAATCTTGAATCTTCTCGGCATATTGTTCAGGGTTGACGCTCATGATGCCCATGAGTTCAAGAAAGTTCAATAGCAAAGATTTGGCAATTCGCTTCAAGATCAACGTGCGATCTGAATGTGATTGTTTATCTGGTCCTGCACTGGAGCCTGATGGTGTGGCAGGAGGAGAGTAGAGTTGTTCGATTCCTTGCTCGGTAAGGGACGGCAGGATATCGTTCAGCTGGTAGAGTATTAGTTTAACAATCCGTATATCATCAAGCAGCAAGCTAGGCATAGGAAACCACATACATTGTAGATGTCTCCAAAGCTCCTGTACGTTCCTTCGGCAGGAGGCTCTGGCGGCTGAAGGTATTGGAGATCGCCTTGCAACTCAGGTTCTTTGGGTGAATCATCCTTTTGGCTTGAGTCGGACTCTCTTCCAGCGCGTAATACGGATACACGGGCGAGATTTTCTTCGGTGAAGTGCTGGTAAAACGGAGGTGGGCTTGGAAAGGCCAATGCCTGGACATTCCCTTGTTGTTGGTCTGCCATTGAGGCAGAACTTGCGGCACAGCCGCTCAGAACCAGGCAAGGTTGTTAATCGAGTTATCCAGCATTTATTTCACCGCGTCATGGTGTATCGTTGGAGCGTTATGCCATAACTCCTGTGGTTGAAGAGTTACGACGCGGTACTTGAGGTGGTGAGGAGGGGCACATACGCGGGATCGGCAGGGAAGGTCAATTTAAAGCTTGGGGTGGAGCAACGCGGCTTTGGTGACAGGGATCGCAGTTCGACCCTGTGGGAACCACCGCCAGAACGACACACGACAACGTTCGTCAGCAGAGAGTCCAACGCCAAACCTCATCGATAAATGCCACCGCGTCACGGTATAAGAGCATAATAACGTCTCATCGGCACCTAAAACCTGTACCAGCTACTTGGATGCTATAAGCGACAATGGTACAATCGAAGGGGAAGGATCGGGCTACCAATGGTCTTACCAGCCAACCAGGCGTGGTCGGGGCGGTTGCCAGATTTTGGCAAAAGACATATGCCCCGGATTATGTTGGCCTGGCAGTCCTTATAGCTGCTTATATTGTGGTATGAACCCGGCCGTGACTCTAAATGGCCTTTGCTGACATGTTGCGTGTGGATGAAGCTCGAGTTCAACACCACGCCATTCCATAGATTATTCGAACTGGGCAACATTGACCTTGCCTACCCTCATGCGGAACATGAGAGGGTTCCCGTCTGTGAGTCTCAGTCTTTAGATTACTCGAATTCTATACCCGTACTGCCCAAAGGTGTTCGTAGGGCGTGTGCGAAGCAACGAGCAAGATGTCAGCAGTTATCCATTTATACGGAGAATCTGAAACTTTCAGAGGCTATTTCAGCACTGCCCCTATGAATACTTCCGAGCCACGCAGGCGCCTTTTAGAGCACTGGCTGACTATAGTTAGCAATGATGTTCCTCTACGGCGGCGGTGTCCCCCTCATAGCAATGGCTCTCTGGCTCGCCATCTCCCGCGCCGGCTTCCACAAGTCCCACGTTACCATACTCTCGTTCTTCATCGGCATGCTGTTAACGGCTGTCATTACCGACCTTATCAAAAATGCTGTCGGCAGGCCAAGACCTGATCTCATTTCCCGCTGCAAAGCGAAGGCGGGCACACCTCTTCATACACTCGTCTCATGGGAAGTTTGTACAGAGAATGACCACCACCGTCTCCATGATGGATGGCGCTCTTTCCCTAGCGGACACTCCAGCTTCTCATTCTCTGGCTTGGGTTTCCTGGCGTTGTTCCTCTCCGGCCAGATGCACGTTTTCCGCCGCGAAGGCGACTTGGCAAGGGGTCTATTGGCATTAGCGCCGCTGATACTCGCAGGCTGGGTTGCAATTTCGCGATGCGAGGACTACCGGCACGACGTGTATGATGTTACTATTGGCAGTGTTTTGGGGATGATTGTTGCTCATTGGAGCTACCGACGGTTCTATCCGCGTCTGAGGAACGTGAATTGCGATTCTCCGTATGCATCGCGGACATCAGTGACCTCTGGGGGCGGGTTTGCGAAGGTCGGAAACGATGAGGAGGCGGCAGTTATGCATGAAGGGACCGGGCCGAGTGCCTTCAATCTCGGTGAGATTGATAGCGGAGACTCGGACTGAAAGGCCGATTCCTCATGGGTTTATGGGCTGATCGAATGAGCTCATCTATTTCGATTTTGCACTTGAGTGAAAAGAGCGGATCATGTATGAATACACTGCGGGGAACTTTAGGGCTATTATGAAGACGGGTGTATACATCTACGGATTATAAGCCACACGGGATGTTTATAAATGGACATAGCATTAGCGCAAATGATGATACGGAGGAAGCATTGAATTGTTCAAAGTTCTTGTCATTTCTCTCGCTCTAGCATAAAAGTACAATAGCCGCTCAGCCAACTTTCGTGATATTCTAGGTGACAACTCTATCGCCGTCGCTGGTATCTTCCTTCGCCAAGTCGTTCTCCTTCAGTAGCGTTTCGATCTCCTCCGCGCTCCATAAATGATGGTATATCTTGCCCTCCTTCGTCTTGCCAACAGTTGCGAACTCGACTGTAAAATATGTTAATTCACTTCATCAGTAATCAAAGCGCGCAAAGGAGACTTACTCTTCTCGCTGCTAAGCTTTGTCGCATCCATCGTCTTGCTAAGCACTTTCACGGCCATCACGCACGCCTCCTTCAGGTTGCAATCCTCCTTGTAATCCTGCTTCAGCAAGCTTTGGGCGCTTGCGTTATTTGCTCCCACACTTGTTGCCTTCCACCCGCCGTAGTTGCCACTGGGGTTGCTCTGGTACAGCTGGAACTGCCTTTGGGGGTCGTAACCTGCGTAAATAAACGAAACACCGAATGGGCGCAGACCACCGTGCTGCGTGTAGCCTTGCTTGAGATCGCATAACCTCCTCACAAGCTGTTCGCATGGGATGTCTTCGTTGTAGGTAAGGAGGTAGCGTTGGGCGGCTTGACGGGCGTAGTTGATGAGGATGTTCGCGTCGGAGACCATGCCTGCTACTGCGCAGATCATGTTGCTATAGAGAGTTTAGAATCCATCCTGCTCAACAGAGTATCTGACCACGTACTCGTTCAAGATGTAGAGCTTCTCAGCTGACGTATCTTGCTCCAGAAGCTTGCTGGTAACCTTCCTCTCAGCCGCCAAAACGATTCCATCGGTTGCTAATATCCCAATCGCCGTTCCCGCGTGTGAAATAGCCTCGAGCGCATATTCGACCTGGTACAGACGCCCTTCGGGCGAGAAGATCGTCGTCTACATCACATTAGATTCAGCCTTCCAAACACGACTACCTTGACGCATGCTTACTCGGGAATCGTATCTTCTCGACATGTTTGGTAATTATTCGAAAGTTCACTGAAATTGAAGACGGGTATCAAGACCGGGGAAGTGAAAGTTCAGCAGAAGGTTTGGTGGTAGGGAGATAGAGAGTTGATGTGTTGGTTGTGAGGACGTCTGACCCAAGCCAAGCTTGGGGGAGCTTCAGGCAAGCAGGTCCACGCGTGTTTAGCGCTAAATTATTCTTGCCTTGGCGCCTCACATCATATCTTTTGGCCAGACCAATAAAGCATGACGAACGAACTGGACCATATTCCTTCCCAGAACTCTTTTTAATGATTGTCTGATTGATAAACTGCTGCGGTAACGGCAGTCAAAATATAAAATGCTAAAATCAACGCACATGCCGGCAGCTCAAGGGCGGCCGTCTCTTCCACCTGGATGGACGGAACATAAAGCTCCTACAGGTCAGTCACGTTTTTTCAGCTCACTTTCTTTGGGTCTTCAAATATTAGTTTTGAGTCCATCATGTTACGGCGGTTCTTTTACGTCTCAATTCTTCTGCTCGGACCTGTTCGGGCATATACAGGGCGTCATATTGAAGGCCCCAACCAACCTCCAAGGAGAGACATGCTCCAAACTCATTATAGGAGAATGTCCGCTCACTGGTTTTTTTTGTCCTACTCCCACAGGCTACGATACATAAATCGGCGTGACTTCGGTTTTCTTCGTTTATAATTTTTTCCAAGTATAATACGCTGACATCCTGACTAGGTCACACCTATTATTATAATACTCTTACCAAGAAGTCCACATACCAGCGGCCTGTTGAAACGCCACCGGCTCCTCAAGTCCCTGCTGTTGCCCCTACCAATCCGGCACTTAGCTTCCTCCAGTACCAATCAGTTGGGAATTTGGGACCAGGCTCTGCTTTTGGACCTCCTTCTGCCCATCACGACAGCAGAGGTGGCCCAGATAGTCATCGAGGAGGTAGAGTCGGACATGGTTCACAGCGTGACTCGAGGCCGAAGCCACAGCCAGTTGACAAGCCAAAAGCAAAGCGTGCTATTCCCGGATGTGAGCCATGGTTCCTCATTGATACCAAGCTTGGGAGGCGGTTTGCGTACAACTCCGAGAAGAACCAGAGCTTTTGGCGTATACCGGAAAAATTAAAGGAGGGTATCTTAGCAGTTGATCAACAACGTATTAAGGAAAAGGCTGCCGCTTGGGCAGGCGAAAAATCAGCTGAGGCGGCTCAAGCTCCAGGGGCGCAAGAGATGCCAGGCGCTCAATCACGTCCGAAGCCGGAAGTGCCCACTGAAAGCCATCCAGAGGCTGATGATAGTTCAGAATATGAAGAAGTTGAGGTTACAGATGACGAGGATGAGGATAATACCTCGAAAAGGCAACGGACTGAAGAACCTGGCCCGCAAGGGCCCGTTGAGTTCACAGAGGATGACATTGCATTTCAACTGGCCGCAATGGGCCAAGATTACGGTCTCGAACCAGGAGAATACGACGATGGCAATATGGAAGAGTGGGAAGAGGGTGCCGAAGGTATGGAACTAACGGAAGAGGATGCAACTGCTCTCTTCAAAGACCTACTCAACGACTCCGGTGTGAGCCCGTACACACCGTGGGATAGAATAATAGAAGAGGGGACACTAGTCGATGATGCTAGATACACCGCCGTTGCCACAATGCGACGCAGGAAGGAAGTCTGGGACGAATGGTCGACGGAGAAAATTCAACAGCTGCGTGAAAGGCGGGCAAGGGAGGAGAGGAAAGACCCGCGGATACCATGCCTGGCATTCCTGCAGAAGAACGCAACGCCGAAGCTGTACTGGCCCGAATTCAGGCGCAAGTTTAAAAGGGAGCAAGAGATGCGCGATACCAACCTCTCTGACAAAGACCGTGAGAAGTCTTATCGAGAACATATCAATCGACTCAAACTCCCACAAGCTACACTCAAATCCGACTTCCTCAACTTGCTCAAAGAACAGCCACCAGCATTACTCAATAATTCCACACTCCCCTCGCATCTTCCGCCAACCGTACTAGCGGATATAAAGTACATCTCCCTGGATCCCTCTATCCGAGACCCTCTGATCGAGACGTTCATCGCAACGCTCCCTCCGGCACCGGAAGTGGCAGAGGCCGAGGAAGATGAGGAGGCGCAGAATGAGAGGAAGGAGAGGGCGAGGAGACAGAAAGCCTTGGAAGATCGGGAGAAGAAGGTTGCGGAAGAGAAGCGGAGGCAGCAGAAGACGTTGGCTTTTGGGAAGGGGAGGATGCGAGAGGAGGAAGAGGAGATTGCGAGAGCCATGAATGTTACGAGGAAGGGCCTGAAGGGACATTTAATGGAAATGGATGTTGATGAGGTAGACGCGCCAGCCCCAGCCCCAGCCCCTTAGTGAGGTTGGTGGTATGGGTTGTCACGGGAAATAAATAGTTGTATAACATATGAACGCCAGCAAAGCCTTTAGGGTATCATTGTAGTATTACACAGCGACTTCGACCAAATTGTCTGTCTCTTCAACCATGCCATATATTCCTTAGCCGCGCAGCCTGAAGCCTGCCCAATTGTCATCGTCTTCCCCGTCGTCATCATCATCTTCATCTTCTTCCTCTGGAGTAGAATTTGGGGCCTCCGTTTTGCCTCCTCCTGCAGGTTCTGGAGCAACACGAGTGGGTTCTTTTACCCTCAATGCCTCCCTCTTCTCCTTCAACCTCCTCACCCGCTCCTCTAATTCATTCATTTGTTCAAACTCATCTTCCAGTTTCCTCACAGCATCCTCCCTATCCCCCTCCAAGTCCGCCTCAGCCTTTTCTTTCCTAGCACTCATCTCTTCCTCCCTCGATTTTGCCGCGACCTCCTCTGTCGTCATTGGCACCGCGCTTATGACGGCATTGTCTGTTGTCTCGGCCGTGACTTCAGCTGCCGCGATGTCGGCTTCGAAAGCTGCCCATTCATCTTCGTCAACTGTAGGGAGCTTTGCGGCTTCTGGCGCTGCATCTGGTGCTTTGAGAGGTGTGGCGGGACGTGAGGGGAGCCTGAATTCTTGACCATTGGAGTTATTGGAAGGGGCATCTTCGGATTCCGCTTTCGTGGCATCGTCGAAGAATCCTTGAGGTAAGAAGCCAAGCAGAGGTGCATTTTTACTTCGTTTCCTGCTGGTGTCCGCTTGTTCTTCCTCCTCCTCGTCATCACTAGCCTTGCGCTTCTTGGTTTGCTTTGCTGGGGGTTCTTTTTCAGCTGAGGTGGCGGCTTGCGGTTTCTCTTCGTCGCCATTTTTGGTCTGTGCAGGTCCTGGTTCTGGGGAACCAGCTGGGAAACCTGATTCGTGGCCGTTCCTATTTAGGTGTATCAAATGATTCTCAGATCGTAGGTGGTCGTTCCATAACGATTCATTCTTCAGCTCAATATGACATACTACGCATTGTAGCTTCCCTGTCTCAGAGTATTTTGCATGCCGATAGCTGATGCGCCGGGCATTACGCTCATTCCGTAGTAGAGTTCGTACATCAGCCATCAGAGGGTTGTTCGTTCAAATCTGTCTGTTTACGTACGGCTTCTTATGTTCCAATCGAGCTGCCAAATGTTTCAATGCGACGCGAAGCCACCCCTCACTAGGAGCTTGGACCATCCCGCTAAATATGTGTCACGTGATAGTGATGGCAGGGGTTCTGCCACGTTAGATTTGCCCCAAAATGAGTTATCTTCGCCTCGCCCCCAACTCCAAAACAACATCATCATCGCGAACGACCTCTGCGCGCGATTTTCTCGACAACTAATATCGACCCTCAACATTCTGGGTCTTGTGCGCAAACAGCTATAACTCTGTTTGATTGTCTGCTAGCCCCCTATACTCGCACAAGGCGCGTTCTGGTTGGAATCTATAAACGCGCAGGAACTTGCGTTGCGCAACGCGCCACGGAGATTGTTGGAAGACAGGCATTGAAGAGGGCTTCATTCTCTGGGTAGCTCATTTGCCTTCTACACCTTAGCTTGCCCGTAGATCCAGTGATGCGCGCATGAACACTGCCGCTTGACTTGACTGGAATCCAATTGTAAAGCCCGATCGCCTGTGAATATATTGAAATCGCGATACCACTATCACCCAATATGTCTGGTAAGCATAGATCGCAAGCACCACGGCCGTCGCCGTGCGCAACAGCGTATGCGCGTGGCGTGTGCGGCATTCAGAGCTTCAATGCTAACGTGTTTCCCCCCACAGACGAACCTCGAAGGTCGGTCCGCGCGACCAAAGGCCAGCATACGAAGAGTCTCGATCAACTCGACCAACCTGCCGAACCATCGAAGAAGCGCGGAGGAAAGAAGGCGTCTGCCAAGAAAGTTTCCTCTCAAGAAGCCTCCGCGGAGGAAGAAGAGGAAGATGTCATTCGCTGTGTGTGCGGAGCGGAGGAACAAGACGATTCCGCTGGAGAAGACTGGATCGCATGCTCGGACTGCGAGGCCTGGCAACACAATGTGTGCATGGGCATTACAACCGACAAAGATGTTCTCGAGAACATGGAGTACTGGTGCGAGAGGTGCAAGCCAGAAAACCATAAGGAGCTGTTAGACTCCATAGCTCGTGGAGAGAAGTTGTGGGAGACTCGACTCAAGGCACACGACCAGGCTATTCTCGAGGCACAGAAGAACAAGAGAGGGAGAAAGGGTAAGGGCAAGAGGGTCAGTGAGGTGAGAGCCGAAACGCCACAGAATGGCAAATCGAAGACACCAGACGCTCAACCCGAGGCCAAGAAGGAAAAGAAGGAAGCCGCCAGTCGCGCAGGAAGCACCAAGCGCAAAACTAGAGACGAGTCTCACGATGAGGCCTTGAAAGTTCCCAAATTACGCAAGGTGTCATCATCGCCTGCACCACCGGACGAAAATGTCCCCAAGGACCTTGCACAAACGATCTCACAGTTGGATAGCTCCCGCCAGGGAGCGGCCAAACTTCTCAACAAGTCTCTTCAGTACTCACTCAAAATTTCTCTGAAAAATGGCAACTTCCAAGGCTCCGAAGAGGATGTTGACCCACGAGCTCTGAGCTTTGCACTTCAAATCGAGAGAGCAATTCACGATGTCTCCATCTCTAAGTCTGCGTATAGCACTCAAGCAAAGAAGGTGGTGGCGAACTTAAAGACTAATCAGGAACTTTGTGAACGGTTGCTATCAAGGTCTCTCACGCCAAGTGTCCTTGCAGTCATGAACGAAGATGACATGGCCTCCAAAGAACTCCAACGCCAAACCGCAGAAATGAAGGCACGTGCTGACAAGCAAGCTATAATGATCACCGAAGAAGATGGGCCGCGTATAAGGCGCACGCACAAAGGTGACGAGGTTATCGAGGACGAGCAATATGAAGCTGCCACCGAGGAGATGCCAGCCAGCCGCCGCCGCAGCATGCTAGATCCTAACCACGGAATGGGCGCAAGATCGCGAGAGCACTCGCCAGGAGAAGACGAGCACCCTGAGCTCCCAATGGATATCGACGACTATCACCCACAATATAGCACTCCTAGCAGTGCACAAAGGCCACAGCCAATATCGGTAGACTCGCAGGAGACCAAGTCAGCCCAGAGGAGGGCTAGCGCGGCCGACAACTTTGACATCAACAGCGTCTACTCCAAAGTCCAATCACCAACTGTCTCTCAGCATTCACGTAAGCCATCTATGGCAGCACCACCTCCACAAGCAAACCTGGTTCAAGACCCCGATATCGACAGGCTTCTTGACGATGGGACAGAGGCAAATTCGCCACCCTACGAACCTCCTGAGCATGCGGAAGATCCATCCATCATCTGGCACGGCAGTATGGTCATGACCTCTATTTGTGACTTCAGTGCTACTGCTAGACACGTGGCCGGCGCAGATCTCAGCACCGTCGGCACGCCATGGTCTAACCTTTTGGACCCCCGTCTCTCTGTCGCCGGCCGCATCGACCCCGGAAAGGCGACTGAGTATCTCTGCAGCCTCCGTTACAGCCCAAAGACCGATGTCACAGTCATCTCCCTTTCTGCATCTGGTGGTGAGCGCGCGGCAAGCGAGTTTATGCAGCTTTACGAATACTTCCGCAGTAAGAACCGATATGGTGTCGTCGGCAACAAGACACTCGCGAACGTTCGCGACACGTACCTTATCCCAGTACCAGCCGGAAAAGATAACGGGCCAGAGTTCCTCAGCAACCTCGACAACAACATGCTGCCAACGGAGCGTACAGAGCCAATGCTGATCATCGCCATTGTCGTGCGCGAGCCAGAGGGCCAATCCACGCTGGCCCAATCTTACGATGGCAGCGGCTCACCCTCAGTACCGTCCAATCACAGCCACCGCCAGCTCTCCCTCGGCGGCCAAGGGCCGTCCATGTCTCTCATCGTTCCCCAGCCACCGCAAGGCATGTTTGCCACCCAGTCCCCCGCCCACGCTGCACCAACCGCTGGCGTCACCTCCACCCAGCCACCCAATTCTGAGCAGCAGCGCCAGGCTCAACAGCTTCGCGGTGAGGCGGTCGCAAGGGAGATCCTAGGCGAGTTTATTACGGCTTCCACGGCGACCTTCCTTATGGCGCAGGCGTTTCGCATGGAGCCCACCGAGTGGCGTGTCATCCGCCAGGTGTTTGAAGAAGACCCGGATACCCGCGGGGATCTGAAGAAACTAAGTGAGCTCCTAGAGAAGAAGGGCCAGGCCAAGGCTGCCGAAGATGCGGCCAAGGTTGCTGGCGCTGGTGCCATCGGTGCCCTACAGTGAGGTGTGAGAGATGGGAGGACTTTGTGTGAAATAAGGGGTTTATCGGAATCTCTGGAGGAACTACGGATTGTTGTTCTTATATTACGGAAAAGTTGGCAGAAGGGGGATGTAGGGACGAATACCTTGAACGGGAAACGAGCTTCGTTTGGATGATTGTGTTCGTCTTAAGCTTATGATACCACGGCCTGGGGCGGTTTAATTGGGGGAATAAGGCAGGGGAGGATTGACTGTATGTCAGGTTGCTTGGTTTGGGACTGATGTTCTTGTACTTTAGTTGTGGCATTATTGCTGATGTAGGAGCTATGTCCATAAGGCTTATGATGCTAAAATGTAACTTCAAAACTACTCTATGCTGAATCTTGGAATGTTGTTTTATTGTTAAGGCGGGTTTTCTATTTATTCGACTAAAAATTATATGATTTCATTAAATACTCCCGTAAATTTTAAATGAGTTATATTTAATGTGATTTTCTACTAAAGATTATATAAATTTGCCATAAATACATAAATACGGACGGACAGTGTTCGGCACGGATCGTATATGACCTGAGCTGATCCGGATACTGATCCGGATATATCCTATCCGCCAGGCCTACAACCTATCCTTGCGATCTAAGGATATATCCGGGTCTTGAGGATATTGCCAAGAGTAGCTAAGAGTAGCTAAGGCCGCACAAATGCCAACGTGTTCTATGGTTCAAATACTATTATAAATGTGACGATTGTGGTAAAAATGAGTGACTCGGAGTTATCAGATTTGCCATCAGATCATTTCCTTAATATCTAAAGATAATAAATAAGCTCAAGGCTTTGTAGAAGGAGGTTGGTATATCATGGACAATTAGCCTAGCTTGTGTTGCTGCGTATAAGAAGCCTAATGAGTACTATACACTTGCTACAAATCAACGATGGAGTCATTTAGGGGTAGCTACAATTTGCGATCCACGCATGAATTTCAACGTATTTAATAGCCTTTAGCCAAGCAGTGCTGAAGAAGTAAACCGGAATAGAGTTAAGCAGCAGTTTGATGATGTCTTTATTCAATATAGAGACCGCTAATACTATCTCGATGAGGAGAAAAGGGAAGCTGAGGCCGATTTACCACAACTGCCTATAGAACCCGACTCTGACGACGATTTATTATCTCTCATAGCATTTACCAAGAACCAGAATGGAAGCGCTAGCTTGTTGAGCCCCAGGTAGGTCTAGTAACCGATATCCTTAAATATTAGGCGGCAAAGCAATATCAATATCCAATTATAGCTGCAATTGCTCGGGACCATTTAGCAATTCTAGCAACATCTGCTCTATCGGAACGGGTCTTTAGTAATGGAGCTGATATTCTTACGAAGAAAAGGAATAGGCTAACTCCCGAAACACTTCGATATTTACTATGTTTAAGAGATTGGGGTCATATACTAGAGGTTGAAGATAGTGAAGCTGAAGACGCTGAAGACGAGGGGGAGGACTAGTCGTTTAGCTATGCATTTATTTTATCTATTTTAAGCCTCAATATCCTAAAGATCCGGATATAACCCGTATCTATCCGTCAAATGTGACCGGATCATGATCCTATCCGTGACAGCTGCGGATCAGATCTGGATACTATCCGCCGAACACTGCGGAGGGATTTATTCACGTTGGGATATAGTTCGAGTTAATTTTGTTGATTTTTATAGGTTCGAGCTACTGTTTGAGCTACTATGTAAACTCACGGCAAATGGAAGCAGTAGCCAAAATAAACGAGGGCGTTCGTTAAATACACTTCTATACGCCCTCGTATATTTTGTATGTGGCATCCCCCGGCCGTGAGTTTCCATATTCTAAAACGCCAGGAGACTTGCCTCACAGTTTTTTAATTACCCCCCCAACCACCCTGCCTGTAATCATTAACCTCGTTCTCTCGTGTATATACTGCTTCCGCGAGAACGCCATTCCCCGTCTTCAATCTACAGCCAATGCAATCCGCGGCAGCCAACAATCTTAAGTCTACAATATGCACCCCTCCCAGCCTCCACCTATTTTGCAGCTCCCTTCTCCTTCTCCACCTCATCTGCCCAGTTGCTCCCGCTCAGACCGCCGCCAAGAGATAGCTTATCAAGTGCCGCATGCGCAGGCTTTGCCGGCGCCGGTGCCTGAGCTGGCGCTGCAGTAGCCGGGAGAGCAGGGAATTCGTCTGCAGCTGGCGTGGCAGTTGTCTGGCCACGAGGCCCAGCCCCGCCACCACCACCACCACGATGTCCACGGCCTCCTCGTCCACCGCGACCACCGCGTCCCCCGCGCTCGCCAAACTCCGGACTAGAAGCCGGCGCATTGATATCCTGCCACAACCCACTGCGCTGTCCCCCATCACCCCTCGCCCTCACCCCCCCATGCGCACCGCGAGTATACTGACTACTCGACCCCCTCGACCGCCCATTCACAATATCCGCCTCCGTCTTCTCGCTATCCCACTCTCTCCCACCCTGCGCCTTGATCTTCCGCTCCCTGTTCTTCGCACGCTCCATATCCATCTGCCTCACGCTACGACGCTCCTCCATCCGCTTCGCCGCCGCCTGCTCCTCGCGCTTCAGGTACGCCGCCTCATCCTGCTCCGCCCGCGCGTGCGCCTGGCTCTTCGCAGCGTTCTTGACTTGCATGCTCGCCATCAGCGCCGTAAGCTCGGCCTCCGTGCGCTTCTGCGGCTTCGCGGGGCCGGTGGCCGAGCGGTCGCCACGAACAGAGGTGACGCGGCTTGCGAGCGGTTGAGAGGGTGCGGCGGCGCCGCCAGCAGCGGCGACGGTGGCTGGGTCGAAGGCAGGTGTGGGTGCTGGGGGTGGCGTCGGAGCTGGAGGTGGGGGGCTGGCGAGAGCGTGTTGCTGAGCTGGTGCGCGGGGTGTTTGGGGCGCGCTTGCGCCGCGGCGAGTGCCGCCACCACGGCGGGCATTGTTGCGAGGGCGGAATTGCTGTGGTGGGGGTTGAGGGGTAGACTCTGCCTCCTGCTGGCTGGTGTGGGCGGCGATGTTCTCAGCTGAGAGCACGGCAGGAGTAGGGAGGTACTGCGGGGCCTCGGGGGGGTAGATTTCGTCGGAGAAAAGGTCGTCAGCCCCTCGGCTCTGGGCAAAGTCGTCCTCCATGTCGACGGGGTAAGATCTGCTCCGATCGCCTCCACGAACGGACGTGTTGCGCTAGAAACACCGGCTGTTTGCACCTGATGTAACTTGGTCTGGCGTGCGTACGTGTGTGCTGTGTGTGTATGTGCGTGCTGGTTGTTGATTGCTAGACAATAACAAAAGCGTCTATTGGACTATTGGGTGGACTGGGTACGGATACGACAGCAACCACGATAGCGCTTAGGCCTTCATTTCTGCCGCCGGACCCCGCCAACGCGGGGACAAACACGGAAATCCACTCAACAAACCACTTTACCCACTATACGAATCCAGCAATTGAGCTCCGCCGACTGCATTACGACTGCATTGATGCTGCTTCACTGCTGCATCACTGTAGCGTCCTGCACCACTCCTGCACCACCTTGCACACACAGGGACGTTGCATCCCTTTCCGTGGTGGTGACACTCAGCTCCCCACCAGCCCACGTTTCGGGTCCCCCGCCGCAGGGCCGCCCCGGCCGCCTCGCGACCTTCTGGTGTGCCCCCCCCCTTCCCCCATCCCCAAAACGCGTCCCACCAATGGCTGGCCACCGACTCACATTCGCGGGGCTGCACTCGCACCTTAATCGGCGCGCAGAGCTCTGCGCGCTGGCGATTGGCTGCGCGCACACAGCCATCGCGAGTGCGCTTGCGTTCACATGATTGGCATCGGTCCCAATGATCAGCTTGGGAGCTTCGAGGTGAATTTTGACGTCAGAGCTTGCTTGTGTGCAGCGCGGGATATGGATTTTAGAGAAGGGAGGCTTTTACGGCATTCAGATTGAGCTTTGTTATGGTTTTCTGCAAGGCTCGAGGGCCTGGGAAGGGGTCGCCAATTTCGCCGCTTGGTCAAAAGGCGGTCTTGTTTACCACAATATGCGACGCCTAATGAGAAACAGGCGGAAAAGGGCGCTCGGATAGCCAGCTGTTCCGCGTAAACATGGTCACCAGTGAGGCAATAATAAGAAGATCCAACATTTCGCTTCACTCAACTATACTAATTGGCGACTCAGCCCCTCGAGGCACCTCTTGAGACATGCATTGAGACGGGGGGAGAGGTTGCCTAAACAATTTGTGATGAACCTCCCTTGCCGACATGTAGTCCGCCTCGCATCTTGATATTGACCACTGATCAGTTCCACCGTTGAATCCCCCATGATGGCGCCGAGTTTTATCAGCTACATCGAGTTTAGATATGCCCCAAGGACTATCCATTGGGATCAATTTCTGTAAACGAAATACAGCCGCAGTTAGACCGCCAGGCAATGACCAAGGGACCGGTAAGTGATAGACGATGACAGAGAATCATCCAGATTCCTATAGTGGCGATATGCTCTAGCGTCCGGAGGAAATGAAAAGAAGAACAACCAGACTGAGCTCGCCACGTTGCAAACTCCTCCTCAACCCCGCCCCAGACTTACATGGTAGTCATGGCCTACCCCCCAGGCCATGATGAGAGAGGCATTTATCCCGTGTGCTTTACCAAGAGGGATTATCAATCTCGTGTTGGTTGCACATGGAACAGACGGAACGAGCACCCTCCCCCCCCGCAAAGTTGACAACACATAATATCAACGGATGCCTATATTTTGTCAATGGTTGGAATATCACAAGGGTAGGTCCGAGGATTAACGGATTGACATCTTGCAGTGCGCTTGGCCTGCAGCAAAGGTGGTTGCATGAAGGCGGCCGGCCAGGCGGGTGGCCCAAAAGGAGGACAAAAAAGTTGATTTTTCTTTGCCACCGGAAGATCTCATGACTTTGACTTGAGATGCAATGGGCTACAAAGGAAGTGTCCAATGCTCGTGTTTTGATGCACGAAATCGGCAGAAAAGCACGTTGCTTCGACGCAGATCCAAGGTCCATAGTAGTCCTTTTAGCGTCATGGAGTGGCGATGCCATAAAACTTGTTTTTCTCAATTGAGCATAGGATGCTGGATTCCGTTTCTCAGTGTGACCGGTCCAAGACAAGTAAAAGGAGACTATCAAGGCTGAGGCCAGGCCTCGTATGCTTGGCATATATGATGATCCATTGTCGTTCGGGTTCCCACCAGTGATCGACAAGATTTGAACGTGGCAGGGTATAAGCGTGTCGAGGCGTCGGACAACAAAGCAATAACGTGATTGTATAGCAGATATCACTGCATATGCAACTCAGCAGAGGCAAGGGTGAAGCCTCAAATGCCTCGTCGGCTGAGGTAGACGGAAACAGGGTTGAGCGAGTCCATCGTAGATCGGTGAAGTGATATCGCCATGCATTGACCAATAGCCGAAATAAAGGGGCCTCGGATGAGAGTCGTCAGCTCAAAAGTCGAGTGGCGGGCAGGCAGATGTTTGAATCGGTTGGTAAACGAGGAGTTTGTGGAATTGGGCCTCCCGTTGGAGGCCTCACATGGGTATCGAGCGGGTCTTCTCCGGAGATGTGGTGGCCGCATCATTTGCTAATCTAGCACCTCGACGTGTTGAACAAGGGTAAGACAATTCCGAGAAGTTGTCAGTGGTCGGGGAATCACAAATCAAAACATTGTCGTGTTCGCAAAGCCGTGCCAGTATGAACGAGTTTGGGTATAAATACCTGGCTTCTTTGCTCCTCAGAAGCTCTTAATTCTTCAGTCCAGTCTTCAGTCTTCAATCTTCTCACATCGACTTCGAACAATCTTTCAACCAAACACCAGATATCTCTAAGAGTCTTCAAAGAGTTCAAAGTTCTCCTTTTCGAAACACCATCTTGCACTTCAGCCTTAATAGCAACACCAAGTAGGTAGCTGTCCGAACTCCTTACTCCTCCTGCCGCACATATTGACGTTTCAATTGCAGTTCCACCATCTCAAAATGTGCTTCTTCGACCAAACCCTTTACCGCTGCGGCGACTATAAGTGGGGCACCTTCCGCCAGCACTGCGCCAAGGAGTACCGCACCGGTGAGACCTGCGGTATGAAGCTCGTCATGAACTGCAACGAGGACCGCTCCAAGAACTGCCGCATCTGCGACAAGATCGCGACCAAATTGAGCCGCCGCCAGAAGGAGGTCGACCGCATCAAGCGATGGAAGAGCGAGCGGAACCGCAAGGCCTCCATCGAGGCCTCCGAGGATATCATCAGCGACCTGGATCGCGAGATCTATAACCTCGAGGAGGAACGATTGGATAGGAGGAACCGCTTGTGAGGAGAATTGTGAGCACCCCCCCCCCCCCCCCCCCCCCCCTGAGCTGGGATTAGCAGCTAACCGAAGACCTAGGGAGAGGGGATGAAAAAAATTACTTTCTGTTTTGTATTGTTCTCGTTTTTTGGTTTTTGAGGCTCCATCACTCGTTTCAGGAATAGTTGGCGCTGGGAAGGTGAACACAGGCAGATTGGGCGAAACACACACGCGATGCCACGAAAACCGGGTCTGCGGAGGGCTTTTTCCTTGTTGAATAATGAAATTAAATAATGAATGACGAATGAAATTACATGAAATTACCACAAACTCTCACCGCTCGATGCTCCCCATAGTGAATAGCCTGGCGAAGAACCGGAGAGAAAGGAAGAACCATGTGAAAAACCGATAAACTCACAGCGCCTAGAGGGAGGCTCCGCGGGTATGGCTGGGTGGTGAAACAACGGATAGGGTGTGAGGCGCTTGTTCAGTCTGAACTTGGCTCTTGTCATCCGGAAAGGCCAGGTCTGGTTGGAGGCAGATGTGGCGAGGTAAGGGATACTCATCCAACGTTACACATGAGAGTGAGGCACGGAAGAAAGATAGGTAGATGGTTGTTTCGGTATCTATAGTAGTTACAGTACGGCGCCATAAGTATGAATACAGGTCTGTGCTTTTGTATGGGAGAAGCACAGACCTGTATGCATACTTATGACGCCGTACTGTATTTACCGGTGTTGTTGATCGATGGATCGATGTTGTGAACGAAAGCGGGGAAATATATGGGCGCTTATTCTCTTTGTTGTCGTTGGCGACTTTAGGAACGTTGATCGCAACGGTAAGCGAGGCTGAGTTGACGACGAAGGATCAATCCTCCGCCCATCTCCATAACCCTGCCATTCCTTTCGCGTCAATACTCCACTTCTAACAGTATCTTTGCTGTCTTTTATATTGCGCGTTTCACGGCTGTTACTCATTGCTCCTTCTTTTCTGCTCACAGCGATCCTGACCACGACAATTTATTTGAGCCATCCCTTGTTTACGCAGTTATGGCTCTAACGTCTCACCTCCCCCGGATTAAAACCGGCCTTCATGGCGCCCAGGCCCTCCTCACCTTGGTCGCCCTCTGTATCACGATCGCATACATGGTCGGGCGTTCACGCAATGGCGGTCCCATTCAGTGGTACATTGCATTGGTATGTTTATCTTGATGTTGGATTGCCTCGCATAAACTGACCAAAACAACAGTGCTTTTTGTCCATTCCACCGATGATTTACAACAGCATGACACTTGTCTTTGCTCGCTCACGCAGCTGGGGCAACGCATACGTATTTGCCGGACTCGATGTATTATTTGCTATCCTATGGCTCTCAGCATTCGCATCCGTCGCTGCCTGGAACAACAACGGATACTGCTTCGGCGCATGCAACTTTTCGAAGACCATGGTTGGGTTTGGGTTCTTAATATTGTACGTGTCCTACACTTACACTATGGAGCAGGATCTTTTGCTAACTATCGCCATGTAGTGCTCTCTGGGTCCTCACATCTGTCATCTCCGTCTATGGAGCAATCTACTACCGCAACCACGGCTCCCTCCCCGGCGCGCGGATACCAAACAACGCCGCAATGATCGACCCCGACCGCGAGGCCTTCTCGACTACGCCACACGACGATGAATACGCCCCCGTCCATGGCAACGACAAGGACGAGCTAGACCGCCTGGGCCGCTTTGATTCAGAACTCCCAGGCAGCAGCAGCAGCCACCCCTTCGAGCCCGCCAGCTACGATAACGCCTTCGCGAGGCCTGGAGCTGACGACGAACACGAATCGCCCTATTCTGGAGGGTATAAGCCCAGTACCGTGGGGCCAGACACGGATACCAGCTATGGGGGTGCGGCTGGGGGCAGGGCGCAGTTCCCCAATGCCCCGTACTAAACGGGTTAGCGGCATATATCATGACTATTTTTAGAACAACGTGTTAGCGTTTTGTGTTTTGCTTATATGATATCCAGCTGCTAGGACTACCCTCGCAGTTTTCTCTACGTCATGTTGCGAGATTTATGTACATATATGATGTTTATATACTTTTCTATTTCAACTTGATCTTCTCAATAAATAGCTATTGACACGGTGTAAGAGTAGCGACATGTCATCTCCAAAAGTGACTGGCCCATAATTGTTGTAAGCCAGGAATCTGTCATGCTGACATAATCCAACATCAATAGCACGCCTCATTATGGAAATCAATTAAGCACATATTGAAATTGTTGTATCTGGGCCGATAATAAATAGTTGGTGCTGTCTAGCTATGCCTGGAGTTTATCTGACGACTCTCATCCGTGGCCCCTTTATTTCGCCTATTGGTCAATGCATGGCGATATCACTTCACCAATAGCAAAATTATCTTTTCCCGCATATGCGACGAACCGTACGTATATGTGGGGGTATCATGAAAGCATATAAACTCCCTGCGCCGATGCTTTACTGTTTTGTACAAGTTGAAACGAAATCCCCCAAGTGTAGGACATAGCCTATTTTGCCCCGCGCTCCATATCCGCGAACCCTCCTAGTAACGGCCCTACGTCAGGTTTGGTAATTCCTGGGCTCTTTCCGGAGATCTCGTCGTCTTCATCGTCGGATAGCCAGTCGGCGTCTTGCTTGCCGTCGGCTGTTGGGGGTCTGGATGTGTCCACGTAGGGCTCATCCATGGGTGGCTTTCCGGGGAGGTCTTTGTAAGTGACGAATCTCGCTGGTTGGGAGGCATAGGTTGTGGCTGCTGGCCGTTGCTGGCTCTGAGGAGCCATCGCGAAGATGTCGACAAGGTGACTGAGATTTCGTTAGTACAGCGTAACTAGTGATTGGAATCTGGATAAGGAAGGATATACTTGGAAGTCTCCGCTACAATCTTCTGCAGAGCCTCACTTTCGCGTTGCACATCCAGTGGATCGGCCTGCGTTGTAACCACGTTTTGATCGGTAAAGCTTCCATAGTTGTTTGCCAGAGGATCGTCAAAGATCAATCTTGACGTATCATCCTAGAGCACCAGTACAATTAGTCTTTGCTTTCACTCAAACGGGTTGTGAGGCCTGTAACACATACCTCTTCAGAACCATGGTCGCGACCCAGACAGGACGAACATATCCCCATTGTGGCCTAAATCAGGGACTTCAATGAACGGTACTATAGACAGTGCATGAACTCGCTAGAAGAAGACCTCGCTCAGTGAGGTGTTGCAAAGAATATGAGCCGACAGGGCATAGGGCTGAAACGGTATTCGAGATGTTGATAGACTGAAGTTGTCTGGGGGGGTTGGGGCGGGCGGTGAAGGAATTCTGCCGCCGCGGTCACTGACAGAAGATGAAGAAATATTTTATGAAGCGTCGACTTACAGATTTCTAGGACCTGCTATCAAGCATTTCTTTAATAAATAGCAAAACGTTATAGGCACTTCAGTAGATATTGCAGCAAACATTGCGTGTTGGAAGGTTTGTAATGCACAACTGTACGACTTTGGAGCTTTCCTTCACTATCAAACTTCTACTCATCCATAATCTGAGCTTCCGCATGGGGGCAGCTCAGTGATAAATAACCGGCCGGCCGGAGCCGCCGATATACAATAGCAGCAAGCTTGGCTTAGGGATCAACATATCGGCAACAAACGGACACCGAAGAACAGCATCGCGCCGCAAACATTCGCCGTGTTCCAACCAACCAAGCGACCAGCATTGAGTACGAGAGATCACCAGGGACGGCGTGGTGCCATTATGGCCTGTCCGCCGGCGTGGCATTGTTCGGCTGTTGTGATTACGTGATGTGGATAACCTTTAAACGGGTTCGATCTGCAGTTTATGCAGCAATACGAGGTTTCCCCATCACAAGAGTCCGAGGCTAAATGACATGGTATTCTTTGCTTGTGTCGTCATTGCTTGTGTCATTATGGGAATGTTAATACAGGTGTAAAATAGGTTCTATTAATGGAAATAGTGATTAGAAATTGGAGCCGGAAGCTGTGGCGAAAGAATCTCAGACTATGGAACACAATGAAAAATCGTTCATCATACCGGAGTATCAGTATAGAACAATCAGTACAATACAATGCAGCCTAGCTACGCGACGTGCGGGAGGCTTGTTTAACGTATCAGCCATTTGCTCATCCAGGGTTCCATGCTCCGCGATCAAGGCTGAAAGAGGCTGTTCAGTGATGATCACAAACAACCTGACCCTGGAACATAGCCAATCTATGCATAAACATCCCATCCCATAACCTATCCCTGATATACGGCACTCGTACCTGTTTCCTTAATTTCAAGCGGCCCAATCCAGGTCTCCTGTTCCACACGGCGGTCCAGTAGCCTGGCATCTCCATTTCCCCACGTCGCATTGGACCCGCCCTCTGAGGCATCGTCACTGTGGGCCTGGTGAACAAGATATATAAATCCTGTCCAGCGCCCTCATCTGCCTCTTCTCTCTCCTCATCTTCCCAAGCTGATACAAGATGCGTTTCTCCACCTCTGCCGCCGTCGTCGGCGCCGTCCTCTCGTCGCAAGTCTCTGCACAGGACCCAATCAGCGCCTTCACCCTCAAGGCATGGAACCCATCCTCCACCCTCCAAGGCGAAGACGTCAACGCCGCAGGCTTCGGATTCTACCTCGGTCTCGAGGGCCCGGCCACGTACTGCCCAACCATCCCAGAGCTCTCTTGCCCTGCCGGAAACGAGACAGTAGTGTATAAGGGAGGGATGTCCCTATCGTAATGACGGCCGCATTCTCAGCGTAGAAACGGAGACTGATTAGTTTGATAGCGTCGTTGTCCCAGGTGGCCAGCAGACTTTCGTCGAGGCCTCGGGGGCTATTAGTTACACCCAGGCTCACTCCGCCTCCGTCCCGGCTGGAGCTTATATCGGTGGCTTCACCTCATACACCACCCTTGATGGCAATGGAGTCAACCAGACCATTGTCAGCTGGGAGACTCCTGAGCACCCAACCTTTGGTATGTAGCGTCCAGTGCATATCACTACTTCTTTGTGACGAAGAACTAACATGTCCCAGCTGGTCTTGTTGCTTGCCCCAAGGTCTCGGAATACGTCGATGCCACGGCCACTCACCGCATCTACGGACGCACTCCTGGGTTCAACCAGACTGACTGCGTTGAGTTGAAGGGCCTCATTGCTGTTGCGCAGCCAAACAACGATCCTGGCGCTTGGCAGTACACTTAAATGTCTCTGTTGGCTGATCAGTCAGGTATCTGATATGCATACTAAGAGGCATGGGATGAGAATGAAGTTGACGAACGAATTAAACGGCGGTGTTGGTTTGATCTGATGGTAGATTTATCGATCAATGTTATGTTTGATATTGCTTAAAAATGTAATATTAATTTTAACTCATGTATGACCATTGTCTCGTTCTTGATTTTATATACTGTATGCAACCCCGCCCGCTCATTGGCTCAGACAGCTTAATCCGGTCAGCCCCTCATCAACGTCTCATGAGATAGCTCGTCGTCGTCTCATCAACATTTTCTGTATAATACCATCACTTGATATGGTAACACTTGGGATTTACATAAATGAAATGCCAATATATCCCCCCGTTTACACCACCGACTCCACTTCACAACCTCTTGCTTGATTCTGATATCGTACCTGCCATCATTGAACCCGGCATCCTCAAAGACGTCGTTTGATAAAGTAACCTCGCCATTTGAATATTATCTCCAAAGGAATTTTCAGTGATCAAATCAACTCAAGGAAAGGAGATTAGTCTAAAATATTCACGATGTCTTCCCTGGAAACCGTAGTGGTTCCAGAGGCCTCCCAAGATACCAACGGCCTCGGAGAAGAACACAGTCACCCTCCCACCACCAAACCAGACTGGTCCAACCTCAGCGTCCTCCACAAGGACACCCTCCCACCCCGCGGCACCTTCCACATCTACCCCACCGAAAGCGCCGCCCTAACCCGCGACGTCACCAAATCCCGCACCCTCTCGCTCTCCGGCACGTGGAAATTCCACCTAACGCCCTCACCCTTCTCACCCGGCGCTGAGGAATTCCACGCCTCCGATTTCAACACCTCAGAATGGTCCGACATTGCCGTTCCCGGGATGTGGCAACTTCAAGGTCACGGGAAGGGACCGCAGTACACTAACTTGAACTATCCGTGGCCGGTTGACCCGCCGAATGTGCCGTTTGATGAGAATGAGACGGGGCATTATGTGAGGGATTTTGAGGTCCCGAAGAGTTGGGTGGAGGGGGGGGAGCAGGTGAGAGTTAGGTTTGAGGGCGTGGATTCCGGGTTTCATGTTTGGGTTAATGGGAGAGAGGTGGGGTATAGTCAGGGGGCGAGGAATCCGAGTGAGTGGGATGTCACAGAGCTTCTCAAAGAGGGAAAGAATAGGATTGCGGTGCGGGTTTATCAGAGATGTGATGGGTCGTATCTTGAGGATCAGGTAGGTGTTGGAGTGGGGGTTTTGTGGAAATATGCTGACAAGGTTGTGTAGGACCAATGGTGGTTGAGTGGCATCTTTAGAGATGTGAATCTCTTCGCGTTTCCCAAGGTTCATGTTAAGGACTTCAAGGTTGAAACTGTCCTGAAGAATAATTACCAGGACGCGCTTTTATTCCTCCGAGTCGAGCTCAGCGAGCCGGCTACGATAAAAGTCAAGCTCCTTGATGACGACTCGAAATCTCTTAAAACAGTAGAGCAGACTTCACCACTCTCCACAGTCTTCTTCGAGATCCCCATGGAGAAGCTGCACCTCTGGACAGCCGAGACCCCCTACCTGTATAAACTGGTCATCTCAGTCGGCGAGAAACAATGGATATCCCAGCGCGTCGGTTTCCGACAAGTAGAAATCAAAGACGGTCTTCTCAAAGTCAACGGCATCCGCATCGTCATCCGCGGTGTCAACAGACACGAGCACCACCCCGACCACGGCCGAGCCGTCCCCTACGATTTCCTCCGCAAAGACCTCCTACTAATGAAAACCCACAACATCAACGCCATCCGAACATCCCACTACATCAATGACCCCCGTCTCTACGACATAGCCGACGAACTCGGCCTCTGGATCCTCGACGAGGCTGACCTCGAATGCCACGGTATGGGCGAGCTGGGCACTGATTTCGCGTCCTGGACGAGCGATAACCCCGAGTGGAAAGAAGCGTATGTTGACCGCGCGAGGCAGATGGTGATGCGTGATAAGAATCACCCGAGCATCATCATCTGGTCTCTCGGCAACGAATCCGCGTATGGGAGGAACCACAAGTCGATGTACGAATTCATCAAGTCGTATGATAAGACGAGGCCGGTGCATTATGAGGCAGATTTCAATGCTGAGAGCGCGGATGTGTTTAGCAGGATGTATCACAGTGTGGAGCAGATAATTGAGTTTGTGACGACGAATAAGGCGGCGAAACCGATGGTGTTGTGTGAGTATGTGCATGCGATGGGGAATGGACCGGGGGGGATTAAGGAGTATGCGGATGCATTTTATAAGTATCCTCGTTTGCAAGGTGGTTTCGTATGGGAATGGGCAAACCACGTAAGTCAGCCCACCTCCGACTAATATATTCCGCTTTGAACGCACGACTGACGTGCCCAGGGCCTCCGCACCAAAACCGCAGACGGCGAGGAATACTACGGCTACGGCGGCGACTTCGGCGACCTCCCCAATGACGGCCACTTCGTCCTCGACGGCCTCGTCTTCTCCGACCACACCCCCACCCCCGGCCTAACGGAGTACAAGAAGGCCATCGAGCCCGTGCAAGTCCTCTCCGAAGGCAGCACACCCCAGAAAATCAAAATCATCAACCGCTACGACTTCGCCACCCTCGATCATTTGAAGTGTGAGTACTCCATCGTCGGCGACGGGGTGGCGACGTCGAAGAAGAGGGAGGTGGAAATACCCAGGGGTGTTAAACCGGGTGCGACTGCGAAATTAGATATTAAACCCCTTGATTTGACGGGGATACACACAGAGTCATACGTCGAACTCACCTTCACCCTCGCCAAAGCTACCAACTGGGCTCCAGCAGGTTTCGAGCTCGCTTTCGGACAAATCCAGATCCACGCCCCCTCCCCCCTCCCCCCTCTCTCCCTCTCATCCCTCACCCTCTCCCCCAGCCCTCCTTGCCCAACAATAACCACCCTCTCCCCCTCCCTCCTCCAAATCACAACCCAAACAACAACATACACCTTCTCCCCCCCCCTCTGCGCCCTCCTCAGCCTCACCCACCACCCCCACCCCCCCATCCTCACTGCACCCCTAACACCCATCTTCTACCGCGCACCAACCGACAACGACCTCCCCCCCTCTCACGACTGGCACTCCTCCTTCCTCCACCTCGCGCGCCCGCATCCACTCTCCTTCACCACCTCCACTTCCGCCACCACCAACACCGCCACAATCACCACCATAACCCGTTTCGCCCCCCCCGTTCTAGCGTGGTCCATCCTCCTCACAACAATCTACACATTCACACCAACACACCTCCACATCCTACTCTGCGGCCACCCCTCCGGTCCCAAGCTCCCCGAGACTCTCCCCCGGATAGGGCTGGAGATGGCTCTCGCACCGCAGTTTAATGTAGCAAAATGGTGGGGAAGGGGACCCGGGGAGGGGTACGCGGATACGAAGATGGCGCAACGATACGGAAACTGGGAAGCTGGGGAGGAGGAGTTGTGGACGGGGTATGAGTGGCCGCAGGAGGGAGGGGGGAGGACGGATGTTAGGTGGGTTGAATTTTTCTCCTCCTCCTCCTCCTCGTCCGACGACGACGACGGGGAGGGGAAGGGAGATACCCTTAAAGCAACATTCGGCGCGCAAAACGGCTGCGGCTTCACGGCGAACTGTTTCTCAACCGCGGATTTGGAGGAGTGTACGCATGACTACCAGCTCCAGAAACGGAAGAGGGAGTGGGGGTGGGTGGTGAGGTTGGATTGGAGACAGCATGGGATTGGGAGTGGGAGTTGTGGGCCGGGGCCGGCGGAGCAGTATATGTTGCGGACAGGGGATTTTGAGTTTGAGATCGTGCTGGAGTAGGTAGTTATTCTTATCGGGTTAGTTCACGGAGCCGCATTTTCACATCTTAACGGTTCATATGGCAAAAGTTATAATAGATAAATCCCATCTATCCATGAAGCACCCAGCTAAACTCTTAAAACAAATCCGTCATAGCACCATGACTCGCATCTCCCACCAACCTCTGATACTTCCCCAACACACCCCTATTAACCTTACTCTTCGGCGCCTTCCACTCCTTCAACCTCCTCGCAATCTCCTCCTCAGGAACATCCATACTCAACGTATTCGTCTTCGCAGAAATAGTCACCATATCCCCATCCTGCACAACCGCAATTGGTCCACCAACCGCAGCCTCAGGAACTACGTGTCCCACGATGAACCCGTGCGAGGCACCGCTGTAGCGCCCATCAGTGACTAACGCCACGTTGGTCAGGCCGGCACCCATAATCGCCGCGCTGGCCTTCAACTGCTCCGGCATACCGGGTCCGCCCTTAGGTCCCTCATAGCGGACGATAATCACAATATTATCACCCCTCGGAATCGCACCAGCGCTGAGCGCAGCATCAAGCTGGCGTTCTTTATCAAACACCCTCGCAGCACCCTTGAATTCCAGACCCTCCTTGCCGGTGATCTTGGCGACAGCGCCGCCTGGCGCGATGTTACCGCGCAGGATCTGGAGGTGGCCTGAGGATTTGATGGGGTTGGAGAGGGGGCGGATGATGACTTGGTCTTGGGGGAGGGAGGGGAAGGAGACGAGGTTCTCGGCGAGGGTCTTGCCGGTGACGGTGGGGATGGAGCCGTTGATGAGACCGGCGGCGATGAGGTATTTGAGTACAGAGGGGGTGCCGCCGATGTCATAGAGGTCCTCCATGTAGTACTCTCCGGACGGGGCGAGGTTGGCGAGGAAGGGGATCTTGTCTGACACGCGCTGGATGTCGTCGATGGTCAGTTCGACCTCTGCGGTGCGCGCCATGGCGAGGAAATGGAGTACGCCGTTTGTGGAGCCACCGAGAGCCATGGTCAGGACGAGTGCGTTCTCGAAGGACTCCTTGGTGAGCAGCTTGCGAGGGGTGATGTTCTTCTCCATGCAGATCTTGATTGTCTCAGCTGCCTTCTCGCACTCGCGCATCTTGGCTGGGGACTCCGCGGGGTTGGAGGAGGAGCCTGGGAGACAGAGTCCCATGGCTTCGATGGCGGTAGACATGGTGTTGGCGGTGTACATGCCTCCGCAGCCACCGGCACCAGGGCAGGCGTGGCGCTCAATGTCATCCATGACGTCTGACGGGGTGCGGCCCTCGGTGCCAGGGTCGACGGCGGCGTGGAGCTTGTCGTAGGTGAATGCGCCGGAGGCTTCGTAGCAGGTGCTGATGTTGATGGGCTTGTTGAGGAGCTTGGAGAAGCCCTTCTTGATGGTGCCGCCGTAGATCATTAGGAAGGGGCGGTTGTGGCGCGCGGCGGCCATGATGACGCCGGGCATGTTCTTGTCGCAGCCGGGGATGGAGATGTTGGCGTCGTGGTGCTGAGCACAGGTTACGGTTTCGATGGAGTCGGCGATGACTTCACGCGTCTGCAGGGAGAAGCGCATTCCTGGGGTCTGTTAGAGGAGAGTTTCGTGGGCAGTGGGGGGTGGGGCATACCTTCTCCGCCCATTGTGATGGCATCGGATACACCGATTGTGTTGAACTGCCAGGCCAGCATGTCCTGCTTGATCACTGATGCTTTGACAACCTTTCCCAAGTCATGTACTGGTGAGAAACTTCGTCAGCCAGGTTCTAAGTTCAATTGAAATGCTCATACTCACAATGCATGCTGGAAGGGCTGTTAGTCTTCTAAACGTTCATGTAGGGGATGGACAAGACTCACTTGCATGGGTTTCCCTCCCACCATACTGTAGAGATGCCGACATGAGGAGCAGTCTTCATCATGTCTCTATTCGGCACGCCGGCTGCGTAGAGCATAGCCTGTGCTCCTGGGAAGTCATGGTCCTTCGTCAAGGTGGCCGACCACCTGTTCAGCACGAGCGTTCCATCTCTGAGAGTACCATGGGGAATGGAGGGAAACTCGATATATCTTGGCTCCTCTGGAACGTGCTCCGGAGCAGACATGGTGACTATAAAGGATAGGGAGCGGTCAATGGTTCGTAGGTACGGAATATGCAGGTCACCTCAGGTTGCAGGCGCGTATATGAACTCTGAGAGCTGTCTGACGGGGGATATATGATAACAAGAAATAAATTTATAAAAGGAGGCTTTCCGGGTGAATTGGTTGGGCTATAATGGGCTATTCCAGGTCTATAATTGTGTTCAGCCGGAGGAGGGGGATAGCTCTCAGTAGAAGTTCCAGTAGGATGCTGAACAATGGCCTGGTGTGCTCCGACGATGAGGGGTTACCCCCACTATGAGGGACATCGGGAACCCCACTAGTCCCGTTCGCTCTTTCTGTTTTTCCTGTCTGTAATTCCAAACGGGACGGACGTCATTGGCTGGGAGGTGGGACGGCATTAAACACGGCATTCGTGTTATATTACAATCTCACGGGATATCTTGCAATATCAACAGAAGGGCCTCGTCAGAGAATTTAGGACTTGCGTACAATTCTCGTGATTTTTAATCGGGTTGTCGCAATCACGTGATATGGAGCGGAACCTTGGCGCAGGACGGTGGCAGAGGAACCCAGCGGAACCGAGCGGAGCCGAGCGGAGTCGAGCGGAACCCAGCGGGACCCAGCGGGACCCAGCGGACCCAGCGGACCCAGCGGAACCCCTCTCTCCCCAACATGCAACTACCCCGCCCCACTGTGAAGAGCAAGTTACTCGTAAAGTGAGTGGAGTACCAAATAGCAAAAGGTACATATATGATACTTGCCATAAAGACTAAATACAGTATTATTTACAAGTACACTCCCGTACCACTCCTAGTAGATCCAAAACTGTAAGTTACTCGTTTTCGAGTTTCAGCCTTGTTCCCAAGCTAAGGCCCGCCTGCCTGCTCGGTTCGAGGTCCCAAACAACTTCTCAAGCCTCAAATCCTCCCATCAACACCACCAAATCCATCAACCATGGCCTCTCCCTCTCCCCTAGAGCACGCCAAAGCGGCCATCCGTGACAGCCGTCCGCCCGTCACCGACGATCTCACCTATCTCACCATCGTGCAATCGCACTTGTCGCCCGAGGTTCTGCCCGCGCTCAATGACGTACTTCAGGATGTCGAGCTCACTCAGAGAATTGGTTGGGACCTCGTCCACATGCTGCTCCCACTCCCGGGGTCCGCGCCGTGCTTGAAGACTGTGGCACGACTGGGAAACCCAAGAGAGGTTATTCTTCAAGTTACCGAAGCGTTGAGGTTGCTGGTATTAGACAAGCCGGTGGAGGAGGAGGACAACGAGGCCGCGGAGGAGAAGGCTGCCGAGACCGAAGATGCTAAGAAGACTGAGAAGACCGAAGAGGCTGAGCCGACTCGCGATGCGCTTGTTGCGTCACCAACCGAGGCCGAGATACCAGAGCCAACAGAGGTTGACAAGTTCTGCCTTCTCGTTTCCATGCTGGCCACACTCCATCCAAGAATCAAGACAAGATACCCCTCGCGCTTCCTCTCAGCCTCTCTGATGGCAATTCTCAGCTCTTACCGCCCGTCAAGCCAGGCCACCCATGCCATCACTGCGTTTGCGCAGACACTCTCGGGGAACAAGAGGCCTCCGCTCCCAACGCGCAAGTCAAGTCTCTCAATACAGGACCTTACAATCGCATCAGACGAAAAGGATGAGAAGGCTCCAGACCCGGAGGCAGCAGTAGAAGACCCAAAGGAGGAAGCCATACAGAAGAAGCTCGTACAGTCGTTTGTCACACATATTATAGAACTATATGTCAAAGACAACAGCTTGGATTGGTCCGCGCGGCTCCAAGAGCACTTCGCGCTGGACAAGATGGTGCCAGGGAAGAAGAATTTCGGAGAGGCTTTCAGAGAAGACTTGAAGTTGCAGGAGCGTGAAGTTCTCCTCGGGAAACTAGTGGTATGGCCCTTACATTTACATTTTTCTTTCCCTCCTAACACCTCCAGGCCCTCGCACGCGACGTTGGCCTCAACGGCGTCGACTACCTCTTCAACGCACCCGAACAAGACCTCCCCACCCCACCCAACGAACCCGAGAGCGAAGACTTCTCCCCCACCTCCCCCGACGACGTCCCCCTCTCCCTCACTGGCTGCCTCTTCCTGACCGCCAACGCTATCTTCTCCTCCGTCATGTTCTCGAACACCAACGTCACCCTCCCCGCCCTCTCCATCTTCCCCTCCCTCTCCCTCCTAGTCCAAAAATTCATCGGCACCACCGGCCTCGAAACCTCCGGCACTGAATCCCCCCCCATCATCGACGCCATCCTCTCCATCGGTCTCTGGCTCGAACATACCGACCACTTCGTCGCCGGCCCCCTCGAACCAACCGACTACCTTCAGCTCCTCCAGACTCTCTCCCTCGTCTCCGCGAACTGCCCCGAGCCCACCCTCCGCCACGCGGCACACATCCTCACCTCTAACATCCTGCACGCACACCCCACAGACCGCCTCCGCCTCAACTTCATCTCCGACACACTAGAGCACTGCCCCTTCGAGCCCCTCCGCGCCTCCGCAGTCGGCTGGCTCAAAGAAGAGCTCGTGCGCGCACACACCCGCAAGTCCGATGACCTCTTCGCCACCCCCGCCGCCGTGGCAGCATTACAACCCTACCTGTTCCCGTACGAGAGCATCCTAGACGCCGAGACGGATTCGGAAGTATGGGAGGACTTCCGGTGCACGTTCCCGTTCCATATGGCGGCGCTGAATTTGATCTTCTTCTTGAATTCGGAGGATTATAAGAGTGTGGTGCCGGAGGGGAGTATGAGTGTGATTGAGGAGGTTTATTTGCAGCCGCTTAGGACGGCGAGGGGGAGGTTGGAGAAGGCGCTTAAGGAGGGGGGGGAGCTGGAGAAGGTGTTTGGGGAGGAGGTGAGGGGAGGGTTGGCTGAGGTGCGGTTGTTGGGGGATAGACTGGATATGTGTCTTGAGCAGCAGTCGTAGGGTGTGGGGTTTGGTGTGTGGCGGAGAATGCAGGTTATGAGATGAGATATGATGGATATGCCGTTATTATGGATGCCTTGCAAAGAGGGAGGCCTGCGTGGGTTTTCGGATATGGTGGGTGTGCTTTTGGTGCATCTATGGCGTTTTATACTGAGATGGTAGTTTATGAAGGGAGGTTTATTATAACTCTTTTATCTCGTTGTATAAGGTGAATATGAGATTTGAAAGAAGTGGTGCTTTTGATCAGAATAGTCGTATCCAACTGGTATTCGCGACTGTCGATGGATTGAATAATTCCAATAAATGCCCCCGCCAGCGAGAAGTAAAGTAACAGCCAGAAAGGAAACCTATAGCGAGAGAGGCAATAAACCTCCCTGACGTCATGTGAAGATATTTATCCATCCAGCCTCGCAACCAAAATCCACCCCTCCTCCCACCACCACAAGGCTGACGCCCGAAGCGAGAACAGCGCATCAAACCAACCCCGCCAACAACCCCGCGTTTCTCGCGACGAAAGCCATCCCTCTCCCACTCAGCACAAGAGCACCAACAATATGCGGCTCATCAAGCAGAATATCGAGCGCGACGGTTCGGGGACGGTGGTTCTCCTCCCCGAGGAGCCTGAGGATATGGTAAATTTCCCCCCTTCGACTTCCCCCACCCCCACCACGACCCTCCCCCCATCCACCCCCCTTCCCAAACCACAGACCACAGTCCCACACTAACCCCCTCCCAGTGGCACGCCTACAACCTCATCTCCCCCCTCGACCTCCTCCGCGCCTCCGCCATCCGCCGCATCACCACCGAATCCGCCACCGGCTCCACCTCCAGCACCCGCGTCCACACCACCCTCGCCATCCGCGTCACCTCTCTCGACTTCGACGCGCAAGCCGGGCAACTCCACGTCTCCGGCCGCGTCGCCGAGGAAAACAAACACGTCAAAGTCGGCGCGTACCACACCCTCGACCTGGAACTACACCGGAACTTCACCCTGGAGAAGGCCGAGGAGAATGGGGGGTGGGATAGCATTGCCCTGGATGTTGTCAGGGAGGCGGTTAGGGTCGATAAGGAGGGCGCGGTGCCGGCGGTGGTGATGCAGGAGGGGTTGGCGAATATTTGTCTGATTACGGAACATCAGACTATCCTGAGGCAGAGAGTTGAGATCGCTATTCCGAAAAAGAGGGCGGGGCGCGCGGGCGATCATGATAAGGGGCTTGAGCGCTTCTTTCACGCTGTGCTGGAGACGTTGGGGCGACATGTAGATATCTCGCAGCCGCGGCCGCTGCTGATTGCTTCCCCTGGCTTTACGGCGGCGGGGTTCGTGGAGTACGTGCTTGATGATGCGAGGAGGCGGAATGATAAGGCGGTGTTGGGGAATAAATCCAATTTCGTGATCGTGCACAGTAGTTCTGGGCATTTACACAGTCTCACCGAGGTGCTGGCCGCGCCGGAGGTGATGGCGCGGTTGGCGGATACTAAGTATGCGAGGGAAACGCGACTGATGGAGGAGTTTGCGAAGATGTTGCGGAACGAGGATGGGCGTGCCTGGTACGGGAAAGGGGAGGTGGAGAAGGCTGTTGCGAAGGGGGCGGTGGGGGTTGGTGGGGGGGTGTTGTTGATTTCGAATCAGTTGTTTAGGAGTCAGGTTATTGGAGAGAGGAAGAGGTGGGTGACGCTCGTGGATCGGGTGAGGGAGGAGGGGGGGAGGTGAGGGTGCTGAGTAGTGATCATGAGAGCGGGAAGAGGTTGGAGGGGTTGGGGGGTGTGGCGGCCATTTTGACGTTTCCATTGGAGGATCTGGATGAGGAAGAGGAGGGGGAGGGGGGGGGAGAGGAGGGTGGTGAGGAGGCGATTTGATTGTAGATATGAGGTTTCTTTGAAAATGGGGGTGGGAGAGGTGCGAGGTTATATAGTGAGATATTGGATACCCACAGTACCCTCTCGGATGGAGTGCAGGCAAAAGGATTAAAATAAAGATAAAAAATGCAAAAGACTCGTCAGATCTCGGCGTATGTTTTGAGATCCGATGAGGAGAAAATCACTTTGATTTTTCTTTTTGGTGTTATGTTGATTTGTGTTGATCGTTTCCAAACTCTTTCTTTCTTTCCTTTCCTTGCCGGGACTCGAATCTATAACCTCCCTTTCCTCCGCTGGCCAGATTGTCCAGACAGTGGTACTTCCACTGCGCCACTGTGCCGCTTGAATGGAGGAGGAGTTAAGTTGGGTTATAAAGGCGCTCTCGCCTGTGGTGGGGAGTTGGCCTGAGGATTGGGGGTTGGCTATAAGGGAAAGGGGGGGATTGGGTTTAGCGGTGGAGGGAGCGGTAAGCGGGGGGAAGGGGCAATTGTGGTACTACTGGGAGAACTGCAATCAGAGAGAGCGGTCAGAGAGAGATTTATAGACTTCTTATGCGGGTTTATATTTTGATATCACTTGCAGCGTCTTGACTGGATACACGTGGCAAGACAACACTACTAGGTTGGAGACCACCACCACTTGGGTCGACAGCAGATTAAAGGGCATCAAGCATTCCTTTGATCATATTCCAACACGGCTCCGAAAACACTTCTAAAAAACGCCAAAACCGCCGCCGTGGGTATATCATATCCTGACCTCCCCCCAAAAATACAATGCCAAGTCCAATCCATCCTTTGGAGCTCCGCCAGGCCTCCAACTATCCAGACATAAAGTAACAATGCAATATTTCTCTCATACCCGCTGTTCCAAAGCGTTTTCGAGAAATTTGACAAGGCACAACCACCAACACCCTTACATAAACGCATACGCATCTTCCGCATTTGCGACTGCATTTGCATCATCATCCAAGCAGCGTTGGATGAAACTCTCATGTTTCTCCGACTCGGTCTCAGATTCAGTCTCAGTCTCGTAGTCTCGTGCAAATGGGGTTTCCAGCTTATGACCAAAGGCGATCATTGAAGCTTCAGCCTCCTCGTCGTCGAAATCATCACTGTACTCGTCACTTTCAATCCCATCCATCAGCTTCGTCAGTTGGCTTGCGTTTAGGCTCTCTAGTTGCACTGATACATCATCTGCGCCAACCTCTAGCCTGGCGGCATCTTGACTGGCTCGCCTGGCGCTGGGCGTGTGCCGTTGAGATGGCTGTCTAGTGCAGAGTAGTTCTCTTTCAATCCTCATATTCTCCAAACGCAGCTTTGCCGCCTCGTCATCTACCTTGCCTTGAAGTTTACTCTCGTGAATGGCCGCAGCAAACAGATCTTCCTCCTTCTCGACAAAGAATCTTGGTTTGCGCGCTCGCCTCACATCCCACGGCGTAGGTGGTGGCGCCGGCACTGGTGATATCTTGCTTGGCGACTCAAGCTCTCGCAATTCTTGCGACGAGAACATCAATTCACGAGAGGACATCCATGGAAAATCGTCACCCAACATTGGTTGTGCTGGTTCCATGAGGATCGGTCGTGCTACCACGCTGTCCCTTCCAATTTCACGAGCAACTTGTGTGTTGGATGGGATATCGTCATCTTCAATATCTTCAAGCAGCTCGCGCAGTTCTTGCGATGGGCTGGGGAAGAAATCGTCAAGGTGATCGGCAAGGAATAGTTGCGTGCTTGTTGGTAAATTGAACGGCGACACTTTCGGTCCTGCGTGGGAGGGTAGCAGGCTGGGCTTGAGGAAAGGCTTCGAGCGAGTGAAGGATGATGGTAGTGCCTTTGCTGACGCATTCCGTGCGTGCTTTGAAATATCGTTTAAAGGGAGACGATGGCTAGAGCCAGCCGCCCCAATACCTTGCACAGTTCTCTGTGACAGGGGGTTGTTAGTACTTGGCGCTGGCATGTTCTTGCCTTGCGAGCGTATAGGCGTCGACAACATTGTGCTGCGAGGAAGACGTATAATGGAGGTTGGCACAAACATGACCGAAGCTACGGCAGCGGTATTGGGCTTGGGAACAGGTTTGCTCATCAACCGTAATGCTGTTTGATTTTGTGAAAAGGGATTCGAGGATGTCAATTCCAGTGAAACCCCTGAACAGTCAAACTCTATCCGAGGCCGTGGCGTCCTCTGTAAAACCGGCGATGCTAGTTGCCGCTTTGGTGGTGACGTAGGGAACGCTGTTGGGTTGGTCGCGATGACTGGACATGGGTCATGTTGAGGTGAATACACAACAGTAGTTTTAGTGATATTGGCTTGTGCCTTCTCCGGGGCTTCTTTTGTCTCCAACGCTGGTAAAGATTGGGCTGCGGCTAGCGACCTCTCTCCTGCATCAAACGATTCGGAAAGTAGCTGATGCGCCGCTGCAAGCTCTAGGAAAATGTCATCATCGTCTAGGAAATCCTGCGAGCTAGTGAAATACTGAGTGTTCGAAGGCAGTTTTGGGTCGTCAAGCTTAGGTACTGGATGTTCTTGTGATTCGGTTTGGACTTCTTGGTCTTCATGGGCAGTCGGTTCTGCCTGCACTTTTGGGCTTGCTTGAACTTCTTGTTCTTCTTGAGCTGCTGGATCTGCTTGCACCTCTGGTCTCGCTTGAACTTCTGGCCCCAATGAGTCTTCCTGATCAAGTTGAAGTTCTGGTTCCGGTTGGTCTTCAAGTTGTGGCTGGGCTTCGGGTTCCGATTGAACTACCAGCTCTCGTTTAAGTTCTAGCTCCGGTTCTTCCTGGTCTTGCAGAATTTCTGCCTCTAGTTGTGCTTCCGGGCTATTTTCCTTCTCTGCTCTAACGACAGGGGCATATTCCAGAGGCCTGGGCCTATCCTCTTGTTGTGCATCTTCCTCCCCCTCCTTGGTATCGCATAACGTTTTTATTGCCGAGGCATCAAACTGGGCTTCAGAAATGTCGGCCTCTCTCTCTTCGATATCCTCCTCATCCGTATCATCTTCAGCTCCATCCATGGCAAACCTCTTCGGCACCGGCTCCTCGCCATCGTCATCACTTTCATCCCTCCCCCACTCTTCTTCCTCCTCCACATCCTTACCCCTCCCCCTCTTCCCCAGCCCCAAAAACCCCGTAATCCTCCCCTGACTAGGCCTCACCCACCTACTTTTCTCCGGAATCCCCGCCTTCTTCCTCTCCGCCCTCTCCGCCTCCTCCTTCCCATCCTTCTTCGCCTTCACAGCCCTCGCCTTCGCCTGCGCCTTCTCCCTCTCAAACTCCCTCTTCTGCGCCGCCAGCTCCGCAGCCTCCATGCGCTTGCGCTCCTTCCAGCTCATTTTCGGTATATTGTTGGCTTTTGCGAAGGCCTTCTTGGCTTGTTTGCTCGTCATGGGGGGGCGCCGCGAAGTTGTCATCACTGGGCCCCCGTCGGCGATGGCGATTTTGCTTTGGTGGGTTGCCATCGTGGCCTACGCCTATCCCGTAGCCCTAACTATTTCGGAGATAATCGGGCATGTGAGCGGTGCATTTGGTTGAGTCTTATGTGCGATAGTTGTGATATTTGATTATGTTTATAGTGTAAATATGTAAATAGAAGCAACGGCGGCGGTTGTTGTGGTTGGTATTTTAGCGCGAGGCTGGAGACACTCAGGTACCACGTACCACGAGGCTGACATTTGTCAATCGGTGCGGGGTTTCATATCTCATAAACCTCGTCGTCATTGCAGAATAATCACAATAACACATTGGATAGACTTGATTTAATTAAATGCATCAGTGTAGGTTTGAAAGGAACTGTTACTGAGCTGTAATATGATTTATAGTAAGTAAGCCCAGGCACAAAATGTTGTGTTTGTTGTAACTGCTGGTGAGCGCGTGACGTATGTACTTTGACGAGATGAGATTGAGGCTTGTTCACAAGATCTACCAAAACACAACCAGCAAAACGAACACGGACACATCTTGTTATATAATAGAGTAGGAAGATTCATTTCAATTGAGCTAAAAACAAACAAGTAGCTTCAAAGAGCGTAAAATCATGACTAAACTGGGTAACGTGTGGACCATGCCATCATCCCAACATACACTGAGATCTATCCGATCTATAAACTCCAAGCAATGCTCAGACATCTATCCCATCAACAACAACGCCCTTAGTCCAATTATGCTGCAAAATGCGCGCAACCTCATTCGCCGTGTCAACGCTAACCATGATGCTAACTAAATACAACGCCGCATCCATGCCACACCCGGTGCCGCCGGATGTGATAACCCGCAAGCCGCCCAACAACATCGCGGCACGACGAGCATTGGATTCGCGCCTGGTGTTTGATTCCTTCCAGGCGTTCGATCCCTTGCGGGCATTTGATGGACGACGAGCATCAGACTTCTTCCTGATGTATGGGTTCTCATCGGGGTCTTCGCCGAGGTCGAAACGAAGGTTGTTGACAACATATCGCTCCTCCAAGACGTTGGTGCGATCAGTCAGATCACGCTGGGCAACCTGGGAACAGATGTTCTCAAATTTGGTATAGAAATCTGGGTGGGTGGTGGCGGACAGGCCAGAAAGAGTACCAACCTGGGCGAGGAGGAGGCTGGCAGTACCAACGGCCATGAGAGTGCGCTCCTTGTCGGGATACTTCTGCTGGACATCGGAGAAAGCCTTGATGACCTTGAGAGGCTGGGACTTGTTCTTGATGATAGTCTCAACGTCACCGCCGGGGACGATCAAAATATCGAAGTCTTTAAGGTGTTTGTGGATCTCCTCAAAGGAGGCATCGGACTTAAACATGACACCTTGCTCAGACTCGATGGTAGGAGTGTCGGATGCATAGGTGCAATCAAAAGCTCCAGTGCCTATGAGTGTCAAGATTAGCCGGAGCACGAGACACGACATAGGAACAATGGACACTGAGGGGTGAATTATGAGATAAGGATTATGATAAAGTGATAGCTAGAGACTTTTAAAGTGAACTTACTATCATCATTGATGTTGTGGTTGGCCTTGTTCAAAATCTCCAGAGGTCCAAGGACGTTGAGGGCATCCATTCCTGGGTAGAGAGCGAACAAGACCTTCACCACCGGAATGGTCCCAGTCGTGTTTTCCATGGTTGCGATGAGTGTGGAATTGTGAGAACCGAAATATTGAAACAAATATGAGTTTGAGATGAAGCTGCTATTGAAGAAGCTTCTTATGGGATGATATTCGGAAGTGTTTTGATGGATTCACAGATTGTAATTGATCAAAGATGGTGAGGGGAAGTGATGATGGAGGTGTGTCTTGCGGACTGAGCGAGGAGGAGGGTCTTGTGCCTAGTCGACAGGGAAATGCGGGGTTTTGCCAGGGTGAGCTGTTAGGGGCAGGCATTGGTCGTTTTAGCGTGATGTGCTAACTGGTTGGAGAAAACCATCTCGTCATTCAGAATGCGGGGGATCACCTGATCAAATACTGTTTTGGCTAAACCAGCATATATGTCACGAGCAGCATCACGTGCAAACTCTAATCACACGCGCTACAGTGCCAAGGCGGAGGGGAGGGTCTTCACTTTGAAGTTAAGGCTCTACAAGTAGCAAATGAACAGAAAAAGAGAAGGGAAAGGAAGTGTAAGAGGCGTATAATGCAAGGTGGTAGTCTCCGTACGAGAGGGAGAGGGAGAGGATATCCTTTAGAGTGCTAAGGTTGATGCTCAAGTCCGTATGGAGGTGGTAAGTGAGACGACTTAGCAGGTGGGTTCTACAGGCCGACAGCGGCGCTGTGGAATATGTGGCACTATGGGGCATAATGCCCGTACGTGCGAGAGGCGCTAGGAATGAATTACAGTCGAATATAGGTCATCATAAAGGGTGGTGTAGTAGTAGTTGTAGTAATAGTCAATTTTTTGGTGTTTTGGTGGGCGACTTGCTTTGTGTGGGCGACTCCTCTGTGAAATACGTTATATCATTTCTGATTTAGATACCCATGTGTGTCATTCAGTCTTTCCGGCTTTCTTTCCCTTTGAGGCCTTGTTTGCTAGGAGTTTGAACTTCGATAGCACCTTTTCCCTAACGCTTTTGAGGTCAAGCGTCTCCGCTTCATCCACGCCCACAAATCTCCTCACCAGGAGATTGAAGACGAACCCAAATGCAAGTGCCATGACTGTACTCGTGAATATGATGACATTGTACGGCATGCTGAAATCTGGCGTGGGAAGAGGTAGTAGCAGGGAGGTGGTGCGAATTGACGTGTTCCCGATATTGATGACTGCCGCTGGTACATCGAAACCGCGATTGGCATCGGGCGGATACTCTGTATACCGCAGAATAGCCTTCTCGAAATCATAACTGAGAACAACTGTCGAGTTTGCTGGCACGTCCATTTTAATTTCAAGTTGTGTACCACGCTGTCGGTCAAGCGCTGGGCGGTAGTACATCTCTTTGATAAGGTCACTTGGCTCGCCATTAACCTTTACCCTCAATGTGTGCAAGTATACTTTCATGAACCACGGCAATGATTCCATGTAGATGATTTCCACAGTCTCGGTGGGCGAGGGGTTCTTGAGTATAGCTTGAACTCCTCCTCGCTCTTGGCCATATCCGTTAAAAGAGCGATCGGCGTAGAGTAATGGCTGCTCAAAAGGCGTTGGCTTTGCGTGTTGGGCTGGTAAATTCAGCTCGAATATCTCGTCCGAGAGTCTATAGCAGCGCATGAAACCAGAGACGTCTTTGCGTTCAACAGCATTGCCCGATGTGTAAACCTCGGCATCGTTATCGATATTGATGCAGACTGACTCAGCATCTTCCTCGGCGAGTGGACATGAACCCTTCAATGGGTGTCCGAATATCTGGGATAAAGACCAATCCTCACCCTGTGCTTCGTCGAGCGGGAAACACGTGTGGTCGTTGCTGTATCGCTTCGAGGTATCGCACTTGAGTTCATGATACGGAACTGGACGTGGGATTGGGTTGTCTATCGTACTGTTAACATTGTCCAACGCATGGTTGTGGATTTATAATGTACCTCTTGGCCGCTTCGACCTCTGAATGTCCAACACCATGTCAATCGTCTGGGTAATCTCCAATCCACCCTCAATGGGTCTAACATCAACGCTCATGCTCTGCCAACTCGCATCGAATAGCTTATGTCCGTCTAGCAGGCTGCTAATCCCTGCCTTGCCCTTGCATGGTAAGAGCTTCAAGAACGGCGTCAAGTTCTCGGTGCAGACTACCTCTCTCGGCAATGTCCCGTGAAGGAGGTGTAGGTTCTGTAGCGACGCCTCGCTATGGTCGCCCCGTGGCTCAAACGACATCACCGGCCGTGTAGTGCGAGTTGAATCAATGAAGTTCAAGGAGGCGCAGAAGAGACCAGAAAGCGCATTCGTGAGAGTAAGCCAACGGCCATCGGCCCTATCCAGCGCATTAGCATTTTTAGTTTCATCCAAATCAATTCCAGTAAACATTAAACTCACTCCTCATCGTTATCTGCCTCCACCCAAGCCCATAGTTCTACACCAGTTCCTCCCTCTCTTTCCCCTCCCCATGGTCTCGCGCCCCAACTCTCAGCATCCCAGCGTCCCAGGCTAAACCTCAAATGAAGCTCTCTTGTGTTTGCATGCTGTAAGATCTGCCCCAAACTGCGCGGGAAGTAGCGAAAGTTCTTCAGTTCAAAGGCCTCAGCTGTGGTATTCGCGCGGAAGTTGAATGATGCGAGGACGGAGCTCGGTGGTAGGGGGCGGAGGAGCAATTGTTCGTGGTATTCGGACGCCTGGACCGGCGAAATAAAAGACGTTAATCCAGCGCCGATTAAGACCAGTAATGACCGTAGATACATAGCAGACTTGCCTACAGCTTATGCTGAGGCACGGGTTTGCGGGTTCATTGATACCATTGAATTATGGGGCGAGGCCAAAGGTGCATCTGTGGCTCGATGCTAGCGTGTATAGCCTCGCCGCAGGGCTGAAATTTATCGCGACCTTCCCCCTCGCGACCTTCATTATCAACGACAGCTGCGTCGCTGTCAGTTCAACAACACATCATCATGGCGGCAGAACAAAGGAAGCTGCTTGGTACGTATACCTTTATCTGTTTCCTCAGCATCATCTACTTCTCTGCTTTCACATCTCGCAATGACCTTCAACTAATCCATCACAGAGCAGCTCATGGGCGCCTCGTCCTCGACACGCTCCGCCCAACTCTCCATCACCGACCCCAAAATCTGCCGCTCGTACCTCGTCGGCACCTGCCCTCACGACCTCTTCACAAACACCAAGCAGGACCTCGGACCCTGCCCAAAAGTGCACTCCGAACCACTGAAAGAAGAATACCTCGCCACGCCATCAAAGTACTCCTTCGAGTTCGACTACCTGCGCGACCTCCAGAAGTACATCGACGACTGCAACCGGCGCATCGACACTGCCCAGCGGCGCCTCGAGAAGACCCCCGACGAGATCCGCCAAACCAACGCCCTGCTCAAGCAGATCTCCGACCTCGCAGCCTCCATCCAGACCGGCCTGCTCGAGATCGAAGTCCTCGGCAGCTCGGGCCTCGTGTCGCGCGCCCTCGACGAGCATGTGCGTATTCGCGCGGCGCTGCTGACCAAGTCGGAGCATGAGGCGAAGCTGAAGGCGTTATCGGATACGTCAGGGCCCAGCGGACACCAGAAGTTGCAAGTCTGTGATGTGTGTGGCGCGTACCTGTCGAGGCTGGATAATGACAGGAGATTGGCGGATCACTTTTACGGAAAGATGCATTTGGGGTATGCGCAGATGCGGAGGGAGGCGGAGAAGTTACAGAAGGAGCTTAAGGGACGTCAACCGCCACCGAGAGCTGAAGATGATAGGGATAAGGGGTATGGAGGCGGGTATGATGACGGGGGATGGGGAGGCAGAGGCGGCGGATTTGGAGGGAGGGGCGGTGGACGAGGCGGAGGTTTCAGAGGTGGGAGGGGGAGGGGAGGGTTTGGTAGAGGAGGATGGTGATTTACATGGAGCAGCGAATCGGCGAAATATTAGGCGTACACTGACTTGGGGCGGCGTTGAGGAAAGGATTTCAAGAATTGCAAGTTATGATGGGCACAGAGGACTTTGGTTAATGAACCGATCAAGTGTATTATTAAACGGGATAGTCACGTTGTTACCGAAAGCTGCTTCTTTCGTCTCTTTGTTTCTCACCCATTCATTGCAGGTGAACCTAGACTATCCGAAGGCAACACGAATCTATTACAAGATACGACAGTTGAGGGGTGAGTCTATCGTATACGCATTTCCAGAAGATTTTAAAGGTTTTATACCTCCAAGTTCGAGCGTAAGTCTCCGTCTCCAACTACCATGCCCCCGACGTCAATAGATCTGTGGTTTTTCTGCTCGCAATACAAGAGGCCGTGCTATTACTGCAGCTACATGCACATTCCAGTCGTTGATGGACGGGTCTGATCCTCCACGGAATGAGATCGAACGAACTACGAGAGGCCTCTGCCCCCTTTGTTTTTAGCGGGGAGGCTATCAACAGCTATTGGGTTTGCCTCTTGCCCTGAGCATTTAATGTCAAGTCGCTCTTCTCTCTTTCATGCCTGGATCTTGGATGTCATGTGCATATTGCAGAATCTATGTTTCGCGCTCAGGCAAGTAAGGTTATACGTATTGGTGTCTTTAAAGGGATAGAGCTCCTATAATACACCCGCCCCCTTAGTAAGCAACCATATCATTAATCCCATCCAACTCACGTTGGAAGTTCCTATGCTCCGAAATATTATACGCAAACGTATCAACAAACTTCATCTCCCCTTTTACCTTCTCCAAGCCCTCCCTTATACTCTGTGGCTTCTCCCCCAACCCCCCAGCAGTCACAACACCATAGCAGTCAACAACCTCTCCGGACCCACTAAACACCATTCCCTCGACACCAACAGCTTTTTGCACAAACGCCACCGCGCTCCCCGTCGCCCCAATAGCCTTGAGATGCCCGAATGCCTCGCGCACCCAGTGCATAGCTCGTCCACTCTTCTCAAGGGCGGCCACATGAGCGCCGCCAGGGATATAGAGAGCGTCAAAGGCAACGCTGCGAATTCCCTCCCAATGGTGGTCAGTCTGTGTCTCCCTGCCCTCGCTCGCCTTGACAGCTCCCCTCCTTGGCCCGATCGTGGCGACAAACGCTCCAGCAGCGGTAAGAGCCGCTTTGACAGCTTCATACTCGGCGAAGTCATAGTCATCAGCCACCAAGATCGCCACATTGCGGCTGACAATCGTGGACTTCAACCCCTGAGCACGGGGTGAGAACTCCAGCTGGCTGAGCCCCTTAGAAGTTTGGCCGTTGTTCGGGTGACCAGCCTTGGAGGGAATTGGCGCGCCGACAGTTTCAGCAACTGCTTTGGCAAGTCCGAGAGAGATGTCACATAGACGTTCGACCAAGCGTCTGTACACGATCGGGTCATCGCAGTGGTCGAGTTCGAAGGCCAGAGCCTTACGGACATGCAATTTCTCAATGGGCGAGAGCGAGTTGTAGAACAGCTGTGCCTGGTTGAAGTGCTCCTTAAATTTGGCGGAGTGAAGGCGCACTTTCATAGCTGCGATCTTCTCGGGGAAGTCGATGTAGCCGCCGTCTTTGGCTTCGGAGGCGGGTGGGACAACGGATTTGCGGTTAGGCCAGTAGTTCATATTGCCCGGGGTGGTTTTGTGGCGGAGGGCGCCGTCACGGTGGTGGTTCATCACGGGACAGATGGGACGGTTGATGGGAAGCTCTTGGAAGTTGACTCCGAGGCGTGAAATCTGAGTGTCAAAGTAGGAGAAGTTGCGTCCTTGGAGGAGAGGATCATCTGAGAACCCGATACCCTGCGATGTATTAATAACTGTTCATAAGGCCTCATGGCGAGTGAAGACTTACAGGAACCACGTGCGCGGTGCAGAATGCAATCTGCTCAGTCTGCGTGAAAAACTCATTGACGTTACGGTTGAGCTGCATCTCACCGACATAGCGAACTGGGAATATATCCTCCGGCCAGACCTTAGTGGCATCGAGGATGTCGAAGTCGAACTCATCCTGGCGAGATTCTGGGCAGATTTGGACACCGAACTTCCAGGATGGATAAGCGCCCTTCTTGATGGCGTCCCAGAGGTCGCGGCGATGGAAGTCAGGGTCATTTCCTGCGAGCTTCAGAGCTTCGTCCCAAACCAACGAATGCACGCCGAGAGTTGGAGTCCAGTGGAACTTCACGAACGAGCGGACGCCTTCGGTATTGGTAAGGGTAAAGGTGTTGACACCAAAACCCTGCATCATGCGGAACGAGCGAGGGATAGCCCTGTCGCTCATCGCCCACATGAACATGTGCGTTGCCTCAGAATGCAGATACTGGAAATCCCAGAAGTTGTTATGAGCGCTCTGGGCTTGCGGGATCTCGGAGTCGGGCTCGGCCTTGCCAGCGTGAATAACGTCTGGGAATTTTATGGCGTCCTGGATAAAGAAAACTGGAATATCATTCCCGACGAGATCCCAGTTTCCCTCCTCAGTGTAGAATTTGGTTGCGAACCCGCGCACATCGCGAACAGTATCGGCGCTGCCACGGTTTCCAAGGACGGTCGAGAACCGGACAAAAACGGGGGTGGTACGAGATGTATCCGTGAGCACTTTGGCGTGGGTGACGTCTGCGAGGCTCTCATAAAGCTTGAACGTCCCGAAGGCGCCCGAACCACGAGCGTGGACTACTCTTTCTGGGATACGCTCATGATCAAAGTGCATAATCTGACATCAGTTAGCTAAAGATATCAAGTAGACGACGCGAGGGCTTTGAAGAGGGTAGTCCATGATATGGACGCCGCTCATGGAACATTCTAACATACCTTCTCCCTGGCAAAATTATCCTCCAGCAACAGAGGGCCTTGTCTGCCATTTGTCGAAGCTGAAAGCCAGTTATCAGTGTCGGGCTCTTTGACGCCGAAGTCACTTGTCAGTTTTGTCTTATTAGTCTGTTCAACGAGGTCATTCTTGATGTCTGCAACCTTCTTGTTGCCAGCCAATGCATCCTTCGTGGTATGGACCGTTTCGCGGAGCACGGATTGCAACATGATGATAGGAAAGATAAGTCGTATAATGATAAATAAAGTCCTTGAGAGGAAAATTTTGATAAATATGAAAAGCGGCCAAGTTACGAGATCGAGGCGGCCAGCTTGAACATGAAAGCAATAGCACAGATCTGAGAGGAAGATAACGGATCATATACTTAGCTATCATATGGCTGGCTAAAAGATCCAATGAGAATACTTTGGTTTGCAAGTCAGAATCGTAAAATGACGTTACTATTGCCAATGAGCTGCTATGCGCTGACGTCGGCGGGACGAGATTATATGTGGGATCCATGGCTATAAACACCGCAAATCCGGGGTTGGGAGTTGAAGTAACACATGTCAAACGATGGGTAGTTAGCCTCTCAGAATCAATGGAATTAATAATAAATTCTTCTCATTCCGTTCACACGAGAAAATACTTTACATTATACCTGATCATGGTCCTGCCAGTGTGTTCTTCGGGGCTAATCATAATCCACGGAACTGTTATCAAAATGCCCAAATATTAACTTGGAGCTAACTATGAGGTAACGAGGTAAGTTACTGGTGTTTTGCTAGCAAAGTTACATCACGTGACTGTTATTAAAACCCTTAATAACTGTTTAAGTAGGCTATGTAAAAGTATAACGTATTTCACAGGGGAAGCGATCACTGAACTTCCCACCTAAAATTGAAATTTACAAGATAACAACTGCATAATATATTCTAAAAATGTGTGTGTATCCTTATATATACACGTAGATTCTTTATTTTAAGCTTTAAAGCAATTAGACTAGTAGATATTGAAATATAAAGACCTAGTCTAAATTTCAGTGCCTAAACTTAATATCTTAAGAACTACTAAATAGATTATTCCTAAATGATTAGGTACAATTCAACTAAATAGGACAGGCTAGAAATACATTTTTAATATATATTATGAAGTTGTTGTTGAGTTATTATCTTGTAAATTTCTCAATTTTAGGCACCTGGCCCTTTACTACGGGCTCCTCCACAAATTAATCATTTCAATGCGGAAAGAATTGACGGTCTTCCTACTGCCGCGTTGATATGCTGGGCAATCAACTCTGTTGATTAAAAGCTTCAGCCAAGATAGATGCAAAGCTTGTCCAATTCAGGCCCAAAGCTTGTGCCTGGATTTGCAGCCGGTCAACCGTGAAAGGAGGAAGACTGTAATGTATAAATGAGAGTAAAATTCCGTTTAATTCACTGTCTTCGTTCTGTTCTTCATTACATCGCAGCAGCTTTCCCTCTCTTTCACATCCTCAAACTTTGTTCATCATGAAGTACTCCATCTTCGCTGTTATCCCCCTTGCACTGGGAGCCAGCGCTGGTACTCCCTGTACTGTCACCAAATATGTATCAATTTCTTCTGCTGTTGCATCATGCACAGAAATTGTATTGTCGAACATTGTAGCTCCGGCCTCAAGCGCGATTGATCTCTCCAAGTTGAAGACTGGCGCTAAAGTCATCTTCGTTGGCAAAACTGTGTGTATATAACAAAACCTGAAGCGTCCGTTATACAGACTCTGACCATTGGCCCATTAGACTTTCGAGAAAACCCCAGTCAGTAGTTTTGACCCCATTACTATCGGGGGCACCAAATTTACCATCACCGGAGCAGCAGGCCATGTCATTGATGGAAACGGACAAGCTTACTGGGATGGCCTGGGATCAAATGGAGGTGTTGCGGAGTAAGCTGTGGTACCCTCATCTCCAGAATATCAACTAGTCCAACAGGCCCAACCACTTCGTCGTGGTCAAGAACACCGTTGACTCTGTCATCTCCAACCTAAACATCCAGAACTGGCCTGTCCACTGCTTCACCATCTCCGGCGGCAGCGGCCTCACCCTTTCCAACATCAATCTAGACAACTCTGCCGGAAACGCGCCTAACTCCGCCAGTAACGGTCTGGCTGCCGCTCACAACTCGGACGGCTTCGACATATCCTCCACCAGAGGGCTGACGCTCGAAAACTCGGTCGTCAACAACCAGGATGACTGCGTCGCTGTGACTAGCGGCACTAACATCCTCGTTACGGGTATGACCTGCATTGGCGGCCACGGACTCAGCATCGGTTCTATTGGAGCAAGAGCAACAACGTCGTCGACGGTGTTACGTTCTCCAACTCGATTATCTCCAACAGCGAGAACGGATGCCGCATCAAGACCAACTCCGGCACCACCGGCACTGTAAGCCTCCCAAACATTATATATACCCCCCAGTCTTACAGATATTAACATATCAATAGGTCAAGAACGTTGTATACAGCGGCATAACGCTCAAGGGAATCGCCAAGTACGGCATCGACGTGCAGCAGGACTACCTCAACGGTGGCCCAACTGGTGTACCCACAAACGGCGTCGATATCTCTGGCATCACGTTCAAGAACGTCAAGGGCACCGTTGCCTCCAGCGCATACAACTACTACATCCTCTGTATTATCCAAACTAAATTCTCCCCCCTTTTGGAAAAACAACAGCACCGATCAAGCGAAGTCAGCTGGTGATATACGAATCGAGCGTAGACCGCCAGTCGACACATTCTCCATCGGTTCATCTATTCTTCTATCAATACCCGTGACTCGTTTATCCTGTATCGCCCATATCCATCATGTAAGATTCATAATTCCCCAGTTCGCCCAAGCGCCGCCAACAAAGGCCTACATACTTTTCATCATGCCAAGTACGTGTAATTACCCTCATCTCTCTCAATATAATCCTTCTCAATAAGCCTGCTCACGTTAGTCATCCAGTCAACCCACGAAGAAAAGTCCAACTTACTTCTCAATATTCTTCTTAATCTCCCCCACCTCAACAGCGCCCCTCATCTTCGTCTGCTCAATCACCTCCGCCACGAGCCCCTGATGCGGCAACACCTTCCGGCTCTTCATGATCCGCACAATCGCCGCTTGTGTCTCATACTGCCTATCCAGCGCCACGCGCTCGTGGGTCTCCTTGTTCTCTGCCGTGGTCTCCTTGAGCTGGATCTGGTTAATCTTGATCCTAAACTTCGGGTCCGTGAACGCCAAGTTGACGGTAAACGTGTCTGTCTTTGCCACTTCTCGGCCCTTGGGGTGCTTCGTCAGGATCCGCACTTTGCCGCAGGCGAGAGACTGCATGGTGCGCGTGAGCTCGGCGTCAATGAGGCTGGTGCTAGCTTGAAGGGCGGTGTAGGAGAGTGCCTCGTCATCAGCAAGGTCGTTGAAGAGGACGAGGACAACGGCCTGGAAGCCGGACACTTGCAGCTCCTTGACACCTTTCTTGAAGTGACCTTTCACTATACTGTGCGCCAAGGAGTGCTTCCACGTCAACCTGCGCCCAGTATGCTTGTTCTTGTAATGGCGGTCAAATTTCTCTATGTGGCGCGCGACTTCGGCGGGGAGGTTAATGGCAATGTCCGGGTAGGTGGGCCAAGCTGCGGCCGAGAGGACGCTGACTTGCAAGTCCATGGTCGTCTTGCTGGTGTTTCTCAAGGATTGCTTGTATGATATCATCTCATCCCGCGACAACTCTTGATCTTTGAACATCTGCTCTAGATTATGGGTAAAATTCGAGCCACATTCGCTTTTCAGTTTTGTGAGCATGTTCCGCTCAGCATCTTGACTCGCGCTCCTTGCCATTAACAGACGGCGGGCCAGGTCTTTCTTATAGAATGCCTCAAACACGTCTTTGCCTTCAATGAACCGAAAGAGCTCGAGGCCTTGTTCCAACTGCCGGTCAAGCTCGGCATCTTCATCGCCGGTGCTTGCCAAGCCCTGCTTTTCAGCATCCATCCGGTCCAATTCGTCTGATGCCAAGGATCGAGGAACAGCCTTGAGACCGCCACGTAGGAGTAAGTCGATGTATTTCGCAATGACCTCGCCGACCTTCGAGTTCCCCGTTCCCCAAACCGTCGCGCTCTTTCGGTCGTTGATAAAAGTGCTATAAGCCTCTCGCATGGAAAATTTGAAGATCTCGTCCTTGTTGAACGCGTCTCGGGTGATGAGGTCCAATGATCTCTTCAGTTCGAGTAGACGAACCACCATATCATCACCCTTTCCTTGACCGCTGACAATCGCAGCTCCGGCTTTCTTTATATACTCTTCCCATGGTACCTTCAACTTATCCTGAATCTCGGAGCCCTTCAATAGGCCATATAACGACTTTAATGACTCGATATCGCGCGCTTCCAGTAACGTACCAACCGCGTGAACATCAAGTAGGAACTCGGAACGGTCTCTGATTAGGATATCTTGCGCATCTGACAGCAATTCCCGTTTCGTTCCACTATCCAAGTTGTGTATGTCGCATCGCACCCCTTCTTTTTCTAATAACTTGACACACTGGGATATCACATTTTTCAGATCAGCGTCGATCAGCGAAAATTTCGAGAAAAACTGCCGCGAATATTCGAGAAACTTTGGCTCAAAGCGTGCTTTATAAAGATTCGTAATAAGCAACATCATTATGATATCCTTGAACAAAGGAGATTTGAACCACCTGGCCTGGTCTTGCCCTCCATGCTTTCTATCATTATTAATCATTTTGTTCGTTGCGTCGTAGACATGCCCATCAATAGGAGGGTTCTCCAGTATTACGGATCGGAATTGCTGGATGGACATATCGTTCAGTTGCGGATATTCCTTTGAATTGAGCAGAAATGAGCGATCAAGGAATCCAAAAATGGCTCTTATGCGCATCTGTTGCGCGTGTTAGTCCGGGCTATCCACAAGGAAATTTAAGGGTCACAAACAGCCTTTGCATTCCAATCCTTCCACGCATCCAGCAGCGCCTCGAGGAATTGCAGCGGATCATTGCTGTTATCTGCCTTCTGGAGACTTCCCCGGACACTGGATGCAAGATAATCACTAGTTCGCTGGCGAAGCTCCTTATATAGACTTTCAGCTTGATTATTCCTGCAGATATCTTCCACATCACGATATAAACGTTCCAGCGGCTGTCGTGGTTGCTGATCCTCCAGTATCGTCGTAACGGCCTCCAGGACCTGGACCTGAACCTTTCTATAGTGCTCGCGAAGATCTGCAACCCGGCTTGGTCTCAGATTCTTGACCACCAGTTTCCTGACTCCTGTTTGCGGCTGGAATCCAACAGTTCGACGGAAATCAACATTGGAAGGAGCCATGAGGCCAACTGTTTCCGACATCTTTCCTTTCGGATGCCCGGCAATTGTCGACTCGATAGTCCTCTGTCGTTTGACCTCGGACCATGAGCTTGGTTTATCTCCGCCTGGCATGGATGCAGCCGTAGCTACTCCGGTTCTGAGAGTGTCTGCGATTCTTCGTTTTGCTGATACAGGGCGGTCGGAAGTACTGTCGGTAGAGATGCCCTCGGAAGGACGCATCTACCTTACACCAGGTTGTCGTTGGGAGATATGGCGTTTGGAGGGGACTCTATCGCGTATATTGCCGTTTTCGGCGCTTAAAGACGGCGTATCGATGTAGCAAATGTTTGTGTAATTGAGATTTGGAAGGAGTTCAACTGAAAGCAATATGAACGAGGTACCAGACGCGGTTGATGGACCTCTCTGGGTGAGCTCTGATGTCGAGACAAGGCTAGCCAGGCGATAACGATAAGTTAACCCCGACGCCACCATTTCAGCCTCCGTACTGTCAGGGGTCTTTTCAACCATAGGGCCAAACCAAAGTTTGCAGTCAAGCTTATGTGCACTCTACATATAAATTGTGTTGCATCACGCTTGGAAATGGTATTCTTTATTTTACATCCGTCTAATGTGCCTTTCGCCGAAAGGCATGAAAATCCCTTTGCGACTCATTTCCAAAAAATATGCGACTCCTCGTTACGCGTTATGTGAAGGATTTAAAAGATTCATGGAGTGGCTTCACTTGGTCGTGACCCTTCTCAGCTGTCAGCAGTGCACTAAAAAGACGGTGCAGACCCGCTGCTCCCATATATATATGCGGGGTGAGTGCCCTTACATCAAGAAAGCCGCTCATCGAAATGAGGAGCATATACGCGTCGGATAGTTCGTCGACAATTTCATCAAGCTCATTGTCTACCACAGCGCTAATACGAGCAGACCGTTTGAAAACTGACAGCATCCAAAGTCGATTCTCGGAGACGAATTTCTTTGCTTGTGCCAGAGTTTGCTCATTTTGAGGCCCACGGCTCACCACACAGCAATTGACCACGCGCATCAATGCAAGGAGCAGCCCATAATGCTTCTTAATCGCGTCAACGTCGGCAATGTCTAGATAAGTTAGGATATAGCCTCTGGCCAAGGGAGGTAATGACGTACCAAGTCCAATATCTGGATCAGTAGAGAATACGCCAGAGTCTCTAATTATCTGGAAGAGCCCAGCACCAAGAACGGCGGTGGCTCCTGACCTAGTTTGAGAGACTTGAACGAGCAAAGCAAGCTTCGCATTCACATATGACAAATACATGTCAATTTCTGCCTGGGTTAGCCTTGTTATTTGTGCTTTTGAGTGTCAGTCTTACCATCAGTCCGAAGATCTTGCATCTCATCCAGTACATTTTGGAGAGAATCCACCAGAAGGCCTATAAAATTGATGCGAGACAAGGTAGTATTGATGTAGCTTGAATCTTCTTTTCTTGCCAATTGAACAATTTGCCCGAGTAGCAATAGGGCAGAAATTCTGCAAGTATTCTCACCAGCATATGCATCATCACAGATTATAGCTACCAGAGATTCACCCGAACCCTTGATAGTTTGAGTAATATATTGGCGGCCTGTGGTCAGCCCCCGCGGCATATCTGACATGCCAACCAGATATTTGTAGCATATTGTGTAAAGTGTTTCTCGGAAATGGCTGTCGCTGATCGGTGATTGGATGGCTTTGAGAGACGCACTGAATAGCTGGCTCAGCCTCTCATTTGCTAGACAGGCCACGTCGTCATTCCGGAATGGCTCAGACGTGAAGTCGATATTGAAGAGAAGGAATTTTGCAAGGGTTGCAAGCTTTTGTGACGCTTCAATATTCACGCTGCTATGCCTTTCCAATTTTGACTGGACAACGAGAACTGCTTCGAGTATTGCCCTCAGCTTGTTTGTGTCCTCGAGGTCGCCCATTGTTACTGTCATCAACACGACTTGAGTCCAACCCTCCAATGTCTCCAGCCAAGTTGCGTGCAGGCGACTTATGTTGCTCTGGGAAGCCATAAACCGCAACAGGTTAAGTGCCTCGGCTTCAAAAATGGCCTCGTCTTCGGGTTTCCGTAAATAGCCCGCAACTTTCAGCTCGCTTCGCCTCAGCACCAAGAGTGCCTCAACCCTCTTAATGTCGTAAACATGCGGTTCCCCGGGGTTGCCCGTGAGGCAGACGCTGAAATTAAGGTCCTTGAAGTAGGGGGAAATTGGAAAAGTTTCGGCAGCCGGATCCACCACCATAAAATCGAACATATCAAATATCGTATAGTTTTGGATTTCAGTTCCATCTTCGATGGTAGTCCTCCCAAGAAGCGTGTTCGATATCTGTTGCCTCACGGAAGTCGAGCCATCTTTAGATACTCGGCGAAGCTCTGATGCGACGTATTGAAACAGCATGGACCTTTGGCTCAGATAATCGTTGATATCGTTTTGCGACTCGATAACTCCAAAGTAGGTCTCACTCGGTAAACCTAGGCCAGATATAGTTTGTGGGCCAATGATGACTTCGCTGGTCCATAGGTGAGTGAAAAAGTTGTGGCTTCGAAGCTCCACCATCACCACTTGTGAGGATATGGGCGACCTCCACAAGGTTCGCATAACCTGTAGCGCCTTGCTCTTGAGGCGCGTAAGCCATGGAGCTATGACATTTTGCTCTGTTTGGACAGGGCATTGAATGGCCAGTTTCATTATAGAATGGAATAGAGATGCATCGCGGGCAAAAGGGCTATCAGGAAGAACTTCGAGGCTTTCCGATTCGCATCTAAAACCCAAGAGCAAGTGCGCAATCGACGGTCTGTTTGGCATAGCTTGAAGGCAAGCGTTCACAAAATCAAGTATGTGAATTTTGATATTATATGCCGGCGATTCAGATGCTTCTTCCATGTCAATGTTAGATTCGAATTCGCTGATGAGAGACCTGGCAATTCGCTCGGAATCGTTCCCCATCTCAAGTGCAGCAATTGCTTTGTTTCTGTCTCGACGTCCACCAATATTTGAAACGGGAGGAGATATTAGCTTAGGAGAAGTAGAAAATCTTTGAAGCAGTTTTAACGACGCAACGGCGAGTTCCGAATGCCCAGAGCCGCAATACAGGCCGAGATCGACAATGACGGGAAGATGGCTTAATACTCCATCGTCGAATGACGCGTAGGCAGCATTAGCAACGGGTGGCCGAGCATGCGTAGCTTGCTGTCTGTTTAATGGTCTTATAATATCCAAGTATGTTGGTTGCAAGTCCATTATAAGAGTTATCACATGGATTGCAGCTAGGATGCTCAACACCAAAGGCGATGATGGAGCGGCATTCCCCACGGCGGAGATCTCTTCGTGAACAGATTCGAACAGCGCATCCATTACTTTCTCATTGAACATCCACTCCATAGTCCTTGAGAACGGATGAAGGCGAACGTATGTATCCAGATCGGAGGCCCTGATAGCACTGTCGACAGACACATTAGATTGATTGGCGAAGACGACAAGGTCCTCGTTGAAAGTGCTCAGGCATGTCGAGATGAAGTCAAGGCACGTCAGCGATAAGAGTCTCTGTTGAGGCTGGCTAATAATCTCCGCCGCCCGGGATTTGCGCACAAAAATCTGCCCCACAACGAAATCGATATAAGTATCAATGCCAGGCATCCGTTTCGAAGAACCAAGATTTTCCGGGAAAGGGAGATCATCGTTCAATCCCATGGATGGTTCCGCGGGTGTTAGAAGGGCGGTAAGGAACTGAATGAAGGAATTTGGTTCTTCGAAACCAGTACTAATCTCTTCAAAAATCCCATTAGTGATCGATGCTGATGTTGACATTGTTAGTGGTACTTTGGGCATCGTTGAGTGTCCGCCAGAAATCCACTGATCCAGGGACATCCAAGTCATATCGTTGATCTCCTTAGATTTTTGGCTGAGCAGCGACCGTAGGGTAGTAAAAGCGCACGCTCGAAGACGAGATTCTATGCGGCTGCTTGCCAGTTCGTAAAGTAAACCTGTCAGATGAAATGACGGGTGCTTAAGAATGAAAGTCCTCGCCTCTTCACTTCCAGTGCATAGACGAGTGATCAGGCGTAAGTAACTCTCCAGCATCAGTGTCTCTTCCGGTTCGGACTCGACCTCATTGGCACCAGGTTTTCCGGCACGGTACGATGTAGACTGGTGGGGCGCAGGCTGGTTGCGTAGTTTTGAGGTATAGTGTGTGAGATCAGTGAATATTTGGCTCCACGTAAGAGATTGGCTGCGCCGTAATTTACCAGACGCAGTTGTGCTTTCTTCGAGTAGGAATCTATGCGAAGCAGTCGCACACTCGTCATCTTCAGATATTGCCTGAAGCATTTCACAAAACGCGCTCAATAGTGGTGTCGAAGCTCTACACGATGCCCATTGGAGGAAGCCAGCGAGGTTGCTGTCTGGATCCGACCAAAACGCCAAAGCGGCATCAGGCCGTTGTTCAAAAGCATATGAAATAATAACCAAGAACCGTTCGAGGTCAAGGTCATGCTCGTAGGTAAGGCTCAACTGCCTCTGTTCTTGCTCTTCCGTCCTCAACTTGCGCAAAGGGTCGGGCATATTAGTGATAAATGCATCTATAAAGGCCTCCAACTGCTCCTTCAATGTCAGCTGGAAAAACTCTGAGAACGGCACTGAGTCTTGAAGCATTGGAGGAACTTTATTTTGCAGCCAGCGCCGCAAGCCCTGTCGTGCAGGGTCCTGCCAGTCACCAGATTTAACATCGGCACCAAGAGACAAAAGGAACTCGAATGCTCCGTCTTTAAGAAACCCTGCAAATTGTTCTGATCTTATCCGTTTCTCTGCACATGATTAGCACAAATTAAGCAGCCACTAAGGGGTTCTGGGCTTACCGTCTTCCAGATTGACCCCCACGGCCGGAGAGTTGCCTTGGTTGTCGAGATACCATCCACTATACTCTCCCAGCCAGAGGACAGAAACTCCAGCGTAAACATATTGTAACGTCCAATTATTCTTATCTTTATTTTCAAGAATCATCCGATTAAGATTGCGAGCCTGCTGGAGCGAGCCAGAACCTTCGGGCGATCCAAACGTGGAGATGAAAGCAGCCGTTGCTGGGAAGTAGTGGACTGCCATAATTTGTTAGATTTCATCAAACGAGAAGATGATCATATTCTATCATACCTAGGAGGTTGTCAAATCTGTCGGTTTGCCTAAGCACACCAAGAACACTCTCAAAGTTCTCCGCTGAAGAGTATCTTGCTTTCACGAGACAATAAACTATAGAGCCCAAAGATTCGTGCTGTTGTATAAGACTCACTCTCTGGTACTCAATGGTCTCAGAGAACTCATCCGTTTGGCCCTGGTATAGAACATTGGCGCTGTTTACTCTGTCGGCAAGATCCTGCAGCCATGTCTTGATGTCTGCCATGCTCTGCAAGCACTTCTTGACAAAGCTAGGCCCATTTTCTGCTTTATTATCCGTTTGAAGTACAAGCCCAACAGCTGTCTGAAAAGTACTCTTGATATTCTCTTGGACTTCAAGCTCGTCTGAATTTGAATCGGAATCGGAATCGGTATTTGCCGACGACAATTGTAGAACGAGTCGAAAGCAATCCAAAAGGTACTTCCGGGTTTGGTGAAATCTGATTATAGAGCATTCTAAGACGGAACGGCCAAGCACGTCCGCGTCCTCCTGCGATGCAAAGAATATTCGTGCGGCATCGAGTTCGTCCAGGTTGACAGCATCTGCAAGCATCAACGCCCCTTGCTTAAAGTCATCGTTGATAGAGTATTCTTCGTCTTGTATCTGGATTCTTCCTATGGACACCGAGTTAGATCTGTTAGGCTTCAACCGCAACCGGAATATCTGTGCATACCAGAATCCAAGCTCTTTCTGCTCTGTTCATTGCGTGGAGCTTTATCTAGGAGCCGTCGAAATTCGTCGAGCCTAGTTTCCAATTGAACCCACAGCCGGTCGATGTTGGGAAGGCGTTGCTCTGCCTGAGCTACCAGATCCCTGTGAAGAAGCTCCAGCCCTTCGAGGTCAGTAAGCCCGGCCATTGCATGCGATACTCCGATTGCAAGTTTATTATATGGCGCCCAAGCATATAAAAATAGTCCAGCCGCCCTGAGATGCGAATGAAATCATTTGGTGCCACAGAAATGGTGGTTGGTTGGCTGGTAGAGTAGAGGCCCCTGTCAAGTTGGAGAATCTGGCAGAAATCGGTGTACGCGACGTTGATACTGTTTATCGCGCCAAGCCGATTTGCGGGGGTAAAGCTTTGGGGAGCGACAGCCTCGCCGACCAAGCTCCGCAAACAAATGCGCTGACTGATGACCTTGTCCCCTCCAGTCTCCTAAACTTTCTACCCTTTACCTGTGAACAATTTGATCAATTCTTGCCAATAAAGTAAAGCACCTCGATGAAGGCCTGTCAGTGTTGATGCCAACAGTCTCTCTCGATGGTGTAGCAACGTCCACTTTTCAAACAATGTTCAATCAGCGTTGAAGTCACAAAAGATCCGCTGTAAAGATGGTGTCAGGCAATGGGGAGATCAGGATTGATGAGGCTCTGCATACTATGAATTCTGGTGGTGTGAGGAATCGAACAGACGGTGTCACAGGTACGTCAGTTTTTGTGTCTAATTATGTACTCTGCTGACTATCCAGGTCTAATAACGATTTTTAAGCACAATCGACAAACATCCTCTCTGTATGGAACACATCAACTCTGGCGCCTATAGTTTTAAGGGCTAATATATGCTATAGGGAAGTCCTGAAAGATGGAGCCTACCACACGATCTATGAAGCGCTATTCAAGGTTGCCACTGAAGAGAAGCGATTGTACCTATCAGCCAAGAATGACAAGGCTCGAACAAAGGCAGAGAAAACACTTTCGAGTTGCTCTGAGGCTCTACGAATTACCATAAAAGCAGGGGCCGAGAAACTGAAGCCTAGGACGGTTATAGCAGTTATCGAGCACATTACTCAGCTTCTCCCTGTTGCATCGGGAGAATATTGCCTCGCCTTTAGCCAACAGTACCTTAAAGTCTTGAACATACTGCTGGGACACGAGGCCCATGTTGAGTTACTTGACCAGGGTGATTGGCTTGCCACAGTTGAATTTTGCCTCGACGGTATTGAGCAATATGAGAGCAGCACTAGAGCAGCATCCATACCTCATGGAAACTCGATTACTGTCCCATTGTCGACCGCATCTTCAGTTTACACATCAAGATCGAGGTCATCAGTTAAGTCCGTGTCGGGTGAGGCACATCTTTCCTCTATCAAAAAGCGAAATTCCGAAGAGCTCATGGAATGTCTGTTGTCTCTCGTTTCTGCCCCCAATGCTGCAGTTTCTGAGAGAACCGAGCACATTCTAAAGGCCATTGTACACTTTTTAAATTCTCAGGGCAATGTCGTGAGCTCCTTTCATCAGATTGCATTTGCCGCCCTCAATGCTGTGCTCTCTGTCACGGGTGCAGATGAAATTTCTCTGGCAGAGTCAGTGGTTTGTTCTGTCGTGCCCTGTATCAGCCGTTTGTGGTCTTCTAAGACAGCAGCAAATGATGAAATGCTTAATACAGCAAAGGACGAAATGGCAATAACGATACTGTTGCTTCGACTGCATCTAGAAAAGCTAGTTTCCGATCCTCTAGGTGATGATAGCCTGGGAAATATATTGAAAGACTTGCGAGACAGTTTAGCCAATGACTACGAAAAGCGTGCTGAAAGAGACCAGCTTCAGCTGGATGATATGGATTTTTCAATTGATCCAAGTGAAAATCGAATTTCCAGCTCGTTAAGTTGTGGATATCTGCGCCTCAGACAGCAAGCACCCCGTGCCGAAAGGAAATGGGCAGTGGTTCAAGTTCTCGCCATACTAGATAGACTTCTCCACGGGGCACCCTTAAGATCGAACCCCGTAGCTACTGACGATAATGAGAGTCCCGAAGGTGCCAGTCACCCGCGAAAACGCCGGCGTATCACTGAGCGTTTTGATGCTCTCGCCGACGAAATAAGGCTCGGCGACTCTGGCGTACAGCTGGTGGCCCTCCAGACTCTATCCTTTGCTCTACCACCTAGTCAAGTCTCTCAGAATACCTTGGCAGGCATTCTTGCTACATTAGCATCGTTGGTTCTCGATAGAAACATTAATATTAGCTGCTGGGCAATATTATGCATATCCAGGTAAGCTTGTTTCCTTCAGGCCTGGTAACATTTCTGACGGCCCCTAGTTGTGCCCGCCAAAGCGCTGCAGAGTCTAGCACTGCTAGCTTCAGCTGGAAACAGCTATGGCACACAGTCAGTAGATTGGTCACAAGCCGAGCCCTGTGTCGACCAGCGTGCTACTTACTGCATACTATTCTTGCAAAGAAACTTGTCGAATACAACGACGTGGTTGAATGGGCCACATCTATGCTGACAATGACCGAAATAAGTGCCCCTGCATCAATCTGCGATTCAAGCTTAGCCTTGATGGCCCATTTGGTCCACATGAGGAATATGGAGGGATCAGGAGGAGGCGTAAACCCAAGCCAAAATGTTGTGCGATGGTTGTTCTCGAAGTGGAATCCAGGTACAGTTTTATCTATTAAATCTGCTATGACTTACTAAATAATTACAGCTGAAAAGGCTTTCGCGACTCGTACTTCCATCGACATATACCCTGTCGATGTTTCCAACCTTCTCAGAACTATCTTTGATCTTCCTGGGCTCGCATTATTTGCGAATGGTAACCAGCCCGGTGGAGTGATTAGCCAAGCTTGGCTTCGCCACCGTCAGAATGAGAAGACCTTGCGATTATTGTTACTTTTAGATGACGAACCTAGGACCTCAACGGAATGCTCCAGATGCGCACCGACGTTCCGACTTTACCAATGTGCACAGTCTAGCGATGCCCAGTTGCATGGTAATCCCATGAAGCGGCTTATCTCTGACTTGCTCCTACCCAAGTTAGATGTGTTAGCTCAAGGATGGGGAGAGCAAGAGGCTTCAGAAACGATCGAGATTTCATCGGATTCTATGCACTCTACTTTGTCTGCATGCATTACCACATGCCTCATATTACCAATACTGGAAAATGCAGGTTCATCGTACATGCTTGATGATATCAAGCGCATCCTCGAACGTCTCGAAACTATCATCACATCTGTAAATTCCCAGGTGGGTGTTAACAGGGTGGTCGTCGAAGCCATGCTGCAGGCCATCCGGCCATATCTTCCCGCAATTGGCTCCGAAGAGATTTGTCACATATACAAGACACTCCCACGGCTAGGAAACTTCATTGTATCATTTGCAGAAATATTTAAACTTTACAAGTGCCAGAAGGAAGATGGTTTTGCCGCCGATGATATGGAACTGGATGATGTTTTTGACACCCAACAAGGCTGGACAAGATCTAAGAGATCCCAGAATGTCATTGAGCGTCGAGAAATGGCAATGAAACTAAGCCCAGCAACGTTTTTCAACAATACCTCAACGAAACTAATACTTGCTGCCAGTTTCTTTGAATGCCAAACAGAAACGCTCTGTGTCCCAACAAATTTCATAGATTACCTTCTCAACCTACCACCAATGGATATTGTGTCTTGTACCGAGCTTATTTGCGAAATTCTACACAGCGATTTGTCGTTGAGCTCGGACGATGCTTCGAGGATAGTACAATGCGCGGGTGGCCTTTTATCCTCGCAATATTCATGCTGCGAAGTCACACTAGGGCTTTGTATCGATACTATGGAAGGACTACTTTCGTCATGGGCAAACTCCAAGAGCGGAGAATTAGGGGAAATGGTGCAACAGCTTTATGGATGGCTCGTCGGCACTATAATTTCGAAACGAGGAACTTCCCCCTATGTTCAAATTCGCTTCTCCAAACTTCTATTCCAACTTATCAGAATCCAGCCAACATATGGGGACGATCAATCTCTACCTTCTGTAAGGTCAAGTCTTTTTGATATCCTTCAGAAAGCTCCCATTCTTGTTAAGTTTAACTTGGCCCAAAATATCCCGGATATTTTTGGCTTATTCGTTTTGAAAAACCACCTGCGAATACTCAATGATCTATTGGACAGCTTGCCTACTGATTTGGACTGGTGTGAGGGAAATGCTTTCCGTCTCTATATTCTCAGCAGGTTAGCATCACGTTGGCCGACACTGCTTCGAATATGCGCCTACTATATTCTTGAGGTGTCCGGAAGAGTGCCTGCCTCTATCCCATACGCCAAGAGGTGTCTATTGGAAGTTTCCGAGACGCTGGGACTCAGCAGCGCCAGAGAATTATTTCTGCTGTTTAACTCCCAGCTCCTTTTTACCTGGCTTGATACAGAACCGTTTGAAAGTTTGCCGCATATTATCTTTGGGTACAATACCCTTCATGACCTTCTCCGGGATAGCCAAGAAGAAATATCGGCACTCATGGTCATGAGAGATCGAGACGACGAAGTAAAAAGTCTAGCAGAATTGCTCGAAGAGCCAGTCGAACAAATCTTGATGAAATCTTTTACGAAAGTTATTGCATACAGCGTTGCTCACGATATAAGCATTCCTCCTTCCGACACGTCAGGAAAATATATTACGGGAGAAGCACGAGTAAGAAAGCAGCTTGGAAAAAATGTCTTTCTTGATCTCATGAAAACGCATTTCGCAGACATCATCAGTTTACTGTTCAAATTAATTGACCATGAACAAGACCTTGAGAAATCCTTTATGAAAGAAGACGCACTCCAAATACCAGCCAGCATATTAAGCGAGATAAAGGAGTTCAGCTCATCTAGTATAACGTTGCCCCCCAGCCAGCAGCCAACATTTAAGGCCAAGTACTTGACAAGAGAAATCAATCATGTGTGTGGGAGAACTCCCTACGAGCCCTCGGATATTTTTACGCCAGTCATGGTCACGTTCGTAGCAAGAAAGCTTCTGGACACCATGAATCCCGCACTTGGCTCTCTACACGCATGCTCAGTACTCCGGAGGCTGCGTGTTCTTATTGGACTTGCTGGTCCAAATGCCGTCAGCGGCTATCCGCTCGAGATGATATTGCATAACCTCAGGCCTCTATTAGCAGATGTTGAGTGTGCTGATGATGCTATTGGAATAGCCCAGTATCTTTTCACGCGCGGATCTGAATATTTGAGCACCGTGCCCTCATTTATCATAACAATCGCATTGTCAATGTTCGGGACTTTGAAGGTGTTCTTAAGTTCGAGCCCTTCCAGCACTACACAAGAAAGCCAATATAGAGAAACTCTCTCGAAAGCGGAGTCGTTCCACTCATGGCTTGGCCTATATCTGAAAAATTACAAGGTTATTGGTTTGGACCGCAGGGACCAAGACGCGTTTCGAGCCATGGTGGAATCTGCCCATGGGTTAAGTGCCTCCGATTCGACCGATATGGGCACTACGGGTGGAGATTTGCTTATGGACATCCTCAGAGATAAGCGCTCTCGTAGAAATCTTTTGAGCAAGTCGACTTGCGATGTTGTATTTTCTCTTCTATACAGCGAGTTTGCAGCGCCAGCGTCGTTCAGGACAGATCACCTTGGTCAGGACGACCGCGCAGTAAGGTATGCCCCTACTGTATGGGAGCTTTGCAAGACTGGGTCCACGAGCAGTTCGTTTCTTACCTGGGCTGGCAGAGTGTTTGGCAGAGCATTCGCTGCCACAGGGCATATCGAGTTATCATTATTGAAGGAGACAGATTTACACGAGATACTTGATCCTGTTGAAATAGATGCATCCAACAAGCCGTCATCTAGGAGTTCGATCTTGGGACTGGTCAAGAACTTGACAGTCGTAGATCATGGAAGTGTCACAGGAGTGGCCGAAGCTGCTCTTCGAATCATCGTCAGTGGCGTTACTAGCCAACCGAACAACGCTGACGACGCAGCATGTTCAATATCATTATCGGCATCTCTAATTCAATGCTCAACTTGGTCGCCATATAATGTCTCTCCAGCCGATATGCTCGCCTTTCAAACTCCAGCTCCAAAGGATCCATTTTCCCCTGGTTGTATCGAAGACCCCGCATGCATACGGGACCTCTCTATCTTTCTCGTTCAATCCGTACCGTCCGATTCTGTCATTCATCCAATCCAGCAACTCCTGGTTGATGCCGCTGGGTTTGCGGAGAAATGTTTCCCTTTCATTCTTCATATCGTATTATCCCAAAAATTAGATGAATCTCAGACTATGAAGCGCCTTTTGTCGACCGCCCTTCGATCGTGGTTTAGCAATGGCAGGGATATCGTCAAGGAGCGGCTTAAACTTCTGATCAATGCAATCTTATACTTAAGAACACAAGCTCTCCCTCGTGAAACTTCAATAGCAGATCGCTCTCAGTGGCTTGATATCGACTACCGCCAAGCATCTCAGGCAGCCGTGAACTGCGGCATGCTCAAAACAGCGTTGTTGTTCACGGAATTATCATCGTCTGAGTTGGTTAAGGCGTCGCGTCGATTCTCCTCAGTGAAGCAGCCTGAGTCGGAAATATTATTTTCAATATTCAAGAACCTTGACGATCCCGACATATTTTACGGGCTGCAACCTACTGCCACCCTAGAAACAATATCGGCTCGTATGGAGTATGAAAAGGATGGCCTCAGGACCTTGATGTTTCGAGGGGCAGAGTACGACACTCAAATGCGGAAAGGAGGGCAGGCATCTACTTCAGAGGCTCAGAGCTTGGTCGGTGCCCTCAGTATGTTGGATTTAGACGGACTGTCATATTCATTGCTCCAGTCTCAGCAAATGGCTGTTGTTATGAATGAGCCTGCAATACAGAATATGTTTCGAACCGCTCGCAAACTAGAGCAGTGGGATCTTCCCATCCCGGACGCCTACGACGGCGGTTCTATAACGATATACAAGACGTTTCAAGCATTAAACAATGCTGTTGATCATGTATCGGCGCATGTTGCTGTCGACACGGGGATTAAGTCTGTCATGTCAAATTTGAATCAGGTTCAGGGAGATGCTGCGTCGATACATACATCCCTCCAAGCGCTGTCTATTTTTACAGAAATGGATGAAGTGCTAAGCTCATCCAACTCTGAACAGTTTGAAGATATGCTCCAAAGGTTTGAAAGCCGATCTAAGTGGATGAAGACTGGAAAGTAAGCTTAGCCCAACCCCATAAACGTTGGTTCTCTATGATTCTAACCAGATATAGGTTCGAAGATGTGAGCCAAATAATTTCCAGCAGACAAACCCTTTTAAGCTGCGTAAACCAGCAGTCATCACTACGGAAGATGATCAATGTCAGCGCATCTGATACGCGTCTTGTTGAGGCCCGGTCATCCCTATTATCATCAAGCATTCACAGATCCCACGGTGCCCTCCAGGAGTCACTCACTTCGGCAACTTATTTGAATAGTATAACTGGGTCTTGCCAAGAGCTCGGATTGAACATTGAAGCTGCTGCATATTTTGAAGTTGCAAATGCAATGTGGGACCAAGGAGAGATGGCCTCCTCAATTGGTATGCTTCAGGAACTCGAGCAGCTCTCAAATTTGAGGGAACAAACGATTCCTATCGGAAAATCAAAGATTCTTGCCAAAATCGCATCTCAGGTGTCCATGGCAAAATTGGAGAAACCAGACCGCATCATCGAGAAATATCTGTCCCCTGCTCTTGCGGAGTTGAAGGGTAAGACGGACGGCAGTGACGCTGGGCAAGTTTATCACGAATTTGCAGTCTTCTGTGACAGACAGTATCAAGACCCCGACAGCATTGAAGACCTTGAACGTCTGAGGACGCTGAAGGAAATGAAAGAAATGGAAGTTGAGACTCTTCTCAAACTGTCCAAAGAGGCTACGTCGGGCCAGAAGCAGAGAAACCATAGGGCATATAATCAAGCTAAGCAGTGGCTTGCATTGGACACCGAGGAGTACGAACGGCTGAATGATGGAAGAGGACAGCTACTCCGTCGTAGCCTGGAGAACTATCTATTATCTTTGGCCGCCTGGGACGACCACAATAACGACGCTCTCCGGTTCACAGCATTATGGCTAGAACACTCTGACGAAGAAGTTATATCAGAGTCTGTTTCAAAGTATCTCTCTAATGTTGCTACTATGAAGTTTGCATCGTTGGCGAATCAACTTACATCACGCCTACTTGATACCAAGGATAAATTTCAGGTGCAACTGCTCAACCTAGTTCTGAATATATGTAAGGATCATCCTCACCATGGGATGTATCAGATTTGGGCAGGCACGAATAGCAATCCAAGCGCAAATGATGAAACAGCTTTATCAAGGCAAAAGGCAACGAAAGAGGTTGCTCTCAAGCTGAGCAAGAGCGCCAGATCCGGTGGTACTTGGTCGGCTATAGACCGAATAAGCCACCAGTACTGCCATTTTGCCAGTGAGCGAGAGAAGGTCAAGAGTGGTTCAAAGATAAGCTTGAGAAATTCACCAGCGGGCAGCGCGTTGAATGCCATGCTGCCAAAGAATCCGCTTCCTCCGCCAACTCTACAAATTGAACTTGCAGCCGATAAGAATTATTCTCGATTGCCTACCATGATCAGCGTCGATCCCAGCTTTTCCATCGCAAGCGGCGTAAGTGCCCCAAAAATAGTTACATTACTGGCTAGCAACGGAAAGAGATACAGACAATTGGTAGGCTTCTATTCTCCGTATTTTATACTCGGGGTGCTTGCTAATATATCACAGGTTAAGGGTGGTGCTGACGATCTCCGGCAAGATGCAATCATGGAGCAGGTCTTTGCACAAGTCAGCGAACTATTGAAAGAGAATTCAGCCACTCGCCAGCGCAATTTAGGGATTAGGACGTACAAGGTATTACCGCTCAGCTCTACAGCAGGTATTATTGAGTTCGTCCCAAACACTATGCCTCTTCACGAGTTCCTCATGCCTGCCCACGAAAGGTTTTATCCGAAGGATCTCAGAAGTCAACAGTGCCGCAGCGAAATTCAGAGTGTCCAGACTCAAAAACTCGATGTGAGAGTGAAGAAGTATCTCGCCGTGACTGATAAGTTCCATCCTGTTTTGAGGTACTTTCATTTGGAGAAGTTCACGGATCCCGACGAATGGTTCGCCAGAAGGTTGGCATATACACGCTCCACAGCTGCCATCTCAATTCTTGGCTATGTTCTCGGCCTCGGTGACCGCCATGGTCATAACATTCTTTTGGATGAGAAGACCGGTGAAGTCGTTCACATCGACTTGGGTGTGGCTTTCGAAATGGGTCGTGTCCTTCCGGTTCCTGAGCTGGTCCCGTTCCGGCTGACTCGAGACATTGTGGACGGCATGGGAATTTCGAAAACGGAGGGAGTCTACCGTCGCTGTTGCGAGTTCACGCTGGAGGCCTTGCGGAAGGAGGCAGATACGATCATGACTATCCTTGACGTTCTTCGCTACGATCCCCTGTATACATGGTCGATCTCGCCCATCCGTCTTGCGAAGTTACAAGATGCTCAGAGTGCAGCCCCCCCTATAAGCACTGCTAGCTCAACTGCTACGAATAACGGAAAGTCGAAAGGAGCAGTAAATGAACCCAGTGAAGCAGACCGTGCGCTTACTGTTGTCCGAAAGAAGTTATCGAAGACTTTGAGCGTTACAGCTACTGTGAACGATCTAATTAACCAAGCCACCGATGAACGGAATCTAGCAGTCCTCTTTGCTGGTAAGTACATTCTTTCATTTATAACGGATAATTGCTAATTATTTATAAGGTTGGGCTGCGTACGCATAATCACAGGAGGAAACCCTTGGGAAGGGGAGGCAAAAGGGGGCGTAGAAAACTTGAGTCTAGGCATTTTAGCTTTGCCATATACCACTGTTGCGTCTATCATAGTAGATTTTTGTATCAACTTCATGTTTGTGTACATATGAAATAGACTAACTTACTTGTTAACTTATCAATTTTAAATTTGCACCATTATTAATTCGGCCATGTAGTGTCGATAAATAATATTATCTACCACATAAATAAAACCATCTCCGGCCTCATATTTTATTAATATATACAGAAAAATATTTTTAGCAACAGTATTCGATGATTTACCATGGCAAAATCCAGAATTGTGACATGAAGTGGCCTGGATCCTTATGAAATAGTGCCACTAGCGGCATCCAAATCTCGGTTTCAATCCGACGGGTTGTCCATGAGGCAAGCTATAACTTCTTAACCGTACGCAACAAATAAAATAAACAGCGCTGAGTTTTGCATTTTTCCATTGATAACCAATTTTTATACAAAAATAGGTTTAGGAATTATCACCGAATCTCAGCCAGCGAGGATGAAGCGTAATAATATTGTGGTATTTTCTGGTGGTAGCGCGGCGAATACCTTGGTGGATGTTTTTGGAAATGTGGCTCGTGAGAAGGGCTGCACGCTGAGCTAGTGAGATATAAATTTCGAAGCGCGAACCGTTGCTAATGGATCTTTAGCATCATCCCCATCAGTGATAATGGCGGATCGTCGAGCGAACTAATTAGAGTGCTTGGGGGACCTGGGATTGGTGATGTGCGAAGTATGCCTCAACCCTCCTGCCCCCAGTTCAAGGCAGAGCAATTTAACAATGGACAGGTCGTCTCGTCCGCCTAATTCCGGAAGATGTGGCTGGAAATGACCCCGAGAAGGCAGCCATGAAGACATTTTTCAACCACCGTCTAGCAGCATCCACCCCAGAAGCAGCACGCGCAGAGTGGCTAGATATCGTTGAAGCCCGTCACGAGCTATGGACCTCCATCTCCTCCGAGAAGGAAGAATTGATCCGTTCCTTCCTCAACACCACTAACCTCGAGATTGTAAAGCGAGCTCGGCCCTCCTCGTTCTTCAACTTTCAGTCTGCTGCGGTGGGCAACCTCTTCCTCACCGGCGCCCGTCTGTTCACTGGTTCATTCGAATCCGCCATTTATCTTCTCGGATCCATCACGGGGGTCCCATCGAACGTGTCCGTCATTCCCGCTATTAATTCTAATTTCTCCCACCACATTTGCGCTGGCCTTAGAGATGGAACATCGATTGTCGGACAGAACTCAATCTCCCACCCCAGCGCTCTCCCGAACAATCTTCCAGGCGGAGAGGATGAAATAGATGGCCCCATGTCACCGACGACCTTCCAACGGAAGACTTTCGAGGAACTTATCATGCACGATAGCGTCGAAGATGCGAATCTCCCGGGCTCTCTTCCCACCTTAAGGAAACAATATATTGACTTCCACAAGTCTGATACGGAAGATCTTCCCTCAAGAATCCGCAGGATATGGTACATCAACCCCTATGGGCAAGAAATACGGCCGAGTCCGAACAGAAAGGCTCTTGCGGCATTGGGAAACTCGCAAGCTGTGATTTATAGCATCGGTTCCCTATATACGTCTATTATCCCGTGCCTAATATTGAAGGACGTAGGAGACGCGATTGCTGCCCCTGGGATCAAATCGAAGATTCTGATTCTCAACGGCTCAATAGATCGCGAAACTGGCCCAGCATCAAATCCATATTGCGCCCGAGATTTCATTTGCGCCATTTCCAACGCGTGTGGAACCTCCAGGGGCGACCTACGCGTCGATGCTGCGAACATGAACAAGTATGTCACGCACGTGATCCACCTTGAGGGTGAGGGGACACCGAAGGTTGATAAGGAAGAGCTGAAGAGCTTGGGTATTGAGACTTATAGAGTCTACGGGAGGAAGAATCCAGAGGGTGGGATGCTGTATGACGGCAAAGCGTTGACACAGGCACTTGAGTCGATATTGGGCAGGGAGGATAAAGGTGTCGTACGGAGGAATACGCTGCAGCATTAAAAATCATGTACATTAGAGGGTTCATAGGTATATATATTAATCGTAAATTCTTCGTTGCGGTATCAGCTCTCGCAAGGTATCTGAAAACCGAGCCATCACCATCTGCTGAGCTTGTCCTTCCGCTGTATCTCCAAAACGCGCGATGCCTGCCTAATAGTACATGGTATTGTGGGTGGAAATTCATGTTCGTAGGAAAGTGGCTCCAAGTCCCGCAGCAACGCATCTAATAACCCACGCATATCCATGCCCCGACCTCATATCCATGTGTATGATCCAATACTACCATCCATCCCCGCCCCGATACGCCGCCGTCATTTATATACTGTCATTATCGTAACGCAGGCTTCTTTCCTTGCTTCTTTGTCATGAGTTTCATCGTCAGGTGAAACACGCCGGTCTTGGGTTGTTTCCCGTCCTTTTTCGGCACTCCGATTGCTGTGCGGCAGACTGGGCACGATCTCTTGCCTGTGCCGACGTTGAGAGCACCATGGAGGCACGAAGAGCAAAACATATGTCCTACAACAGTTAGCATTATCATGTAACAAAGATCATGAATGAGAACTTACCACAATGAGTAATCGCCAGTTCCTCTGGCTGATCTAAACAGATCACGCACTGCGTCGTAGCAAGCTTCTGAGGTTTATCAAGCTCTGCTTGCCGTTGTTGTTTTATCAGGTCTTCCTGCCGCTTCTTCATGACTTCAGCGTAGCTGGTGTCGTCTTCCGCATCGATCAGGTCCAGTTCTTCCACCTTGTCACCTGGTTTGCTTTTTTTGTGATCATCCCTCAGTCCCTCCGGACTGGCATCAGCGTCCTTCTTTCGCTTTGCCGTCCGGCCTTCACTGTCTACACTTGATAGACGGCGCTTCTTTGGTGTTCTAGTTGTGGCGACAGGTGATGTTTCAGTGAGGTCGACTATGCTGGATTCTCTCGTACGGGTGGGAGTCTGTTGTAGAGATGATGGACCATTCAAGAAGGCGTCGAAATCGAAGTCCTGAAGAACATCATCTCCTTGTGGCGAGGGAGGTTCGTGTTGCGGCATTTGTGTGGTTAAGAACGTGTCTTGCCAGGACGTTCGTTGTCGGTAACCGCGGGGTTGTTGCGGTCTGGTCGTATTGTTGGAGCCTAAGAGCATGGACAGAGTGGGGGAGGCGTTTCCGGAAGACGGTCGGGATACATTGATCCATGGAGAGCGTGAGATTGAGGTGCGCCGGGGCTCCTCATCCTCTGGCGACGATACGAATAGTGATTGGCGGTTAGAAGATGGAGTGCCCATGGCGAGACTGTGATGCGACCTGGAAAGATCCAACAGGCTACGGTCGTAGATGCCTGTTGAGGAATAAGGGTTTGTCCCCAGCCCTTCGGTCTTCTTCACAGACAAAGAGGTGCGCTGGGGCTGAAATTCAAAGCCATAAGAAGGCAGTTACGTATATCTAAGAGGGAGAGATTGTGTGTATGGCTTCAAAACCTCAACGCCGCGTTGGGACGTTGGGTGTGCGAAGTGGCGACTGTCGTGACCATAGCGCTAGTCTTCCATTAGAACCTTTATTGGAAGTTGGTGGAGCAGGTCAGCTGACTCGTCGTACCAAACTTCGGCAGGTGCGGCCGCTCCGCGTATTCGTGGTTTTGTGTCTCCGTTTTAGGGAATTCGCTTTCTTCAATATCAAGATCAAAAGACATAAGGCGATATTGGTAGTCTACTAAAAGCAAGGTCATCAACTGTGGGTGGCACTTACGCTCAGGTTTGGTGGCATTTTGAGATGTTATGTAGGTCAGATCCGTTGCTGAACAACGCTGAGAAGTTGCTTCCAATTTATATAAAACAGGACGCCGAACTATTCAGCCAAGTGAGTTGATCTCTACAGCCAAGCTACTTGGTGTTGATTACCAAGCCCTATGGATGAATCATTCGCCATCCGTCCCTAATATGCTTTATTTCTTTTATATTTTCTACGCTTATGCCTTGGCTTCTGAATACCTCTATACGTACTAGTACACTCCATTGAGTGCGTTATGAAAACACACCTTCCAGTATACACACATAAACCGTCACAATGCGTAGGCCAGCGCGGTGCTACCGCTACTGCAAGAATAAAGTAAGTGCTTCCTATTCCAATGCTTCATCAAATACTAATCGCACCAGCCCTTCCCAAAATCCAGACACAACCGCGGAGTTGCCGACCCAAAATGAGCAGGTTTCCTCCAAGGCCCTCGAGGCGGCCCGTATCCAAGCCAACAAGTAAGCATCCCTTCCTATCTCATCAATTGAACAACAACTAACATAAAACTAGATATATGGTCAAGAACTCCGGCAAGGAGACTTTCCACCTTCGCATTCGCACACACCCTTACCACGTCATCCGTATGAACAAGATGTTGGCTTGTGCTGGTGCAGATCGTCTGCAACAGGGTATGCGTGGCGCATGGGGTAAACCCGCCGGTATCGTTGCTCGCGTTAGGGTCAACCAGATCCTGATTTTGATGAGAACGATCGACCGTTGTGAGCTCCAGGCTAAGACGGCGCTGAAGAAGCCATGTACAAGTTCCCCGGCCAGCAGAAGGTGGTCGTTAGCAGGAACTGGGGATTCACGAAGGTGAAGAGGGAGGACTATCAGACGATGAGGGAAACCGGCCAATTGAGACTTGATGGTGCTGGCGTGCAGTTTCTTGAGAAGAAGAGAAGGATAGAAGACCAGATGAAGAATTTCCCAGCTGCATTTGCAGATGGGATAGGTGTGGAACAGCTGGCGATCTAAGGCGCTTGAAGGCTCAAAGATTGCCAGAGGTAGCAATAGTTAAAATATAAATGATACAATATACATCAATTATCCACACACTCTATCTTTATCGACAAACAAATGCTTATGTGAATTAAATGTTCCTCATCGTGATTCTCATAGACTAAAACGTCGTCTGGCTGTTCTCTTAAAAAAAAGTAGCATAAATCTGCCTTAAATTTAATAATATTGGTTATATCCTCACGTTGGAAAAATTATTTTCTTGCTCTCTTTTGTGTCCTTTTTTCGGGGGGGATGCATTTCCTGGCTTTGCTCTGCGAACATTCTCATTTTCATTTTCATTCTCCTCCGATATTCGATACCCCCACATTCGGGATTGTAACGTAAGCGACGCTAACGTGGATTTGGTGCAATATTACTCAAAGTAGCTCGATAGTGGCACGCCCGCATCATCGACCGATGTAAGATTGCAATATCGACAACATATGGGCAGGAAGGAGTCATGAGCATGACACGTCGCATATAGTATGCTTCTCCCAACACGCGCTGGATATTCGAGTCGACCATGCGCCAGCTTCGTTAGGCTCGCAAAGCTCAAGGCGCGGGATGAAACCACACATCTCAGTCGCGGCGCGGTACGACGCGGATTCGCAACAGATGGAGCCATTTCAGAAGATGACCAGACGAAGAGCACATCTTCCCTTGCCAGTATGTATTGCGCACGCGATGGTAGTATTGTACACCCTACTAACGACTTCGCGCAGAGACTTCAAACCCCCGTTTTAATGAAATAGGGGTGCAGCAACTTAGTAGCCATGTCCACTCCCAAATATTCCCGGGACCGTCAGTTGCAGCGCCAAAAGAACTTGTCGAGCTTTCGAGAGATCATTTGCAACGACACGAGCTCCTTGGCAAGAATACAGACGATAACCCGCCGATATCGTTCGATTTACCACTACTCCAAGGCGAAACCCTTGATGAGCACTTCTATAAACTAGGCACGGATGCTGGGGAACCATACTTTGGTTATGCAAACCAGTTTACAAAGGCAAACGGTCCACCCAAACCGCGGAAATGGGTGCATCGAAGCGGCTGGACGAAGTACTATAGTGATGGGAGGACCGAAGTAGTGGATGCGCCGAACGAGGAGATGTTATGTTTCGACACCGAAGTTATGTGGAAGGAGAGTTCGTATGCCGTCATGGCATGCGCAGTCAGTCCCACTGCCTGGTATGCCTGGTTATCGCCTTGGTTGCTTGGAGAGTCGGAATCCGACAGACACCTGATACCTCTTGGGGATCCACAACACCACCGGATAATTGTTGGCCATAACATTGGCTACGACAGAGCCCGTATCGCAGAGGAATACTCTATAAACCAGTCGAAGAACTTCTTTCTCGACACCATGTCGCTACACGTTGCCGTTAATGGAATGTGCTCCAGGCAACGACCAACCTGGATGAAGCACAGAAAAAACCGAGAGCTACGAGATAAAATCGCACACGAGACCGATAACATCGAATTGGCCGCCCTTTTAGGCGATAGGGGCCTCACTGAAGAAGAGGAGGAGCTGTGGGTGGGCAGAAGCTCAGTTAATTCTCTACGAGATGTCGCCAAGTTTCATTTGGATGTCACCATTGACAAGGCCCAACGAGATAGTTTTGGAGAGCTCGACCGCGCTGGCATTCGAGGCAAACTGGACGAGCTGTTGGATTACTGTGCTGCGGATGTCTCCATCACACATCGTGTGTACAAAATCGTCTTCCCCAATTTCCTCGCGACATGCCCTCACCCCGTGAGCTTCGCTGCATTGAGACATCTGTCGTCTGTCATCCTCCCAGTTGACAAGTCGTGGGAGTCATATATCGCCAATGCAGAAGCTACATATCTCAAGCTCTCTGATTCCGTCCAGGAACGCCTAATCGCACTGACTGAGAAGGCCCTGGAGATTAAAGGAGATGAGGAGAAGTGGAGCAATGACCCGTGGTTGCGCCAACTGGACTGGTCCGGCCAAGAAATCAAAATGGTAAAGGGCAAGAAGAAGAATGACCCTCCAAGACCAGCGGCACGGCAAAAGATGCCAGGTATGCCAGCGTGGTATAAGGGCCTTTTCGCCAAGGCTGATGCGCCAATCAACTTGACTGTCAGGACCAGAGTTGCCCCGCTCCTGCTTCGATTGGCATGGGGTGGACACCCATTGTTTTGGTCTGATAAATACGGCTGGACATTCCGGGTGCCGGTTGCAGAATCTCAGAAGTATAAGGAGTTGCAGATGCAGAGGTGCACCGAGTTTGACGAGAAAGATATAGCACTGAGAGACGATACGGGCGGCGTTTTTTACAAGATCCCGCATAAGGATGGGCCAACGGCACGGTGTGCAAACCCGATGGCGAAGAGCTACATGTCATATTTCGAAAAGGGCATCCTATCATCGGAGTACTCGTACGCAAAAGAGGCCCTTGAGATGAACGCTTCGTGCTCCTACTGGATAAGCGCAAGAGATCGTATCATGTCACAGATGGTAGTATATGATGCTGATCTTCAAAAGCCAGCCAAGGGACAAGCATCTAACGACACTGGCTACATTCTGCCACAAGTTATCCCTATGGGCACGGTGACAAGACGAGCTGTCGAGAATACTTGGCTTACAGCAAGTAATGCCAAGGCAAATCGAGTCGGATCGGAATTGAAGTCGATGGTTAAGGCGCCGCCAGGATATTGCTTTGTGGGAGCTGATGTGGACTCTGAAGAGCTTTGGATTGCCAGTCTAGTCGGTGATGCTCAGTTCAAGTTACATGGTGGGAATGCCTTGGGATTCATGACCCTGGAAGGCACCAAAGCAGCTGGAACTGATTTGCATTCGAGGACTGCTTCAATCTTGGGCATTACCAGGAACGATGCCAAGGTGTTCAATTATGGGCGTATCTACGGAGCTGGTCTCAAGTTTGCGTCTACTCTACTCAGACAGTTCAACCCCGGATTATCGGAAGCAGAAACCACAAAGGTTGCCACGGCTCTGTATAAGGAGACCAAGGGAGCCAAGACTAACCGGAAGGCGTTACACAAGAGGCCTTTCTGGCGTGGAGGAACCGAGAGCTTTGTCTTTAATAAGCTCGAAGAATTTGCTGAGCAAGAGAGGCCGCGGACTCCAGTCCTCGGAGCAGGAATTACGGAAGCATTGATGAGTCGATTCATCAACAAAGGTGGCTTCATGACGTCGAGGATCAATTGGGCGATTCAATCGTCTGGTGTCGACTATCTGCACCTTCTGATAATATCGATGGACTACCTGATTCGTCTGTTCAACATCGATGCCAGACTCGCAATCACTGTCCACGACGAAATCAGGTACCTGGTCCGCGAGGAGGATAAATACAGAGCCGCAATGGCTTTGCAAGTGTCCAACGTCTGGACTCGAGCCATGTTCTCTCAGCAAATGGGCATCAATGACCTTCCCCAGTCCTGTGCTTACTTCTCGGCCATCGACATCGACCACGTTCTCCGCAAGGAAGTGGATATGGACTGCATCACACCCTCGCACCCAACTAAAATCCCCCACGGAGAGTCGATGGACATAATGCAGCTCCTTGCCAAGGGCTCGCTAGCAAAACTGGAACCGAGCATCCAGCCGACCGACGCACCAAAGCTCGACGGCATCAAGTACACCCATCGCCAACCCGTGATGGAGGCACTAGAGAAGGCCAACCTCAGCTTCCTCAAAGCGCAAATCACAGCTGACGAGAACGAACTAAAAGAGATCGTCAAAGTCCAACGTAAAGTCCTCGACGCCGACGAGAAGACCGCGAAGCCGAAGCAAACACGCGCTCGCAAGATCCTGCCATACCAGGCGCACGCGGAATTAATGGAGGAGCCACTTAATATCACGGACTTGCTAGAGAGCAACTTCAGGAAGGACACGAGGAAGAAACAGCAGCACTACCCGTGGGAAGAACAGATGCCGCCGCGGTATAAACCCACACACCGCTGGTAACACACTATCATATCAGATGTAAGCTTTCATATGTCGGGGGAACACAATTGTACAGGATGGGAACGGGAACTGGCGTATACGAGCGTTGTTGGCAGGGTGGAGCGGAGCGGGACGGCGGCGCTTCTTGTGTGGGAATAGTGTGTTGTATATTTGATTGGGAATAGCGGGCTGCAAACAAAAGACGACGGGACGTCTATAATGAAAACTGTAATGCTCGTAGTTTGTTCCGGCTGGCCTTTCTCAATGCGATTTCACGTGATACTAAGCTTGTTGGGATCAACATCGCTCAGCCACATCCAGGCTGACATGCCTTGCGGAAGGAACACTTCGATGCAAGTGTCCTAAAGTAAATACACAGACGCAGGCTTCGTCCCCCCTCCCACGCCCAGCTCCACGCACCCCCAATCGCAGCACACATGCATCACGTGCCATGTCCACCACCGACAACAACGACTCCCCCCTCTCCATCACCTCCTCCATCACCGGGATCCTCACCTTCCTCGTCGCCATAACCGCCACAATCTGGCTCCGCATCTCCGCCATCCGCACCGCCGACACCGAGTACTCGCGCGTCAAAACCGCTCTAAGCTGGTACAAAACCGAGTCAGAATGGATCCACGACCTGGTCGCCACGCAGCGGGACGCCCAGGACCGGACGCGGGGGAGTTTCGATGGGTTTTTTTTGGATAAGGACCTAGCGTGGAGGGAGAAGGGGAGGGGGAGGCAGAGGGAGACGGAGATGTATGTTTTTGTGCTTGATCAGCTTGGGACGCTGGAGGAGAGGTTGTTGGAGATGGTGACGGCGGTGGAGGTTAGGGCGGAGGGGAGCTGGAGGGAGTGGCAGGGGGAGGGGCAGGGGGGTGGGTGGGGGGGAGGCGCGAAGAGGTGGTGGAGGAGGACGAGGATTGGGGTTTATTGGTTGCCGGTTAGGACGAAGGCGTTGGAGCTGGTGAGGCAGAGGGATGCGTTGGGGAACAGGGTACTGTTTGCGCAGTTGGCTATGGTTTCTTCGTAAGTGCCTTTTGGGAGGGGGGGGGAGGGGATGCTGACTTTGTGTAGTAGGTTGGCGGATGGGGAGGAGAGGGCGAATAGGCAGGATGAGAGGATTAGGGAGTTGTTGGATACGGTGAGGTCTTTTGATGAGAGGTTGCCGTGAGGTGGGTTGGAAAAGGATGGATGGATTTGGCGTTTGGGTTGGGACATCAACAATCATGGAGTTGTTGTATGATATAGAAGGTATGTGGCATACTATATGATATTCTCATATAATAACCGAGCAAGTCAAGAGGGAGAGCACGTGGCATATATCCTTTTATATATAGTTTGGCAGCTGGTGTTCTTAAATTCGTCATTGGAAGGTCTGGCAATCATTAGCTGGCCGTTTGCTGGAACTGATGGAGAACGATTGTTTGAGCAAAGACTGATGCTGGGCCTTGTTTGTGGCATAGACATGTTAGGTGTATCCCCATGAAACCAAGCATCAGTCCTGCCAGACAAAATGAATCCATCCGTGGTCCTGGCGCAAATTCATATAGAAATATGCCAATTTGCGCAAAACCGGCCTCAGGTTCACCTGATCGGCCCATATCAAGTCTTCTGGGAGCAGTTAGTTGTTCCGTAATCACAAAGTATAGCCCGTATACACCGCTCAAAGTGATAGATGCCGTCTGCGAGACGGGGTCATTCATCAGCCCTGCTAAAGAAAAAATGAAGCCATCTAAAGATATTGCGCAAATTCACCTTAAGCTAGATAGATTTGCGCACAAAGCACAAGAGACCCTGTAACTCCATAGATTCTAGCACATGCTCGCCCAAAAGCCCCTAAATGACCGTGTCCTTTCAGCGTCTAAAAGCCCCTATGCGACCCTGTCTCCCCCTAGGATTTCAATCCAAGAGCCCCTAACTAACCTGTTACACGGCAGGTTTCTAGCACAAAGATGTGCTAGACCACACAAAGCCACCCCCCCTATTACTCTACACGCGCCTAGACTAGCCTTGCCTGCTCATCGGGTCAACGTGAAGCCGACCCCCTTGCCACTTTGCGCAAAACCTGTCTAGAGGCGAACAGATTTGCGCAACAACGGGATTCAATTAACCCGGCCGGTCATGTTTGTCTTAAAAGGGGGGTTGGTCTTCATTACAGAGGGCGCTGGACATTAGCAGGACTGGCGGGGACGGTTGGGTCTCAAAGGCTACACTACTACACGCACGCACGATCATGAGACAACAGAAGAACTACATAACATATTGTTTTGTCCAAACGTAAACTACCATTCCCGGCCACACAAAGGCTGTAATGTAATGGGTATCCAAAGCATATATAGCATATTACCTCCCTCCCCTCCATCGCACATCTCACAAACTGAACCCGCTCCAGCGCCGTCTTATATACACGAATCTAACACCTGCCCCATATCTCACACCCCCCTACGCCGCCTCCTCCATCCCCTCCCACCCCCCTTCCATCTCCAAAAACACCCTCACCCTCCCCTTCACCTGCCCCAGCTCCCCCCCCAACGCACTCTCCCACTGCTCCTCCACACACCTAACCTTCTCCTTCAAATCATCCGTCAACGTCCTCCCCTCCGCCTCACTCTCCTCCGCCACCTCCCCGCGCACCACCTCCGCCCCCTCCCCGCCCGCAACGCGCTCGCTCTCCTGCGCCCGCGCCCGCGCCGCCGTAACAGCCGTCTTAACCTCATGTAACAAGCAGAGTAGGTTCGTCTGGCTCTCGATGAACTGGTATGTGCTCCTCCCGCCGTGCTCGAGGAGGCTGTAGAGGTACTGCATCGGCCACTCGTGGTAGGCGGGGTTCTCATCATACTCCCCCGCCGGGATCTGTATTCTGAATTCCCTCGTCACAATCCCAGGGATCTTATCAAGGATACTCCTTAGCCCCGGCGCAATGTCCCAGAACGCACTAAGTTGCACCTCCACCCCCCTCACCACATTTGCCTCCACAACATCCATAAACTCCATCGTCCTTCCCAACGCCCCCTGCGCGAACTCCACGCGTCGCTTCCCCGCGTCGTCCGCGAAGAAACGCTCAGCGCCTACGACCTTGTCGCCCCGTCCCGCGAGCCGGTAGGGTTCAATCACCATATCCCTGTACCGATCATTGCGATCAGATAGCAAATCATACAACTCAGCATGCAGCTGCTCGCGCGCCTCAAAGATCCACTTCAACAGCGTCAATTTCTCCAGTAGCTCAGGCTGCTCATCGCCCTCCTCCTGCGTGGCAGTCGGATCCTGCGCGCGCGCGTCGTCAAAGAGCTGGCTTCGGAGCTGTTCGAAGAGGGTTGTACAGGTGTGGACGCGCTCCATGAGGAGGTCATTCACCGGCGCCACGACGGCGGTTTGGAAGCGCTCAAATGAGGCTTTGGATGTAGCTTTCGTGTGCTCGTTCTCCGTAGCCGCAGCATCAGCCTCCGCCTTCGCGGCGTCCGCATACGTCATACTCCCCGCCTCGATATCGCGCACGATAGTAGCGCGAAGTGCTTGTCTGCGCTGCGTGGCTGCTGCGCATGCCACATGGCGCGCCTGCTCGTCGTCGGTTAGGAAAGACGCTTTAGTAGCTTCGACGTCGGTGAATTTGCTGAGTTGGCGCACGGAGGTGCGGATCTCGGTTAGGTCGGGGTGGTTGTTGTTGACGGCGGGGTGGTGGCGGGGGTATGGCGGGGGGAGGGTGACGAGGCGCGAGACGTCGAGGTGGCGCGGGTTGGAGGTGGGAGGGGCGGGGGAGTGGTTGAAGTGGTTTGTGGGTGTTTTGTTGGGGGGGGAGGTGGGACCTTCGTCGTGCCAGCCTGTTTTTTCGGGGGGGTATTCGTCTGGGCCGTAGGAGGCGTAGTTACTTGGACCTGCTTTTGGAGACGACTGCGGTGGCTGTGAGGGTGTCGAATTTCCGTTCCCCTCCCATTGCAGCGACTCACGCAACTCCCGCGGCATTCCCATGTACTTTGACTCTCTCTTCGACCGCTCTAACACTGTCGGCGACCCCCCCGAGCCAGATCGACCCACCTCCCACCATCTACTCGACGGCCTACCCCTTGAACTCGACTCCTCCTGAGCCTGACTCGCGCTCATACTTGGAATCGGCGACAGCGATGGCATATACCCCGTCCACCACGTTGACTCCGGCCTCGACCCCGGCCCCGCAGACCCCATACTCGACGCCGACGACGGCGCAGAATCAATCGGTCCCGTCTGTAGCGGTGGCAGGCCGCTCAACCCCTTATGCTCCGCAGTATTGGAATGCGACCCAAACGAGCTCCGCTTCGAGTGCGTATACGGCCGGAACAGGTCGCGCGTCAGCTCTAGCACCTCTGATCCCATCGCATCGATGGCTGAGGTGTATAACTTCCGTCGGATACGCGATTCGGAAACGATGAAATCGGCAAAGAGCCGGATGCGCTCCTCGTCTGTGGCAGCTGACGCCTCGCGCAGGATGAATTGCTCATGCCGCTGCAGTGCCTCGTGGCTGAAACTCTCAGCTGCTGGTGATGGCAACTGACGAGACGGCGCGCGCTTCGGCGACAATGGCGCTGGCATACCCTGGTCCTTTAACGGCGTGTGTAGGATGTGCGAGATCGGCCGAGGCGAGCTGTCCGCGCGACGATGCGAGATCGGCGGTGGTGTTGGGAGAGACTTGGGTGGTATATTCGGGTTATGTCCTTGATACGAGTTTTGTGACGGATACTGTGCCGGCGAGAACGGCGGCGTAGGTGCTTCGGTGCGGTTCGTAGAGTTCAGTGGCTGGGGCGTTGAGCCGCGGGACTCGGGCTGTTGGATATCCGCCAACCGATGCGTAACGTGGCTGAGTGTCCGCGACGAATTCGGCGTATTCTGGCTTTGGTAGTTGGGTGTCCTGGAGAAGTTCGGGGTGTCCTGGTTATGGAACGAGCGTGCACTCGAGGGGTTCGATTTTGTAACCTCTGGGCGCCTGCCAAGCACGGTCATGGGTGGCACGACGATGTCAGCGGGGGTGATGGCCTCGGCCCAGGGGTTGTTCGAGGGCTCTTCAATCGCAACAGCCTTGCCGGATCTACTCTCGCTCCTCCGCTCTCGAATACTCTTTGGCTCGCCTCGAACCGCATGTGCTCTTGTTAATCCGGACGAGCTGGACCCGGAATTCGACTCCGTGTGGCCGCACGAGCTGACACTCGATGTGTCGATGTGTAGCGCACCGGGAGGGAGTGGTGACCGTGGTCGTGGTGCGCCTGGTACCATTCGCGGGCTGTCTACCCAACCCGCAGGCGTAGGGGGAACAGGGCCCAACGTAGAAATAGGCGCCGGTCTGCGCGTCGGCGGCGACACAACCGGGTCAACGCCCTCTGGACGTGATAGACTTTGCGACCTGGAACTCGATTGCGGGGGTGGCCCTGGCGGAGGAGGTGGTAGTGGCATCCCTGGTTTCCATCTCGACGTCGAAGAATTGCGCGAACGAGAAGCTGCGCCGGTAGGAGTTCCGATTGCGCTTGCTGAAACCGCACGTCTGGAGGCTGGAGGCCTCTGCTCAGCAACAGCGGCGGAGAATGCCTCTGTAGACGGCTCCAAATTAAGTGGCGGGGGCCTGTGGGATGGTGGCTGGTCTCTTATATCAACCGACCCGCGTGGCCTAGACGACGACGGCAGGTCTCTGCTTATATCTATCGATCCGCGTTGCGACGGCTCCGGCACTTCTGGTGTTGTCGGCTTGCGGTGGAAGACATTTCCAAGATGACTGAGAAGTGGTTGTGCTCTATCCCTCGATCTTGTTCGCGATATCGGAGGAGGGGGTGGGAAGGCAGCCGCAGTCACTTCTGGCGATGGTCTGTATGCGGCGCCTCCAGGGCTACCGCGGTTTAGCGGTGACGCCGAGGTGGCCGAGTCTAGCGGGGAGAAAGTAGTCGCGCTGTTATGGCTTCGAGGCGGCGAGTAAGGTGGAGGGGCAGGTGCTACATCACAATATCAGCCACAGCGCATTGAATTTATAGGAAGCTAACATACCCATAACCACATCTGAAGGAGACGGTGAATACCGCCCATTATCAGGCGAATACCCCGTCTGCGCACCACCCCATTGCTGCGGATTGTACTGCCTCACACCGCTGGCAGGTGAATAAGGCGTCTGGTGGTGAAAAGGCGAGCTCAGACTGACAGCTGAGTTCGGGGCCTGGAACTGCGGCGGCGGCGGTCCCAGCTGCGTCGCGAGGGGGTTGAGATTCTGGCGGCGCCGTTGGGAGGCTTCGGCGAGGCTGCTCATCGTCGCGTAGCAGGCTAGGGATGAGCGTGGGAGAGGGAGGCTCAAGCTGGTGCTGCTGCGACTTCAGGAGGCGAGTTGCATCAGGCGCGGCTATCACAATAAAGCTTGGGGTTTGTCGCGCGCTACGGGCACTTGACGATGAGAGTGACGAGAGGTTGAAGCGACCAGTTCGGCGGCCATATAGGGAGGAGAGTCGGGGCGTGGATTAGGCAACAAGCTTGTGGCCAACAAGCTCTGGCTAGAAAAAGGCTGATATTGATATGCAGGCAATCATGGAAGTTGCCATATTACAGTGGACGAGGCTCGATCATCTCCCTGACACCAAGAAGAGACTCCACCACCTTATTTCCAACATTTCCAACTGAATTGGCCAAGTCTTGGAAACGGGTTGGGCGTGGTCCCCTCCGCGGCTCCGCATTACTGTATCTTCTGGCATCACAGAGTGGACAGAGTGAGTGGACAGAGTGGACTATATTGGCCGCATCGGGTGAGACGCCCGTGGTATGCACACTTCATGCAGGACAGGGAGCACGATTGGGGGTGTATGGAGTGAAATTCTCAGCGGGCGGATCCCAGAGATGACCCAGGGGCGGTCCCCTACACGAAATGCACGGGGAGCGCACGCCATGGCAGGGAGTGGTGTGTGCTGTGCGCACACTGCAGTGTGTGTGCATCCATCCCACTGAGCCAAAAAGACTATAGTATTCCAGCCCGGTGGAATACGCGTAACACGCTCGGTGTGCTGGGTCTATCACTTGAAGAAATGGGCGAAGTGAGCAAAGTACAAGCTGTGATTCGCCGTTTTCGCCGTTCTCGCGGGCGTGGTTGGTTGTTTCGGAAGTATTGGCACGTTGGCGGCTAATAGGCGACTGTGAGTGGTGGCGGGAGGGAGGGGAGGTATACGGAGGTAATGTTCAAAAGGTCTTATGAGTGGATCGAGCATGGGACCCCAGAATTTGTGCACAACAGCATAAACTCATGTATGGATCACATATGAATTAGAACCAATTTTGCAACTCTGACCTGACCATATGCACGACGTGACTAATTCAGGGGTCCCCTGCTCTGATCCCGTGACTCTGACGCTTGCCGTAACAGACAATATAAACCCTGTTCTCACCTAAAAACAAGACCAACGGACCAAAATCAAGTCCTGTGTCCTGGTACGTCGTTACTCTGGCTCTCTATTTTGTCTCGCCTTTGACTTACCAGTTGTTGCCCGTCGCTGTCCCCTGCTGATTCGCTAGCCTCCGCCCTCATTGTGGCATTTGGACTTTCTCTCTCGTCGCTGGCCCTCGGAAGCGCTGCCAGATTTTGACGATGTCGGCCGAGAGCTTGGATGAGGGCTTGGGAAGGGTGGACCTGCTAGACTGGCTCCGAGAGGACATCGAGCCTCTCGATGTCCATCCAATCGAGGAGGAGGAGGGTCACGGTCACGGCGACGACGAGGAGAAGGGCGAGGAGGAGGATAACAATGATGCTGTTGCTGTTGCTGTGGTGGCAGCATGCTTGCATTATCAACGCAAGCGTCTGCGCCAGCAGGCTTCTCTCGAGTAGTGCCATATGAATATTTGCACCACCAGTTTTCTTTGGACATTAATATGCCCGCCGGACGTGCACGAGTTTGGCTCCGGTTTTCAGTTGCAGAGATCCGGGAGCTTGCGCCTTTGCTTCGCCTTGGAGAAATCTCCTGGCGAAGCCGTTATCAGGCAGATCCGGAGACAGCTCTGTGCGTGCTGTGCGCCCGTCTCTCGTCGCCTGGGCGGTGGGCCCCTCTCACCGACATCTATGGCCGGTCGGAGAGTTGGCTCTGCACTGCCTTTAACGACGTGTGCTGCTGGCTGGCGGAGGTGTTTGGTCCAGTCTTGCACTGGCATCACCAGTTAACAAGATACTCGCGGCTAGCGGAGTTCTCAGCGGGTGTGAGACGGGTTGGAGGGGTGGACGGTGGTGGGGCTTTGTGGATGGCACCTTTCGAGGCCATTGCCGTCCACTTGGCCAAGATGCTCAGAGGGAGGTATACTCTGGGCATAAACGGGAACATGGCTTGAATTATCAAGCTATTGTTACACCTATGAGCTGGTTTCGTCGCTCGTTGGCCCCTTTCCTGGTCCAACGAATGACTGGGTTATGTGGCGGAAGTCTGGCTGCGAAGCAGCTATTCGCAAGGTATATCTTGCTCTCTCTCTCTCTCTCCCCCCTTCTCTCTCTCTCCCCTTCTCTCTCTCTCCCCTTCTCTCTCTCTCCCCTTCTCTCTCTCTATTTAAGCTATACTAACATATCTACAGGTTATGGAGGGGAATCCCCTCCTTTCTGTCTACGGCGACCCAGCATACTCTGCTGCATACGGCATCTCCTGTCCCTTTGAGCATCCAGAAGGCCGGAGGATGCTTGACGATGACAAGCAGCAGTTTAACACTGCTTTGTCAAGGGTCCGGATCGAGGTTGAGAGAGCGTTTGGCAAAACGCAAGATGCACCCCCCCACTCACAAAACTTATCAACATAACCTCCGTAGTACAGCGCCATAAAGTTTCCATATGGGTCGGTGCTTTTCCCATACAAATGATGTCACCTGTTGTAAATAAAGAGCCTTTGTTATACTTGTCTATTTAGAAGTGTTGCTTTTGCTCTTACATAGGGCTTCAAAACACGTTTTAGCTACTCTAATCCATTGCCATTTGCTTATAACCTCCTTTGGAATCCAGCTCTATAGGACATTCTATCCCTTAAAGATAACGAGGGGGTTGATAACTGTTCTATCTATATAGATGCACTTAACAGCAGACACCCACTCCTGCCTTCCTAGATGTGCTTGAGATCGCGTCCTAAGTGTAGATGTTATAGCCTACTCTACTAGCAGCGCTAAGACAAGGAATGGATGAGTTATAGAGAGGTTATAGGGACAAGGACCACATGACCTAACCTGTTAGAGGCTATGTGTCATACTGACATTCGTTGCACTCAGTTTGCTATCAAACTCAAGAGCAAACTTAGAAATCTCCTCCTCAAACCTACAAGTCACTATACATATTTTGGCTTATCACACCAACAACAAGAGCAATACTACTCAACGATTGCTACAACCCTCTATGATTCATTACACGTCATTGCTCCTTAGTTATTGGGCCGATATTACCACATAGCATATCTCTACAACCCTCTATGATTCATTACATGACATCACTCCTTAGTTACTGGGCTAATACTACACATGACATATCTCTATCAACTAGAGGCTGTAATGTTGGGTGCACCAGATGTGAGAATCTAGCCACCCAAGGAAGGGATGATTTTACTAAGACAACACACTGTCTTAGGAAACAGAGCCAAAGGGTTGTAGCTTAGACTATTCCACAACGCAGCAATCAGGTGTGTGATGTAGTGAAGTGGTTCAGACAAGTTGCAACAAATGTTGAGTCTGGGAACTCAGGGGTAAGTCAGAGGTTAACACCTCACTGACTTTTCAGAAACAAGGAGTAACAAGATGAATGCTTGGAAGCTTGTAAAAGACGTGGAAGTATGTGATAATCGATTTACTGTATTGCCTGCTTGCCCTTTCTTAAGGAAAGGGCAATCCTATTTATGCCAAAGGAGTGTAGTTCTCTCATTTTCCATGACTTTCCATGACTAACCAGGCTTGGTAAATGTATTAGAAATCAAGTGCGACCCACAACTAGCTTGCTAATCATGTAGTGAACGTAAGAGAATCCCATAGAACCATCTCTTGGGTTCCTAGCCTATAGGAAGTGAAAAGGAGGTCCAAGGTCAGAGTACCTATAGATAAATTATGTCATAACTTAACCAATCTTGTGGGTAACTAAGGAGCGATGACGTGTAATGAATCATAGAGGGTTGTAGAAGCTTCTAGAGCTATCGTTTATGTTCCTAGCCTCTTGTAATGGTGGGTGCACCAGATATGAGAATCTAGCCACCCAAGGAAGGGATGAATTTACTAAGACAACACACTGTCTTAGGAAACAGAGCCAAAGGGTTGTAGCTTAGACTATTCCACAACGCAGCAATCAGGTGTATGATGTGGTGAAGTGGTTTAGACAAGTTGCAACAAATGTTGAGTCTGAGAACTCAGGGGTAAGTCAGAGGTTAGCACCTCACTGACTTTTCAAAAACAGAGAATAACAAGATCAATGCTTGGAAGCTTGGAAAAGACGTAGAAGTATGTGCTAGTCGATTTACTGTATTGTCTGCTTGCCCTTTCTTAAGGAAAGGGCAATCCTATTTATGCCAAAGGAGTGTAGTTCTCTCATTTTCCATGACTTTCCATGACTAACCAGGCTTGGTAAATGTATTAGAAATCAAGTGCGACCCACAACTAGCTTGCTAATCATGTAGTGAATGTAAGAGAATCCCATAGAACCATCTCTTGGGTTCCTAGCCTATAGGAAGTGAAAAGGAGGTCCAAGGTCAGAGTACCTATAGACAAATTATGTCATAACTTAACCAATCTTGTGGGTAACTAAGGAGCGATGACGTGTAATGAATCATAGAGGGTTGTAGAAGCTTCTAGAGCTATCGTTCATGTTCCTAGGCCTCTAGTTGGTAGAGATATGCCATGTGGTAGTATTAGCCCACCCCCTTAAGGAGGAGATTTTCTTAATAACTTGTTCAATGAGTGTCCAAATGATATGCCGTGATGTATGTAGCATAAACAGATGTAGTAGAAGAGTTTGCAGCAATCATTGAGTAGTATTGCTTCTGTTGTTGGTGTGATAAGCCAAGATATGTATGGTGACTTGTAGGTTTGAGGAGGAGATTTCTAAGTTTGCTCTTGAGTTTGATAGCAAACTGAGTGCAACGAATGTCAGTATGACACCTCTAGTTGGTAGAGATATGCCATGTGGTAGTATTGGCCCACCCCCTTAAGGAGGAGATTTTCTTAATAACTTGTTCAATGAGTGTCCAAATGATATGCTGTGATGTATGTAGCATAAACAGATGTAGTAGAAGAGTTTGCAGCAATCGTTGAGTAGTATTGCTTCTGTTGTTGGTGTGATAAGCCAAGATATGTATGGTGACTTGTAGGTTTGAGGAGGAGATTTCTAAGTTTGCTCTTGAGTTTGATAGCAAACTGAGTGCAACGAATGTCAGTATGACAAGTATATAAACATATAGAGATACTCTTATAGAAGAGTATCTAAAGTCCTATCTATTACAATACATGATCACTATCCATGCCACAGCTCGACTATGTGACACTAGCGCTAGCATGGTACACTCGATTGATGTTGAATTAATTATATTACTAATCTATCTAACTATAACGTGGTTGTACACCGAGTCGTGAATGTCACCGAGTCGTGAACTTTTCCCTACTTAGCTACCTACGAACTTCAACATGCGTTTCCTCCACAACTACCAATGGAAATCCAAACCCAAGAAGCGCGAATCATTCTAGCTATTGAGGCTCTTCAAACATGTAAATCGCTTAATCGCAGGTCTGCATCAATACTATATAAAGTGCCTTATTCTATGCTTACTGATAGAATGGCCGGCCGACCTTCTCGACGCGAAACCAAAGCCAATAGTCATAAATTGACTGAGCTAGAAGAGGAAGTGATTATTCGAAATATATTGGATATGGATGCAAGAGGATTTGCACCTCAGCCTGCTAGTGTGGAGGATATGGCAAATTATATCCTTGAATCGTGTGGGGGAAAGCACGTTGGGACGCGGTGGGCATATCGATTTATACAACGCCGCCCCGAGTTAAAGACGCGTTTTAATCACGTTTATGACTTTCAAAGAGCCTTGTGCGAAGATCCTGAGCTTATTGGAGCGTGGTTTCAACTTGTGCAGAACATGAGAGCAAAGTACGGCATCCAAGACTGCGATTTCTACAACTTTGACGAGACGGGCTTCATGATGGGCGTTATTAGCTCAGCTTTAGTTGTTACGCGCGCCGATCGACGTGGCAGAGGCAAGGCAGTTCAGCCTGGCAATCGGGAATGGGCTACAGCAATTGTTTGTGTGAATGCTGAAGGCGGGAGTATCCCTCCGTTTTTAGTAGTTCAAGGGAAATGTCACCTTTCAAGTTGGTATACTGAAGGCGGCCTTCCTCACAATTGGGTAATTAAACCAACAAGCAATGGATGGACCAACAACGAGACAGGTCTAGAATGGCTTCATCATTTCGATAAACATACTTGCAGTCGTGCAAAAGGACCATATCGGATGTTGGTTTTAGACGGGCATGAAAGTCACGAATCAGCTGCGTTTCAGGAATATTGCAAAGCAAACAACATCATAACTCTCTGTCTACCTCCTCACTCGTCTCACCTAACTCAGCCACTTGATGTTGGGTGCTTTAGTGTTCTTAAACGCATGTATGGGCATCAAATTGAGACCTTTATTAAGGCTCATATAAACCATATTACAAAGGTTGAGTTTTTTATAGCTTTCCACACAGCTTATAACCAGTCAATAACAACTCAAAACGCCAAAGCTGGATTTCGCGGAGCTGGTTTAGTGCCCTTTGATCCGCAAGTAATCATTTCAAAGCTAGACGTCAAGTTGCGGACTCCTACACCTACAGGACCCCCCTCTATAGACGCTGATCCTTGGGTTTCTCAAACGCCTCGCAACCCAATAGATGCTCTCTCACAGACTACTCTAGTTAAAAATCGCATTGCACGGCACCAAGGAAGCTCGCCAACCCCCATTTTTGCTACTGTTACTGCATTAGCTAAAGGGACAGAGATTTTGGCACATGAAATGACTTTATTGTCAGCTGAAGTCCGCACCCTTCGAGCAGCAAACGAAGCTCTTAGCAAACGCCGGAGGGCTAAAAAGTCTCGTGTCCGTCAAGGGTGTGCACTTTCTGTAGGGGATGCACATGATGATTTGCCCCAAAGGGCAGTTACGGAGCAAATAAATCGCGAGAAGCGCTCTGGAGGGGTTGGTAGGAATGAGGGGCAACCAGGTGTACGACATTGTGGCACTTGCAGGGGGGCTGGCCATAATGTACGAACTTGTCAGGAGGTCATAGAAGTACTTAGCTCATCAGATTCTGAATAGTTTTAGTTTTAATACATGTTGTGGTTGTTTAATTATACCTTACAGTGGTGGGTATAAAAAAGTTTCACGACTCGGTGACATTCACGACTCGGTGTACAACCACGTTATACAGTAATTCAAAGCTAGCCACTGTTACGATCGCAGCTCACAGCTGCTAGCAACTATGGGAACAGGCAGCTATGGTAGCTACTAAGGTTATAAGGGATCGCTAAGCGAACAGCTGTATATAATAAGGGATAGCCTTACCTTCCTTCCTTTCTTCTTCTCTCTTTAGATTCAATCTAGCTTACTTTACCCAGACTGGTACCATGGCCTCCGTGACCATCATAACAGCCACAGCTAAACAGAAATCTGTCTAGCCGTAACCAGCTTTTGGCACTTAATTGCCAAAAGCGAACAATTCTTTGTCGTTTAGAACAGGGTTAAATCACCGGCGGCTTACCAGCCCGCCCTCATGCCATCTTCCACTTCACACTTCAACCCCGATATCCCCAATCCACCCAAATCCACCCAAACCTGCCGCTATGGCGCAGTGGTAACGCGTCGCACTTGTACCATTTGGACAGAACAAAACTGTCTTTCATGTCGTGAAATGCGAAGATCCCTAGTTCAATTCTGGGTGGCGGCACGTGACTTTATTTTTCTACGTTTTTACGTTTTTACGTTTTTGCTGGTACGATGAGCATTTCGCTGACTCGAGTGATTAGTATGTGCTTTCATAATCTTTTACGTAATCTCCAATACGAGCCTTACTCGACCAGGTCTAGCGTACGTGCAAGTCATCAACAGATCGGATCGTGAAACAGATCGATTTTATCAACGATTCAGAACCACTTACGCGTCGTCCTCGTCCTCGTCCGTACCTACTTACATACTTACATACTTGACGACTCATGTCCATTTTTGCCTTCAACTCTCGTTATTCCCTTTCAATCACTGCTGTGAACAACTGAGACCACTGTCTCGGCCAATTTCGGCATACGTGGAGATCAAATGGGGCAACTGCATATGTGAGAACGGCCACAGGTGGAACCTCAACTCCCCCCCTCCATCCATCCAACGCCCTCTACGGCCCTCCTCCCTTCTATCCATCCAACGCCCTCTACGGCCCTCCTCCAGCCTTTCAACGAAGACGGGGGTCTCACATCCCCACCCACCGAATCAAAAGCGGCAAAAGCAACCCCAAGCGGACCCAACCCTCCTCGCCATGACGCGCACCCACAGCTCTCGGGTGCTAGCGCTGCAGGGTGGCACGATGCAGCCGCGGTCGTACGGCCCCGAGCAGAGCTTTTCGAAACTCGACCCGGCGCCCCCGGTCACCATCCTGACATCGCACACCACACAATCCGGTGACACAAGTTATAAATAACAACGAGAGAGATTACAACCTACAATCGCTCTTGAATTCGCATATCGAAGTCGTCTTGCAACCACACTTCTGACCACGTACGCTCGTTTTTTTTAAAGCACACGCGATACCGACAAGATGGCTGGAAAGGGAAAGAAGGGAAAGTCGAAGGGCGGAAACAAGCCCAAGGCTGCGTCCCAGGCTCCCAAGCAGACCCCTGCCGTTGAGGCTGTGGAGAAGGAGGAGGCACCAGTTCCTGCTGCCGAGAAGCTGCGGAAGGAGGAGCCAGTTGTCGCTGAGACGAAGAAGGAGGAGCCAATTGTCGCTGCTGAGAAGCAGAGGGAAGCGCCAATTGTCGCCGAGAAGCAGAGGGATGCGCCAATTGCCGCTGAGAAGCAACAAAAGGAAGCTCCTCTACCTGCTGCCGTAGGCGCACAGAAGGATGATGTGTCTGCCCCCGCCGCTGAATCGAAGCAAGCTCCCACCATCGGAGGCGCAAGCGCTGCCGCTCTCGCTGCTGGTATTGCGTCTACTAAGAGCGATCTGCTAGCGAACAACAACCCCTTCATCGCTGCACCCACAAAGGAGGCCAATCCCTTCGACAGCCCTGCCGTCGCTGCGCCTGTTAAGGAAACCCCAGCACCAGCAACCAAGACCGAAGCATTCAAAGACGTCCCCATCCAATCCAAGGAGACAGCGCCAGCTCCCAAGGTCCAGCAGCCAGAGGTCGCCGTGCCCGCGCACGCGACTCCACCTGCCAGCACAAACCCCTACACGCAGCCTCTCAAGACCAGCAACGAAGCCGTTGCCCAAGCCGAAGCCGCCGACGGATTCGAGGCCGCTCCATTAGCAAAGCCCACCGCCGTCGAGAACCTAGAGCGCGCCCGGGACAAAATATCCCAATCCCCCGCCCCGACGCCCCTAGCCGCGCCATCCGAGCACGTCACGGAAACAATCCCCTACCAGCCCCCCGCGCCCGCCGCCGGTGTCCCGCAACAGACCACCACAGCCGCCCCAAGCCCCGCGCAGGATACCACCACGACCACCGGCACTGCAGGCACCGCAGGAGTGCGTTCCCCGTCCCCGTCCCCCGCCCCCCGCCCCGCCTCCGCCACGCCGCTCACCGAACTGAAACTGATTCAGACCTCAGCGTCCGACGCCGAGCCCAAGTCCGGCTGCTGCGTCGTCCAGTAAGGCAGCCCGCGGGGCGCCCGATTCCGCGAAGCCGAAGCGCACCCCGTCGCGGAAGGAGAGCGAGGCTAATGAGTTCTGGCCGGCTATGTACACGTCTTCGCCCCGCCCCGCTGAGGTGGAGGGTGAGGTGGAGAGTAGGACTCAAACTCAGAATCTGACTCGGACAACATCTGCGCCTTCCACCCGCGCCCCTGCCCTCGCATCACCAGCACACATCCCATCCCCCCTTCCCACCCACCCCACCACCGCCACATCCCCCACCCCACCTCCTCCCCTCTGCAGCCCCTCCCCCCGCTCCCAAGGCCGCCCGACCTCCCCGCCCCCCCTCGGAAACGCCTTCCCCCTCGCCCCCCCCGCCCGAACATCCGCCCCGCGCTCTGCAGCAGACAGCACAGACCCCGGTTATCTCCCCGCCGAAGACACGGTGGATGGGTTCATCAACCCCTGGAGTCGGGCTGCGCGGCTAAACAGCGTTAAGTCACCTGCCGCTAGTACTGCTGTTAGCACCGTCAAGTCCCCCGCTACTAGCACGGCGGCTGTCAGCACGGCGCCATCAAACCCCTTCGCCACCCCCGCCGTCCGCAGCACCAGCAAAGCCCTTCCCGCGCGCCCCAACCCACCCCGCCGAGAAACCCATCAACACCGGCCCCAACCGGGAGAAAAACCCGTTCTTCCCCCCCTCCGCCCCGTCATCTACTGATGGCGAGACATGCTCCACCCATTCCAAGATTCCGAGGAAGCCGGCGCCGAAGAAGGTGCCAAGGCTGGATGGGATGGAGGATGTTAGGTTGGAGGAGTTGCCGGTTGGGGCGCCGGGTGGACGGGGGGTGAGGACGCCGGGGAGGTTTCCGAGTTTGGAGGTTAGGGCGCCGTGGAGGATGAGGGTTAGGAATTGGGCGAGGGGTAGAGGGAGGGGGAGGGTTGTTGCGTGGGGTGTTGGGGGGTGGTTGTGGTGGGGTTGGTTGTTGGGTTAGCGGTGGGGTTGGGGAGGAGGTAGTGTGGTGAGGTGGTGATGGTGGTGGTGGTTGTGGTTGTTGTAAGAGTTTTGGGTTTGGGTAATGATGATATGTACATGGTTTGGGGACGGTGTCTTGGGCTTTCGTGGGACGGAATCGGGGGCATGGAATTGGATACTGGATGGATGGAGATGGATGGAGATGGTGTTTTAAGTTTTGTTACTGTATTGTAATTCTATGTATGGTACTCTCATTTCTAATTTCTCATTTCTCATTTCTCATTTAATCAATATACCTCCTCCTGTCTGATGATCTGATTAGATACTGGGCCGTCCAATTGCGTCGTTGGATGCTCGTGTGTGGGTGTGACTGACGGGATTTTGGGTCTTGCGCTAGTGTGGTGTGCTGGTTGGCCACTAAAACCTTGGGAAGGGAAGGATCTGATAAGCGATGTAGGGGATGTAGGGGATGAAGGGGATGAAGGGGATGAACCACCACACAAAAACAGCGTGGGCGTATGAGGGCATCCCGTCCTCCCCGTCATGCTCGTCCTCGTCCTTCTTGTCTTGTTTGTTGTCGTTCGTCCTCTTAATCACTCTCTCCCTCTCCCCCTTCCTTCTCACGCTCCGTGACACCTCGCCGTCGCACCTAGGTCTCACTATACCTGCCCCACCCCGTGCAACAACCACCCCGTCATCAGCCATGTCGTGGTCCAACATCTTCGCGGAGAAGGAGAAGGAGAAGGCGCAGGAGCCAGAGCAGTTGCAGGAACCAGAGCAGTTGCAGGAGCCAGAGCAGTCGCAGGAGCCAGAGCAGTTGCAGGAGCCAGAGCAGTCGCACAAAATCTCCGACTCCGAGCCACGCACCCCCGGTGACACCTCTAAGCACATCTACGGCGCAAAGTCGCTGGGTGTAAAGCGTATCGAGGCCATCTCGGCCCAGTTCACGGGATTGGACCGCATTATCCTGTTTTGCAGCATCTTTCTCGTCGCTTATGCGTATGGTCTCGATGGAACGATTAGATATACTTACCAGGTGAGTTTTGTTTGTGCCGCCCGTTGTGTGAGAAAAGCATTTTCCGCCCATTATTGGGAGCGGATTGGCACCGAACAACAAAATGGGAAGGAGCGATGCTGACTTCACCCCGACAGCCACTTGCGACAGCGAGCTTTAGTCAACACAGTCTGCTGGCCACCGTCACCGTCCTGCGCTCCATCATAGGCGCCGCAGCACAGGTAAGCAAGAGCCAATTGACAGGACAAGGGATAATTCTAACCGCCGTCCAAACTTATAGCCAGCAGCAGCCAAGATTGCCGATGTGTTTGGCCGCGTCGAGCTCGTCATCATCGCCATATTCTTCTATGCCCTCGGTACGCTGTGCTCCGTCACACCACCATGTATCTCTGTACTGACACCTCGCAGGGACCATCATCGAGGCGGTCTCGAACGGCGTTTCTTCCTTCGCGGCGGGCGCGGTGCTGTACCAGGTATGCCCTGCCCAACATCATCCCCATGCGAAACATGTCTAACCAGCACGCACAGGTCGGCTACACCATCATCATGCTCCTCGCTGAAGTCCTCATCGCGGATCTAACTTCCCTCCGCTCCCGTCTGTTCTTCTCGTACCTCCCCGCAGCCCCATTCCTCGTGAGTCCCCCTCCACCCCCCGCAACCCCTTCACGACCACCTACTCACATGACTAGATCAACACCTGGGTCAGCGGCAATGTTACCGCCGCCGTCTTGAAAGATGCAGGCTGGCGATGGGGTGTCGGCATGTGGGCCCTCATCTTCCCCATCTGCGCTATGCCCCTCCTCATCACCCTCCTCCTCGCCGGCCGCCGCGCCGACCGCGCCGGCACGCTCGCCTCCTTCAAGACGCCCTTCCAGGCCCTCGGCTGGAAGCAGTTCGTCATCGAGCTGTTCTGGCAACTCGACGTCGTGGGCATCATCCTCATCATCGCCGTCTTCTCGCTCATCCTCGTGCCCCTCACCCTCGCCGGCGGCGTCAGGGAGACCTGGAAGACGGCGCATATCATCGCGCCCCTCGTCATCGGCGTCTTCACCATCCCCGTCTTCATCCTGTGGGAGAAGAACTGCAAGCACCCCATGGTCCCCTTCCGCCTCCTCAAGGACCGCGGCGTCTGGAGCGCCCTGCTCGTCGCCATCATGCTCAACACGGCATGGTACATGCAGGGCGACTACCTGTACACCGTCCTCATCGTGGCGTTTGGCGAGTCCGTTAAGTCGGCTACGCGCATCACCTCGCTGTACAGCTTTGTCTCGGTCATCACGGGGCTCATCACTGGCATCGTCGTTCGCTTCGTGCACTACCTCAAGCCTTTCATCGTTGCTGGTACTGCACTCTTCACCGTCGCTTATGGTCTGCTCATCCACTACCGCGGTGGTACGGGTGGCGCGAACCACTCTGGGATTATTGGCGCGCAGGTCCTTCTTGGTATCGCTGGTGGTCTGTTCCCGTACACCGCACAGGCTAGTATTCAGGCCGCTACTAAGCACGAGCGTACGTTCCCCCCTTCTCTGCTTACCAAGTAAAGTAAAGTAAACTAACCCCCCAAAGATGTCGCCGTCATAACCGCCCTCTACCTCGCCAACTACTATGTCGGCAGCGCCTTCGGCAACGCCATCTCCGGCGCCATATGGACGCAAGTCCTGCCCGACAAGCTCGCCTCCAAGCTCTCCCTCGTGACCTCCGACGCCCTCGCCGTCAGCGCGTACGGCAACCCCTTCGCGTTCATCGAGGAGTTCCCCGTCGGCACGCCCGAGCGCGGGGCTGTCATCACGTCGTACCAGGAGACGCAGCGGTTGTTGTGTATTACGGGGATTTGTCTGAGTGTGCCGCTGATTGTGTTTGGGTTGTTGACGAGGAATCCGAAGTTGGGGAAGGACCAGAGTTTGAGGAATGCGGAGAAGTTTGATAGGGTTGGTGTGGAGAGCGTGGTGCCGGCTGAGGGGAGGGAGGCGTAGGTGGAGGGGGAGAAGGTTGTTAACTAGTTGGGAAATGGAGGTTGTAGAAATCTTTATTTTATCTTGGGGGAAACGGGGTGTTGTATTTAACGGGATCATCAACTATTTATTGGCTCTTTCAAGGGCATCATCGTTTATATCAACCCGTACGTGGGACCAAATTTCCTCCCCATAATCCGAATCTATTAGATACCAGTAGCACCCTAAATACCCGCACTGATGCAGCAGATGTAGCTGGAATTGCAAGATAGCCGCTTGCAATTTGCGCAACAATTGGATACATATAACATACCTACCTACTTGAAATACCCGGGTAGTTTCTGAAAAAAAAAGTAGGTATATACCTACCCGTGCCGAACACTGTTCAAGGGAGAATTCATCGCCGACATGACATTCCGGGTTGTAAAGACAAATCAAGCCGATCCAGAGTGTGCGGTGGCGCGCGGGGGGTTGTTATTTCGCGTTCTTCTCGTTGTGGATCTGAGTTTTTGTCGCTGGTGCGAAGGGTTTCTTGTGGCTGCTGTGTCTTTCGCGCCGGTGTGAGGGGTTTCTTGTGGCTGTCGTGTCTTTCTCGCCGGTGTGAGGGGTTTCTTGTCGCTGCTGTGTCTTTCTCGCCGGTGTGAGGGGTTTCTTGTGGCTGCTGTGTCTTTCTCACCGGTGTGAGGGGTTTCTTGTCGCTGTCGTATCTTTCTCGCCAGTGTGAGGGGTTTCTTGTCGCTGTCGTGTCTTTCTCGCCGGTGTGAGGGGTTTCTTGTGGCTGTCGTGTCTTTCTCGCCGGTGTGAGGGGTTTCTTGTGGCTGCTGTGTCTTTCTCACCGGTGTGAGGGGTTTCTTGTGGCTGTCGTATCTTTCTCGCCAGTGTGAGGGGTTTCCTGTGGCTGCCGTGTCTTTCTTGCCGCCGTTATGGGTTTTGTCACCGTCAGCTCATCTCCCCACCGACGCTGAGCCATCTACTCTCCAAAAAGCCCGTTGATGCGCAACTCGCCGTTGTCTTCCGCGCCACACTCCTATTCCAACAGATTGTGCCATCGGGTTGATGGCCTGAGATGGGTTTCTGCGGTACGGTTTCCCGTCGACTGTTTGACATGGAGCGAGGTGGTGTGATGTGACCATGGAGACGTGTGTGTGTAGGCTTGTGAAGTTCCAAACCATTGATTCTCCACTTATCTATCCATAACCCTACAACCACCGGCAACCGTCGCTCCTACTCCTCTATATAATCCCCCAACCAGTCCACCATACCCTTTAAATCCCAAAGACCAAAATTGTATATACTAAAAAGTCCCAAAAAGTCCCAAAAAATCCCCCAAAAAAATTGCAAAAATAAAGGGTTTTGTAAATTGACCGTTCGGCAGGTCCTACCGAGATTCGAACTCAGGTCCCCGGAATCAGAATCCGATGTGATAACCAACTACACTATAGAACCCCTTTTTTGTGGTCGATGCTTGGTTATTGTGGAACTTGAGGGTTTGAACATATGGTGTGGATCAGGAATTTTGCTGCCGATTGGATGGATGGCTTGGCACTTCACTTTCTTGATATTGGAAATTGTTGCGGCGGCCTTTATATAATTCTCGCTTTTATGGTTTTTACTATTTTTTTTTGGATCTTTATATAATCTATATATACAACAATTTACATTATCAAACTGGTAGTCACAGAATACGTATTCCGTGTCTTCCTATGTCTCAGCTAGCTGGGGCCCATCTCTCTTCTTCTCCTCATCTATCCGTGTTGGCCCGACTATTGCGAGGGATGTAGGCATCCGGGCCGTCGGTGTGAACCTACTAAACACGAGGCTCACAAAATAGCTAGGTATTATCATCAGACCGTGCACACTTCCGGTTCTTGGAGAAGGAGAAGCCAAGACACTGCCATATTCAAAATATCGTATACTCCCGACGTGGCTGTGACACACTCAAAGTGTCCATTCGAAGTAGCCTGCTATCAGAAGGTCCTTCAAATAATTATTTGGCCTTCAGTTTTGATGGCAATATCCCAAATGTGGTCTCCTCCATCCCCGAGACTCCTTATAGCGTGCCAACCCCCCACTACGGTTACGCAAGAAGCTTATTTCGAGGATACTACCATCTCTTCAGTCGTCAAGCCTGGGTTTATTCTGTCTACCCGCAACACCTATGCGGCTTCTTCCAAGGATATTCTAGTCCCTACCATCGCCGTCTCTCCTGGCACCAAATATGGGTTTGTTCCGCCACTGGCGATACTTACGCATCTTTGTTACCTCAAACGCAGTGTGTGTGTATTACTGATGGGATTGATCCAAACTCTTATGGGTCATTACACGACGACGAAAATTCTGCCTCATATATTGGGTGGGCAAAGTTTATGGGCATGGTGTCGTGCTTCAAAATCCAACTTGGCTGCGTACGGGTCATGTGGTATTGTCCTTGTAGCGCCCGAGAATCCCATCCGACTCCTGTTTTATTGAGGCGTCTAACGGAAAGGATCGACCATACGTGGCAACCAAGATTGCTTGTGGAGAAGGAGTTGGCCATGAGAACGAGATGTATGATAAGATGCAGGTAGCGCCGCTTCTTACAATCTCTGCGAGCGCCCAAAACTCTGACAAGGCAAAGAAGGCTGTGATTAATGGCTGCCATACCATGAGCCGTGGTGGCAAGCAAGCATATGGCAAAGCTAATGGTCCAAATCCATTCATTCCCAACGATCATGTTAGGAAAGTAGCGTAGCGCCTCCTTAATAAGACTGCAATTCCAGACACTCTTGATGCATTATTTTGGTCTGATTGGAGATGCACTTGGATCCCTCCGTCACATGCATGATGAGCATCACAGAACGGTTGTTGAATATCTCCGCTCTATCCCAACGCAGAAGATGGGAACTGTACTGCCCTGTAAAGGGCTGTGCCAATATCTTATGGTGCCGCATTCGACATTTTCATGCATCGGCTTGCGGACTGGGTCCTTGAGGCACTGCACATGTAATCCGCATCCGCAGAATGGACAGTGGAATTGCCCGATAGAGAGGTGTGCCTCTTCCTTTGCGTGCAAATCTAGTCGCCAATGTCAGACGAGCATAGCTCTGATGGTAGTGTTAGGTCCCCAGCCCCAAGCGACAGCATTTGGCCGAGGTCGCCACATTGAAGAGATATCTCGGAGCAACACTCAGGAAAACGTGTAATCCCATCGTTGCTGCTCTGAGTGGAAGAGCTCAAGCAAAGAAGGCATACCGCTCCTTGAAAGAAAGGAGGACAACTTTGCTACCAAAGACTACAAGCCAGAAATATTTACCTACTATTTCTTGCCAGACCATCAACTTGTCACCCAACCGATGGGTTGGCCCTTGAGGAAGCCATCATATCTAGCGCGTCTAGTTCCGTGCCCGTTGGTGGGGCATGGCAACATTGACATAGCCCTTGGGATAACAGATGTCGCTGCTCCCCGTTCACAGGGTATGGTACCAACAACTACTCTGAAGAGCTGGCAACTGTGCGGGTTCAGGTGTATCACATATTATGAATCAAAGGCCGTGAACGCATATCTCGAGGACACCAAAATTGCTAGCGTATTGACTCGATCCTCGAAGTATTTCAATAGGGATCAAATCAATTCTCTCACTGTCATCGTCACGTCCCCTGACACTTTGCGTTCCCGACACGGCCCAGGCGCCCCCCGCCTTTACAGAGTTGCGAAGCTTAGATAGACTGAAGATGATGCACGCGAAGCCTTCCACCTCCAATACCCTTTGTGGGAGAGAGATCTTGCGGGTATGTTTGTCTCATAACCGTGGATGAGGCCCATTGTATCAAGAACCCGAATGCTGAGATTAGCACAACTATGAGGTGGCTCCGACTAAACTTCGTGATCCTCGCTACAGCAACGATCATTCCTAATAGCATAGTAGACTGGGAAGGCTATGCTAATCCCATTTAAGGAGACTGCAATCCTTGGACAGCTAAGAACCTAGATGTATGGAAACTCAAGGCGGACGTCAGTCAACCCATTCAAGCTCCCGGACAAGCACCTAGCTGCAAGTATATTACGCCTCACTACGAAAGCTGTGATTACATGGATCACAGGTCCCGACGCTGATGTATCGAAGCAAGGAGATTATCTCCTAAAGATCTAGGAACACTGTGTGTTAAGGCGCACCTATTCGTCTGTCGACCTAATGCACGCGAATATGGCGCTAAAAGATCAGGTGAGAATCGGGGAATCGTTACCTATGCTGTACAGGAGAAGAATAGTATGTCGATTCACTCAAGATCGACATACTATTCTTCTCCTCTAGCACGCTTCCTGCCCGACGGGACCCTTTGTTAGAATCGGGGTGCGGCGAGGAAGTTGATCCTCCTATCTACATCACTGAGCTTCTACCATCTCAAAAGCTCTACTGCCGACACAGTAAAGAAATAGAAGGATACCTCATATCTTCTCTAGGAACTACTGAAGCTCCTCGCATGAAGCAAGGGGACCTCGTCATATTCACATTACCGGGACCCATAGATGTCGTTACACAACTGGCGATTATATGCTAAGGGGCTCCGAAGCTCCGACAGTTGCTACAAATGGTAGCTTCCCTTGTTGTTCTTGGTAACAAGAAGGTGGAGATATAGTGTTCCCTCCCCGCGAATCAGGTGTTTCTGTGTGCGTGCTTTCGGGCGCTGAAGCTCACCGCGGCTGTTTATACCGCTGACTTAAACACGGAGGAGAGAGAGAGCCTCGTGAGAAGCTTTACCACTGACGTAAAGGACTACCCGGTCTTCATCAGGAGCTTTGCCGTTAGTTCAATCGGTCTGAATCTACAGATGCTCTATAATAATTCTATTGATTTTGACCCCCCCGCAAATGATGGACAGAGTAAACAGTCAATAGGGCGGTTTAGGCGTATTAGCCAGGAAAAAAATGTAGAGAGATTTAAACTCTCGGTCGAATCGTCGTTTCAGCGCCGCATTATACAGAATGCGTTGAGGAAGGCCATTCCCTCCGCAGCTGCAGAGCCCTAGGTTGGAACCGGTTTCCTTGTGTCTGTTTCTTGACCTGATTTACCTTTCTCAGCTTGCAGCCCTGCATCTCTTTCTGTCGCCTCTCCTCCACGTGCAAGAGAAATCGCGGATGTAAAGATGAAGGCGTTCTGGCTGTCGATCGGAACTTACCTATGTCTTCTCCTTACCTGTAGTCCAGGTCATAAAGCAGGATGCTTGAGAGTTTTACATAGAATACTCGTAAAATTCTCTGTTACTTTGCTATTCGTAGCTACAGCGTAGCTTTATTATGATGACATATTTCCGCAGTGAAAGCAGTGCAACTATATATGACTACGAGATATCGCACTCTCCCTCCAACTTCCCACGCTATCAAATTGTCCAGGTTTTGCTTTGCTTGTTGCTTGGAATTTTCAAGGATATCATGAATTCATCTTCCAAGCCATCCGATGGCAATGAAGTACACTTTGAGGACATACAGATTGAAGGCTTGCCATTCCATTTGGAGCCACCCTCCGACATGAATAATGCCCTCATAGGGTAAATCAAACAAGTAAGACCTCTTCATTTTGAACTTTTATTTGCATGACTAACTATAGAATAGGTCGTCAAGGCAATCAGCGAACTCATCATGCAGCCCAGTGAGCCTGATGAGCGGAAATTTGTTGTAGACTATGTTGCCGGTTCTAGTCTACGGTACCTACATCAAGTGTACACATGGCAAGGAGAGGCACTTCCACCTTTCTACAAAGCAAATGAAGCAGCAAGCCCTTCTGCAACAGCTACTACAAAGAAGAGCTCACACAATGGGCTGTATCTCCAGCTCCCGCGTCAAATAGCCTAGCCCTGCCAAATCTCTCCCATCCCAGATCCTTTGTTTTAAAATTTAATACTTTCTATTCAACCCGTAATAATATAGCCTCCAACTTCAGCACACCCTCCCCGGACCAAATCATGCGCAGCCTCTACTCCACAATCCAAAATCCCATGCTCCCAAACATCATCACCTCGACGAGGTAAGCGCTATAAATACCAGCGCCACAGTGCTCAGAGAAAACTTCAAGACAGACTCTACAAAAGGTCTATACTTATACAGGGACCTGTCAACAGCAGCGCTTGGACCCGAGGTCGAACGACAGGTATATGGAACAACCAAGAGCGAGTTCGCTGGATGTCTGATCTTGTCGTCGTATTTTTCTTGTCGCCGTATTTTTCTTGTCGCCGTATTTTTCTTGTCTCCATTTACCCCCTTTTCTCACCACCGTGGCATTTCCTGAGAAAGAAACTACCCAACCCAGTCACCTACGTCCTCTCTCCCCATGCTCGCAGCAAAAAGCCGCCCTTCCCTCATCTAATCTAACACGACGCATCCCCCCATCCCCCCATCCCCCCCATCCCCACATCCCCCATCCCCCATCCCCCATCCCCCATCCCCCATCCCCCATCCCCCATCCCCCATCCCCCATCCCCCATCCCCCATCCCCCCCATCCCCCCATCCCCTCACCCCTTGCCTTGCAAATCCGCTTGACCCGCCCCGTACGCGCCGGTATCGGGACTGCTATACCGAGAAGTCGGTCGTGCCGTAGGGGATGGGGGATTGGTAAGCTGGACGGGCCCTGTATGCGCCCTGTGTACGCCCTGTGTACGCCCTGTGGAATACAAGTCTGCGCTGCGGTGTGTATTGATTATAGGCGGGGCAGTCTGGTCTGGGGGATGGGAGATGGGATGGGGTGGCTGTGACTCCACGTCCTCAGCGGCGTGTTGCATCCTCTCGCATCCTCTCGAACCATCTCGCGTACCAGTTCGTCGGAGATCTCGGCCCTGCCCCAAGTCACCGACTGAGTCACCGACTACCTAGACTTCCTAGGCTGCCTAGACTTCCTAGGCTCTAGACTTTCTAGGCTGCCTAGACTGCCCAAAACACACGGCTGGGACCACCAACCACGCATAGCAGGGATCTGGGCATGGGGTCGGCGAGCACAGGGAGGGATTGGCGCAAACATTATTTTCTGTTAGTACGCCTTTTTTTTTGTTTTTTTGTTTTTTTGTTTTTTTGTTTTTTTGTTTTCTTGGGGATGGGGACTGTCACTCCAACCCTATGGAGACAGAGATGAGGCTGTGAAGGGGAAGTAACTGTCAAATTACTGTAGCTACTCGAGGTCTTATACCTTACACCTTATATCCCAGGCATCCAGCTTACTAATGCTCCCCCCACCACTAAACTCTCCACTAAACTCCCCACTATACTCTCCACTAAACTCTCCACTAAACTCTCCACTAAACTCTCCACTAAACTCTCCACTAAACTAAACTCTCCATTAAACTAAACTCTCCACTAAACTAAACTCTCCACTAAACTAACTAAACTAAACTCTCACTAACCCACTAAACCACTAACCTCCTTCTCCACTCACCCACTAACCCACTAACCCACTAAACTCCACTAAACTCTCCAGTAAACTCCAAACACCAACTAACGTCCTTCCCGTCCTAGCCACCACCTGCTACCCGTGCTTCATTGCTTCATACTATTGAAAAGTAAAAACTCGTATTCCATCTCGGCGCATTTCTCTACTGCAACCCACCGTCCTTCCCTGTTCAGCGAACCCATTCCATTCCGGCCCATCTTGTGTGCCAATGGGGAACGGACGGCGTGTGTCAGCCCGAAGTATCATTTCCGTGATTGGGGCTGACCCATGCAGCGTTTAGCCTGTAGCGGACTTGGGGAAGGTGCTTGATCGTTTTTGTCATCTGTGCCTTCCCCATCCATCATCCCTCAAGGTGCGGTGCGTGTACCATATGCTGGATATCATGGATATCCATGATATCCATGATATCCAGCATATGGTACATGATATCCATGATATCCAGCATATGGTACACGCATATCCATGATATCCAGCATATCCAGCATATCCTTGAGGAGAAGGGCTGGGGGAGGTTTATAAAGAGAGTAAGTATCCTGTCCCCACTCCACTTTGGCTGCCTTTTGACCTTTCCCTCTTTCTACTACCCTTTCCCCCTCTATTTTATCGATCCAGCCGTGCATTTGTCGCGGTTAATCACACTATGCACTGAACTGTTTCGGCAATTCTCCACTTCTTCGCTTCTGGCAAACCTCGTAACGCCGAGAAAAAGGGTTTGCATCGGTTCGGACTGGGCTCGCCGGGGATTTGAGGGCGAAGAGAAGGAAGTGGGAACGGCAAAGAGAGTGGCTGGTTTCTGAGTCAGAAAAGTTTATTGGCGACGGCGGACGACGAAGGGAGACGGACGGGGTTGATCCTCTTTATATGAACGCGCCCCAACGGACGACACACGACGACGCGACGACGACGACACGACGACGACACGACGACGACGACACGACGACGCGACGACGACGACGACGCGACGACGCGACGACGACGACAACGCGACGACAACGTGACGACAACGACGAATTAACTTGCCTCGGCCCTTATCTTCTACTTGCTTCGGGGTCGTTTCTCAATACATATACCTTGGACGAGCATACGATAGATTTCAATTGATTCGATTCTCATTCATCGCGAAAGGAAACCAGATCCTTATCTGCGCCCTGTCAACTGCATATACCATCTTCATCGAGTCAACCACATATTCATGAAAAATAAACAGCATCGGGTCCATCATACATACACGAAACAATCAAATTCATACATTGACCTAGCCTCGCATATCCCGACAAACAACCAGAATCAAATATCTGCATTGAGCCATCACTATATTCAAGAATACACGACATAGTCGAACCCGACTACCCTCCATCCAACCACCCACCATGCCGCTCCCATACTTCTTCCGCTCCTCCTCCCCACACTACTCTCCTTCCATCGACACCTCCGGCGAAACCGATACAATCGCAGACACCATCGCCAGCTCCTCGACTCACCTCACGGTCCCCTCGTCACGCGCCTCCGTCTCCTCCTCCAGCAGCAACTTCGACTCATCCTGCCCATCGCCCTACCGCATCGACACACTGATCTCCCAGCCCATCCTCGAGAGGCATTACGCACCCATAACTACCCTCTCCATCAACATTGAGTCACCCCCGCTCGTCTTCTATGGCGGCGCGTCGACAAGTACAGGTGCCCTGCTGTCAGGTCAGCTGAAGCTCGATGTCGGAGACGATGAGATGGAGATTCAAGGGTTCGCCATGCGCCTCGGAGTCGACGTCAACATGAAGAAACCCTTCAACGCCAGCTGCCCTGATTGCGCAACCAAGTCCTCTGACCTTACATCGTGGAACTTCCTCCCCGAGACCACCATCCTCGGAAAGGGTAAGCCCTTTCATATCCCTCCCTACCACAACCCCAACTAACACCACCCAGGCGAACACTTCTTCCCCTTCTCCTTCCTCCTCCCAGGCCAATACCAAGTCTGCACCCACAGCTCTCTCTCCTCCGTAACCTACACCCTCCGCGCCCTCCTCACGCCCACCAACACCGTGCCCCTCCACCTCTCACACCCCCTCTCTGTCCGCCGTGCCATCCGTCCCCCACTCTACCCGCGCCACTACATCCGCGACTTTCCTCCCACCAGCATCTCCGCACACCTCGCTCTCCCGCCGCTGATCCACCCCACTGGCTCCTTCAACGGCGCGCTGAAGCTGAGCGGTATGAACAACATCGTCCTCAAGCGCGTTAACTGGCGCCTCGACGAGACTCAGACCGTCTTCGCGCCATCGTGTCGCCGACACACGCCGCGCGCGGGTTACCTAAAGGGCGTCGTGCGCTCCTCCTTCTGCACCCTCGGCTCCGCGGAGCTAACGAGCGGCTGGGCCACACCCACCTACTCCACCACAACCCTCGATCTCACCTTCGGCATCGCACCCAATAACACAGCGCTGTGCGACGTCAAGACCGAAGACGGCACCGAAACCGCGCACGCCCTGGTCGTGGAGCTGCTGGTGGAAAGTAAAGCCGGCACGCGCCTGCTGCGGATGCGCTTCTACCCCGTCGTGACGGAGCGCGAGGAGGGGGGTGTGGCGTGGGATGAGGAGGCGCCGCCGGTGTATGGGGAGGCGGGGAAGCCGCCGCCGGGGTATATGTATGTTGCTGGCCGCGGGGATGTGCCGAGGTATGAGGAGGTTGTTGGGGGGAGGGGGAGGGGGCGGGGGCGGGGATTATGGAGGGTGTTGCTTTGCATGGGTAGATGGGGGGGTTCGGGGAGGCTTCTGTGAGGGGTTCTGTGAAGGATATTCATATTTGACAGGCGTCGGATGGGCAAAATACCAGGCGTTGAATTTGGAGGTTTTGATTTGTTTTTTTAACATCGGGCTAGGGAGGGCATCAGCATCGATCATGATGAGGGAGGGCATAGATTGGGGTAGGGTCTATTTTCATTTTCTCGACAGTTCTCCAGGTTACTGTACATACTAGCCTGGACTATTTATACAAGGAAATCACATCATATAATCTGAGACTTACACTATCCAGCCAATGCTTCTCATGGTTTTCTTGGGGGGGGTAAACCTGGGGTTCTAGAACATGGCTAGCCCCCCGAAACCTTGACGGCGAAGTAGAGGGGGTGCAGTATGGAGGGCTTGTGTCATAGGTAGGAAGGTAGGATCTCATTACAAAGAATTGGTTTGCTTTGAAATGCGATGATTGCCACTTTTGGGCGTGTATTTTAGGGAGGGGGGTATGTAGTCTTGATATAAGGGTGTGCTGACGAGCTGGTTCGACGCTATATGGGGGGTAGTGATTTGTGCGGCTATGGCGTTGGTTGGGAGTCTCTACGCTAGCGACTCCGTGCATGCTACGTCTGGCTCGGGGCGCTGGGTGGTGATTGTCAGTATCTATATTTTTGTGTTGGCGTATTGTATGTCTTGGGCTGTAGGATTCAAGTTCTTCGCCTGCGAAATCCAACCCATCCGCAGCCGCGCGACAGCCACCAGTCTCGGGCAAGCGGCGAATAGTATTACGTTACGAACTTTGGGGTCGCTTTCATCACCCGTGGTTAAGGGGGTGAGGGGCTGGGTTGGTGGTGGGGGGGTGGTGAGGGCGGAGAGTTTGGCTGCGAGGCATTATCTGACCCCCTCATGGCAAAAATACGCTCATGGCGCAGCATATAGTTGCGTCTCTTGTGGTGCTGTCAGATAACAAAATAGGAATCAAGTTGTGCTATGTGCGTGACGAAAAAGAAAAAAAAGAGAGGTGAGAGTAGCTCAACGTGACAGGAAATGCGATGACGGTATATCTAAATCGGCCTCGGCAGGCGCATTTTGCGGTTCGGTGCTAATGGCACAAAAGGCTTTTGGAGTTGATGGAATTATCTCTACTCTTGCCAGCCAGTTTATCTAGAAATACCATTACATCCAGCTTGAATGCTACCTACTAATTAATACCCCGTGGGAGAGTATCGGAAATTACCGTCCCTGCTAAAACTTACTCCCAAATTACCCCCGCGGCTTTAGCCCCTTTCCCCCTTTATTTCCCAAATCTTTACCCCTTTCCCATTTCCCAAACCCTTTATGCCCATTTCCCAAGCACCCCCATCAACACCGACCCCCCCACAAAACTGACCCCCGCCACCACCGTCCTCACCAGCGGCGCATCCTTCAAGTCCCCAAACAACCAATCATGCGCCCACAAGCTCACCAATCCCACCCAGATCAAAACCCCCGCTGACAGCGCATCCAGCGTCCCCAGCGCAATAATCGTCGACGGGTTGTTCCCATTGAATGTATTGAGAACGCCGATACCGATCGCCATACCGATTGGCGTGATAACAGCGAATGTGAGTGGCATGGCCCAGTTCTTCGCCTTGCGCCAGGCTGGTACGCTGTTCTCACCGTCTGAGGGGGAGTGGTCGTCGATAGCAGCGATTCGGGCACCGAGAGCGAGGCCTTCGAACATTTGGTGGAAGATGATGACGACGTAGAGGGTTACGAAGACCGAGTCCCCCGCGACGATAAGCGTGATACCCAGCAAGATCGAGTGGAAAATAATCCCCGCCTCCAATACCAGGACCGTCATCGTATCATTCGGGTTCACCGACGAGTAGGACTCGGTGTGATGGTGGCTTAGTGCCGCGAGACCGGGAGAATCGGAGTCGCCGTGTGAAGGGTGATTTTTTCCGGCCTCGCCGCCTTGTGCAGAGGCGGCTTCTCCTTTGTGGGTGGAGGAGGCGAGGGCTTGGGAGGTGATGGTACGGCGGCGCCAGCTGGCGAGGCGGTGGCCGAGATATTCGATTAGGAAGGCTATGAAGGCGCCGGCCATGGCGATTGCGGTTGTGGTGGCTTCATATTTTAGTTCGCCTAGGCACCTGCGGGGGGTTAGTTATGTAGTGATTGGTGAGTTATTTTGGAGGTTGGACTTACTCGTTGCCGAACATGAGTTCGGCGTGTGTTAGGAGCTAGGGTAGTGTTAGTTTAGGATGTTTTAGAAGTAGGGGGTAGGATGTACGTGAACGAAGCCGGTAGAGATGATGACGCCGGTGCCGAATTGTTTGATGATTGTGAAGACGATGCCGGAGACGTTCAGCTTGAGCATCTTCTTCATGACCAGGGGCGCATAGACAGCTGTTTATTGTTAGTATTGCTCTCCTACCCAACGACAAGCTTTAATTCTTACCAAGTGCGCTTGCAAACAACATCGGGAAGATAAGTCCAATGCGAAGATTTATGTTGTAATCCCTATCCTTCCTTTCACAGGTAGCCACTCCTGACCCTCCTACACAGTGTCTGTGGTTATGGATAAGTGAAGGCTCTTCCAAAAATGGTTTACACAGCTTGACTTACTCTACACCAGCATGGAAATGGCAGTTTTCTCCAGATGCCCCGGATTCTTCCGGATGTTCTCCTGCAGCTTCAGCAGCTGCCACTTCTACTTCGGTTCCGTCGGGGGCGATGCAGAACCTTTGATGTATTAGCTTCTGTTCGTTGAGGGTGGTGATGGGAGTATGTCTTCAATCGATGATGGGATAGGAGGCCCGAGTAGATAATCAATATTAACAAGAGTAACTTACATCTCTACACCGTGGTAATGGCATCCATTGTATGCCGTAGGTAAAGGAGCGTCTCCAGTCTGGGTAGCCATCACCTGTACTTCTTCTCCATTTCCCTTAATACAAAATCTGTCAACAGTCAGCATTATTCCTTCGCGGAGAGGATAGAAGATGGCACTCACCGCATCGTCCCATGGCTATGGCAGCCTGTGATAGCAGTCGTTTGCGCGGCAGCTGTCGTAGCCGCAGCCACAGAGCTCGGTGCAGTAGGGGACGCAGTAGGGGACGCAGTAACTAGAGAGCTCGTCGGACGGCCGACTTTAGTCTCCTCGCCATTAGGGAGAAAACAATATCTGGCGGTTGATGTTAGCCCTTGCTGCTTTGTAGAGACAGGCTTGGCAATAGAATTGACGGAAGGATAGGGGAGGGAAGGCTTACTCGACATCACCGTGCAAGTGACAGCCGGTCAGAGTGACCTGAGCAATCGCTGGCAGAACCAAGCATTGGAGGACCACCGCAGCGATCGTCAAGGGTTTTGAAAGCATCTTGTCGAACGACCGCAGACTTGCTAGGTGTGAAAGGGATGGGTACAAATTTGGATGTAGACAGGGGAATGTTGGAGGAGCACGCTTTCATCTTATAGAAAGCGGTATAGAAAGTGGTATATAAAGTGGTCTACGGAGTGGCAAAAGGGTCAACTTCGGAGGGATTGATGGAAAAAAGGGTCCAACATCCATCCCACTCCCTTGGCCAGTAAGTGTAGAGCATGCAAGGCGTAAACCTAGCAAACAGAGTCGCTCACATTGGGATATTTATGAGCTATACCCTAATCAACTCCAGCACCTTCCCGCCAAGGGCAGTTCTGTCGCTTGGCTGGTCTTGGTAGGGCACCTTGATGGATAAGATTTCCAGTGCTCGTTTGTGCGTATAATCATACCCGATAATATGCCATTATCTCTAATTGGATCAATGTAGCAAAGGGAACCAGGTGTCGGCTCAGCCAAGCATAGGCATTTCTTAGCATTCTTAATGAAGCCGTGCATGGTGAGGATTGGCAACAGGTAGGAGATTGCCACGAGGTTAGCACGTCCACGAGGTTGCGTTACTACCAGCGGAACTATCACCTTGGCGTGCGTATCAACGCAACCTGGGTGTATATGATATGTCAACAGGCGACGACGTAGAACGTGATGTGGAGTAAAACCAATGGCTAGACGCGCACGTGGGCGTGGATTCACATTTTCAGTCCCATCAGCACTCACAGTTGGAACCCCGGCCACTGCGTGTTTTTCCATTCGCTTAGACATGATTATGCCCACTGTTCGGCTAGAGAGAGCCGTTTCCTGTTTTGTTCTATTGTGGGTGATTGTGGGTAATTTGGGTGATTGTGGGCGTCCAGAAATCCTGTTCCTTCTGTGTTGTGGGCGATCAAGAGACCCTCATGATCCGCGGGTCATTTATATATTCCGGCGGGGTTCGTGTTAGTAAATCAATAATGGCTATACGCGCGCACGGGTGTGGATTCACAGACTTGTCATACAATTGACCCACTGTCCAACAAGGTATCAATACATTTCTCATTTTTGATACATGCCATCTTTCCTCAATGGGAGGAATGGGATGAGTCTTAGATCTTTGGGTATATAAACAGCTCTTCCTGCCCCTCGCAGATCTCGTTTGAAGCTGTCAACTCGTACAAGTGCCGTCTATCAATTCCCAGCTACTCTCGATCATGCGTCTTTCTTCGGTTCTCGTCGGGGTATCCCTCCAAGCTCTCCAAGCAGCAGCCTTACCCGTTGGCAGCTACGAGTCTCCCTTCACATCCACCTCTCCGGCTCTTGCAACCTCAACTCCTGCCCTAGCCTATGACTGGAGCTCAGGTTACGTGTCTCAATTCGTCATTCACCCGTCTTGCAACTCGACCGAGCGCCATGAGATCACATCTGGCCTCGAGCAAGCTGTCACCATAGCGAAGCATGCAAAGGAACACAGTACGGCCCCAACGTCGTCACGTTATCAATTCTTTGTGATAATGTGACTAGACCCCTTCGCACATCAATGCTAACCATTCTTTAGTCCTCATCCACCGCAACAGCTCCAAGGTCTTCCAGAAGTACTTCGGACAGGGCCCAACCGGCCCCGTCATCGGATGGCTGGACAAGATCGCCACCGCGAACCGCGCTGGTATCATTTTCCGCTGTGATGACCCAGATAAGAACTGCGCAACCCAAGTCCGTAAGTCTTCATCTTCTCTCTCCAATATGGAACTTTCTGACGCAGAGTGCAGGCTATGGAGGACACTACAGGGGCTCCAACGCCACTGCGGAGACTGTCATCTGCCCCCTTTCATACACAAACCGTCGTCCCCTAACAGCCCTCTGCGCTCGGGGCTTTGACATGGCAACGGGTCGCGCTAACGACTACTGGGCCGCGGATCTCATGCACCGCCTGTACCACGTCCCGGCTGTCGGCGAAGACGAAATCGGCCACTACGCCGACGGGTACTCTGGGCTTCTCAAACTGGCGGCTGGCGCAAACCACACTGACGCTGCACGTAACAGCGCGTCGCTGTCGTATTTCGCTCTTGAAGCGTATGCGTATGATATCTCGGTTCCGGGCGAGGGATGTCCTGGAAAGGTAGTTGAGGAGGAGCATGATCACGGCGCGAGCGCGACTAGCTCGGCTGCCGGTGCTGCTGCCACGTCAGTTAATCCAACGAGGGTTATTCCTGGGTCACCGACTGCTGCTGCCCCGGTAGCTACAGCAGCTGGAGGCGGAGCTGGGAAGGAGTGCCATACTCATGATGATGGAACGGAGCATTGCACGTAGGTTTTTGCGGAAGGCCACATGTCGTGCTATAATTGCATTGTTTCACGAGCGACGAAAAATTTCGTGAGGCGATTTTATTTGATAAATGTAGCCTAGAATTAATAGCTGCGCGCATCCATTTTGCAATTACTTTATATATATATATATATTACCTCATCCCGCAGAGAACAGTAACTTTACAAGTTGTATAAGTGTGTTGGCCGAGGTTGGGACATCCGGAGTACGGACAAACCTCCCCCGCGCCCAAACATCACAAAGCTGGAAGTTGGATGTATGACATCATTCCCCCTCCATGGACGACGTCATGTACCCCAGTACCACCATTCATCGGGGCTGTTGTACTGTGGTTAAGGGACGATACAGACTAATGATAAGTTAGGGGGAAGATGGAGGTAAATCTGGCTGGATGGGGTTGAAGCATGGCAGGACAGCCGTCATTGCCCATACATGGTCGACGTCAGCAATTCAAAGGTCAAGGGGGGCAAGATATATGCCGCCTCCCCTCCCCGGATTTCGAGCCTCTTCTTCGGACATACCGACTATTTGATTGCATACCAAACCATTTGACCACTATTGTCAACAAGAAGCATTCAACCAACCCAACCAAGATTAGCAAACATGGAGACCATCCAGCGTGCCGCCAGCGCCGCCAGCGAGGCTCTCTTCGGCGAGCACGGAGAGCACGGGCATACCACCCACGGTAATACGGGTACCACCACACGCACCAATGCCGCGGGAGAGATGACCCACGAGCCGCTGTCGGGACGGACAGGGGATACGAAAGCAGGAGAGCCATATGACGCTGGTAACCTAGGTGGTGCGTTTAACTCCTTTCCAAATGTGCGAGATATATGGGATATATGCTAACGGTTGAACAGAGTGGATATGTTATGATAACGAGAGAAGGAACTAACAATCACAGACGAGAGATCCCAGCAACGCATCGCCGCTTCAAGGGACGAGCCCACCAACATCACCGGCACAGCTAGAGAATACACTTCCACCACTGGCACATCAGGCGGATACGCCCCCACTACATTCACTACCGGCGGCACTGGCGGATACGCCCCAACCACATTCACTACCGGCACAGCTGGCGGATATGCGCCCACCACTTCCACCACCAGGTCCACCAGCGGCGAAGGTGAACTCCGCCGCTCCTCCGACATCTCCCCCCGCTCCAGCCCAGCCACAGGCACGATCCCCATCCCCTCCAACATTGACCGCCATGCCGGCGGAGGCTCGTACTCATCTGCCCGCGAGACCGCCGCGCGCGCTATGGGCGCAGCTGAGACGCCTGGCAGCAGTGTCGGTGCAGCAGGATACGCTGGTGCTGGCGCTGCTGCGGGAGGTACGGGACTGTGGAGTGCGGGGCAGGGGAGGGAGGAGGTTGACGCTAGAGATGGAGGACAGCAGGGACAGCAAGCGAGATTTGCGGGTGAGGGGGGCAAGGCGGATGCAGCGGATGCAGCGGATGTGGCGCCTTCGAGGGCGCATGCTGAGGGGATGAAGGTTAAGGATGCTGGCGAGACTTCTACGACTGGTCCGACTGGGGTTGGTGCTGGAGCTAGACCTACTAGCGCTGCCAGTGCCGGAGCTAGACCTACTAGCGCTGCCAGTGCCGGTGCTGCAACAGGTGGCGAGGGCGCACCCCTTGGCCGCCGCCAGAGTCTGACGGCTCACCTCCCGGGCGAGCCTGGAGGCGAGGGCATGCGTCGCACGAGTGGCGCTGGGGAGGGAACGGGGGAGCAGTGGGTTAAGAGCAGTGGGATGAAAGCTGATGGCGGTGATTTTGACGCCAGTGCTCCTGGTGCTGGAAGGGAGGCTGATCGTGAGTTTTCTCCTTTTTTGTGTTCGTTGCGAAAGGGGCTAATGTTTCACACAGGCCTGTTGACGGAGAAGGGCATCAAGCGCTCGGGTGCGGATGAGAAGGAGGTGACGGGGCAGATGGATACGAAGGCACCGAATGGGTACAATAATGCTTCGGAGAGCGAGAAGCTGGGAGGTCTGAAGGATAAGCTTATGAATAAGCTACATAAGGGTCCGCTGTAACATGAGGGCTCGATAATATGGATAGGTGTGTGTGACGAGTTTTCTGCGCAAGCTCGTCGTTGGATTATGTTTTGGACTTTGTATAAGCTAGTTCCTATTGAATGATCCATCCACCTCAAACCCTCAGAAATTTCAAATCCCAACAACAACCCACGACCCTTCGTCCATTTCATCAATCCCACAACCCGTATTCCGAAATGTGGTTAAATAGGTTATACGGGTGTTTGCTTACATCAAGGTCGATAAGTCATCGATGTACATTAAACAAATGTCTTCATGGCTCAGTTGGTTAGAGCGTTGGTCTCATACTTCTTGTATGACGTAACTGTCAAACAGTCATGTGATTGCCATCCAAAGGTCGTGAGTTCGAACCTCACTGAGGACAATTCAATTTTTTGCCATTTTTTGTGCTATTTTCTGTCTAATGAATGCCTTTTTTTTTTTTTTTTTGTCTTTACTAGCCCTGATCTATTGGCGTTGACATATGACGGAGAGAGCAGGAGGACTGTGCGTGGGGGTTAGAGGGAGCTGAACAGGGGATGGGCAGTTATTCTGCACGGGGTTGGGAGGGGTACTTGTGCCCCCTAAAAGTCCAAGGGACTGTGGATGGCACTAACTTAGTGATTGCAACAATTGACGGCAACAGTGATTGCAGCAACTGTAATTCACACAAACTTTATACAACGGCTTTTCCTCTTTCCATCGTCGTAGCCCCTTATCACCGCATGACCCGTGCTCGTCAACTCTCCTTCGATTCTGCCGCCTCCGTCACTATACTGCTGCTCGCCTCGCAGTGAACTGTTATGCGCGACGTCTAAGATCGTAATTATCACGCCTTGCCCGTAGCATCGCTTGCCACGTCCGGACCTGCATGTCCTCGAGCGTCATATTCTTCCCAAAGAAAGCTCCTGTCGGAGTAAACAAGTTGTGTTCCACGGCATGAAAAAGGAATACGGCGTACAAGTCGAGGGGGATGAACTTTCCAATATCATGAAACTGAGAGTATCTCCTGGCTCCCTGCTCCTCCTCCATGGCTATGGCCACTATGACCGTGACGAATCGTGGCGTTATCTTGGGGAATACGCTACCATCGCCGCCAATTATGTCGAGGTTCTCTTCCAGGCCAGAGTAGTATGGCCAAAACGCTTCACTCTTCATCCAGATGTCCAAGGCTTCGCCGTCAGAGAACCCGAAAGCAACCGTGAGACGCTTTCTTGACCTGAATGTCGTTGCTGGGATTGGGCCATGAATTCCTGATGAAGCCTCTATTAGCTATAATGCCTGTAGCTGTGGGAACCAGTATTAATTACCGATGCTGCCGCTGCCTGTTTCAATAGGGGCTTGGTCATTTTCACCGGGTTGGGCATTATCTCCATGAGCGAAACCAGGCCCATACGTTTCGCCTTGGGGGGCGGCCACTTCCCCTTGATTGACAATGAGATCTTGCTCGCCGCTGTTGTTCTCCATTTCGGGGTTGCCATACATCTCGCCTTGAAAGATGGCCATTTCCCCTTGATTGCCAAAGAAATATTGCTCGCCACTGTTGTTCTCCATTTCGAGGTCGTATTTAAAGTCTCAAAGGTAGACTTCACGGGCAGTACTTGTAGGCGGACCGGGGAATATGAAGTTGAGCAGAAGTACAGCATCAAAGAGTTCAGGGTCAATTTACCTGAGTAGAGACGCCTGTAAAAAAAACGGAAGGAGCAACCCACAAATCTGGAACGCTCACTAAAGCATCTATCTTGCATTCACCAACTTTTTAAATCCCAATGTATATGTAGATCAATATATCTCTAAAAGCGGTTGATTGACGCCTTCATACCCAACAGATAAAATATCAAGTTGAGACCCCAACATGCTTCATAGCTGTACACCGATGCTATCATCTGAAGAGCAATACCACGAAAATTGTTCTCTTACTATTCAAGGCCGGTCTCTCAATGCCGGGGATAAAGTGACTTGTAACAACTTATAACAACTTACATCAATAAACAGTACTGAAAATGATACATCCCACAATTTTCAAATCGGGCCTGAGCCGACTTATCCATAGTATCTCCTATGGCGAGCTGATTAGAAAGAGGCAAAGAAAGAAAAAAACAAATAACAAATAACGCCAAAAACATCCGCCCAGTGATGTGAAATGCAAACCAACGATGCCGATGAGACGCTCTCTCCCGTTTGTACGATGGGTATAGACGGTTTACTTCATGATATACTTCCTCCTTGCCCATCCAGCGGTGCATTACTCTCCCTTTACCGCAGCGGCAGCAGCGCCGGCAGTAGCAGAACTCTCCTTCGCTCCCTCCCCACCGCCATCGCCAGCCTCCTCCTTCTCCTTACCTTTCTCCTCCTTCTCCTTACCTTTCTCCTCCTCCCCAAGGCCCTCACCGCCCCCACCCAAAGGCTTTAACGGATCATACCCCACGCTCTTAACAATACCCAGTCCCTTCGTCCTGCCCTCTCTGAACAGCAACCTATCGCCGGGAACCAGATACTCTGGCCTCTGCACGAACCGGAACGCCACCATCGCGCGATCTCCAGTGCGGATATGCGCTCGGTCAATAGCGATGATGGTGCAAGTCTGAGAGACAGGCCCGACGTGAAGCATGGCCTGGTACTTGGGCTTGATAGTCGTGGCGTGGGAGAGAATGAGGACTGCGAGAGTTAGTCTACGAAAAATGGAGCAACGGGGGAAAAACGTACCCTCCGCGACAAACTCGCGGAACACGCGCGGCGCATCAGCCGCATCCTCTGGCTTCGCAAGCACCACCATTCCCTTCCGCACATCCCGCCGCCTCACCCTCTTCAGCGCAAACGACGCCGACTGCCCCGCCGATGTGGCTGGTACTGGGATTCGCTTCCGCTCAATCGAGCGGATCGTCGTCTGCGTGAAGTGGCCCAGCGAGTCGGGGCCGACGAGGACGTGGTCACCAGCGTGCACGACGCCGCTCTTAACGACGCCCGACACGACAGTCCCGACGAATGGGACAGAGAAGGTATCGTTGATGTGGAACTCAAACGGCGCCGTGGCATCATAATGTCCATGGTGAGGCAGAATGTTGAGGAACGTGCGGACCAGGTCGAGGTTCTTCCCTGTGACATTCGAGACCTGGAAGATGGGGCAAATGCGCTGCGAGACGAACTGCGTGGCTGTGTTGATGCAGCTCTCGCGGTCGGAGATGAAGATGGGGATCTTGCGCGCGCCGGGAGATTTGAGGATCCGCGTTATCTGCGTGATGGTCTGCTCGAGGATATGTGGTGGGCAGATGTCGATCTTGGTGATGACGACCATCACGGGGACGTTGAGCGCGAGCGCGATACCGAGATGCTCTTTGCTCATACCGATGAGCCCATTGTTCGCGGCGACCATCAGGAGGCAGTAGTTCGGGCTTGACGAGAGCATCCCGAACACCGTTGTGCGCAGATACCGCTCGTGTCCAGCCAGATCAGTGAAGGATATCACCTTGGCCGAGCGCTTCCCGATCTCCTCCCACGACAAGCTGCGGCCGGGGACATCTGATACGATGATCTTCCCTGTCGCACTGAACCCCATAATCTCCATGCCGACAGAGCTAGTCCGCCCACTCTCAATCTCATGCTTATGCCGGAACAGATTAACACGCGCCTTCCCCCTCCCATCATCTAGCCCTCCCTTCACCAGCACTCCGAGCATGGTACTCTTCCCCGCATCGACATTCCCCACGACGGCTATCCGTGTCTCAATCACATCCTCCGCCGTCGACGGGTTTTGCCTCACTGAGACCTTCCCACTGGACTCCTTCTCCTTGTCATCAGCCGTCTCCGCCTCAGCCTCCCCCCCGACGTTCTTTGTAAGCAGGACCTGGCACTCTGCACGTTCATTCGAGGCTGCCTCACGCAGCCGTGCGAGTGCACCCTCCCACTCCTCTTTTGTAAGGTTCATACACTCCCCACTGTTCTCGAAGCCGATATCGAAGACCGTTTCGCCGTGGCCCTCGAGGATGCGTGCGCGCAGTACCTCTCCAAGCCGCGGGATCGCATCATCTGCATCGCCTAGCAGCAACTCACGCAGTCGGACCTGCGGCGCTGAGTCGGCGAGGTCGAGAGAGTTCAGGATGTCGAGCTCATCGTGGTCGTCGGTGGCGGAGCTACCCGCCGGGTACCGCGTCGCTTGCTGTTTCTCGACGTACTCCGCGAATTCGCTGAGGGCCTGCGTGGGTTAGCTAGATCGCATATCCTATTGTATAGTTTTACATACTGATTCGCCTTTCCGCCGCTCATGGGGGAGCTGTTTCCCTTTGCTGGTCATGTCTGGTGTGATTTGGTTCGCGGACGGAGTCCTATGTCGCGACCCGCCGTAGGGTTTGTACTTTAGTTAGAAGGCCGCCGTGTATTCGAATAATCATTTGGATAGTATGTGGCCGTTAGGTATATGAGGGTTTGGGGAATTGCTGGCGTGGGCTGGTGTCTATGTCATAGGTGCCTTCCGAGCTGGGTCTATAGGGAGAACGCCTTATGGGTCAGAGACCAGGAAGCTGGCGGTGACGCACACGGCCAACACGGTCCTCAACTACAGAGTACATAGTAACGAGGCTTGGAGCTGAAGTTGCTTTGATTATGTATGGCTATGACTGGAAAGGTCATTCATTGAGCATTTTATTGCTCTGTTGGTTGGTTTGTGGCTGCGCGGCTTGACGCCTTGCGCCCACCCGGTCCTCCAACAACGGCTTACAAGTCTCCATTTCCTATCAGACGCGTGTATCCCCTTCTATTCCAGGTATTTCGAGATATGTTGTTCTCCGTGGATATCAGTCGGGGTCAATGTCGTGGTTGGTCATGACGAAGCTTGTGGTGATATGAGCACAACGCTGTCTCCTACATTGCGGGTCAGTATTTGCGTCCATGAGATTCATGAGTGGTAGCTCAAATTATAGAAGATCCTACCTCGTACGAAAAGCATCTCCGACTTCTTGTGGATAGTCTGTTGTAATGTTAATGTCTGCCAGCCAGTGCAAGAAGCTTGCCAATAATACCTTCAGAGTCTCTCCATCTTCATCATCCTCATCCACCACGTAGACTGTCTCTACTACATCCCCAAGCACCAGGTTGCAATGGCTATCGTAGGCCTGTGCGACAAGTCAGTATTGGGCGCAGACGTGCTTCGTTGGACATATGTACGTGAAGACGGCCCTTCAGTTCGCGGTCACCCCTCAGCTTGACAAAGACGATCTCGTCCAGGGACAGGCGTACAAGATCAAGGGGCTCATCAATAGGAGCCCCGCGACCTTCATCAACATCAGCCATTATGAATGTGTCGATCGTTGACGCTGTAAGCTTGCTGGCGTGGTGCGGGTTATCAAAGATCGCGATTTGACTAGGGCGGAAGTTGCCGCCGTTGGGAGCCAGCCTTGAATAAATGTTTATGGACGCTTCATGGCTTTACGGGCATCAACACAGGTTTTATGAGCAGCTTCTTCTTGCAGAGGGAGGCAATAGAAAGCTACAATTCTCTTGAATCCCCATTCGCATGGTGCTCCCTCCTAGCTGGCCTCACTGTGTCCGCCACAAGTGCCGTTTTTAAGCTTCTGTCCATCTCCTCAAATAGTAAAACGGAGATATTCTACTCAAAAAATTACATGACGGAGAAGACATACCCCAGTCAGACTGCATATAAAATCTATCTGCTAAGGTAATAGCAACATGATTGGCAAAAATATATTCAATATGAAAACAAAAAAAAATTGACTGGTCTACTTGGGAGTAGATGGTTCTGAAAATTCCGAACCGGGGAGTCGAACCCCGCGCAACCGCGGATTCATAATTCTTTCGAATGGTGAGAGGCGGATATGTTACCGATACACCAGTTCGGAGTGGGGTTGAAGATCGGAATCACTATTAGGGTACAAGTAGGGCGGCAAAAGGATCCCGTCGCATCCCTGACCGGAGCTTCTCGTTGTATAAATATTCAATGGCGAGGCCATAGACCATCTTTCACCCAGACTACTGAGCTCTTTGAAATTGAAGTCATCACATCTGCCCAGCGGCAATAAAAATGTCCCAAATTTGCTATGTGTCTTCCACAGTCGCGTAACCCCCCCTGTACATCCCACCTGTACAGCATTATTAACACCCTTGAGCCTATGATACACCGCTTCCCCCATTCTCCGTCACGATATCTTCTCCAGGTGCAAGTCGTTCACGGCCATGTACCTGCTCAACCCGATCCAACCCCACCGAAACCACTTCATCTGGCTTATATGTGCGTCCGTCATCGCGCGCTGCGCTGTCCGGATCTCGCCCATGCCGCTCATGAATAACAGCGGTGACGGGTGCGCGCCCGGGCTGCGCTTCGTGAATGCGGCAATCATCATGCTGGTGATGGTGTCGAGGATGCTGGCGTATTTGCGCACCACATTGACGGTCGACAGCGTGTATAAGTCGACGGGGCTGTCCCACCCCGGGCGGTTCTTAATGAGGGACGCGATGAAGTGTCGCGCGCCGTGGTAGAGGGAGATGTGGTTTGGGTGCGCGGAGACGCCCGAGCGGTCGAAAGTGATGAGCACGTCGATTGTGGCGGTCGGCGCGTCGGCGGACTTGGAGGTGAGGGTATTGGCGAGGTGGGGTGCGAATGCGGAGGAGAGGAGCGAGGCGATCTTCTCTTTCGACCAGGTCGCCGTCATGCTATCCTGGAAGTCGCTGCGGGGCAAGGGGTCAGCGAACTGTGCGTTATCGCGGTGCGGGGGAAGGAAGGCGGGGGTTGACTTACGGATTCTCGACAACGAACACGTCGTCTTCATTTCGTAGGCCGAGCAGCATGCCGCTCTTGACCAGCTCCTTCTTTCGTGTTTCGCCCAGCCCATCGCCATCGCCTGCGAACCCGGTCAGTAACCTTGTCCCAATCGCGGCATTGGAGATACTTACCACTGCTTAAACACAAGATCTTGAGGTGGTTCCCCAACGCCGGGTCTGTCAAGGCCAGCAGCGCTGGCGCGAAGAACATGGCCTCATCGTCAGGGTGGGCGATAAGTAAACAGATCCGCCTGTTCTTCAAAGTCGGGAAGCGCCCCTTGACCGTCGCCACGGTATACAGCCACACGACGACGACGACGACGAGGATAGGGAGAGTGGAAAGTGTAACCCAGAGCATCATGGTGCGACGATTACACAGATCGGTTCCGCTGCAGTAGTGGAGTTCAGCACGAGGCTGTGAACGCGAACGCGAACGCGTATGCGAGGAGAGGAGAGGATGGAGGGGACGAAAGGCCACGGTTGCGACTTCGATAGCGATTAGATTAGTCCCTCATTTGGAGATCCGGGGTAACGGTCGTAGGTGGAGTGCCGCCGTAGTGTTGCTATAGTGTTACGTTAGTGGGGGATAGTGGACGACGGGGCAGACGGGAATGGAAAGGGTGCAGGCGTGGCGTTTGCAGGCGTGGCGTTTGCAGGCGTGGCGTTTGCAGGGTATCAACATGAAATAGGGGTCCAGTTATATTCTCGCCAGGTTGCCAGTAGCCATGTCGCTTGGGACGTGCCAGTCCACGTCCAGACCAGAAGAACAACCCTGCCCACAAAACCTTAAAAAGACTGCCGCGTCAATGTAAGGTACATGCACTCTACCTTGCGTTATCAATTTAGCATTTGTGGTATTTGAGGGGCGTGTCACTCGAGGAATAGACGCCGGAACACGTGCTCAACTGTTTTTATATCTGTCTGACAAAGCACGCAAGTAGTAGGCTTCTTTCGGTGGCAGGAACGATCCACTACTAACACAATGCCAGGCTACCCCCGAAAACCCAACCCTAGAAGATATCGGCTTTAGCTGCACATAGAACTATGGCGCGCCAACGCCGTCAAAAGGACGTATCGTCGTCAGACATCCCACTCGCTCATCCGGACAAATGCGGCCCTGACCCCAGCAGGCAGACACTCCTGGATCTCGCCGCTCAGCGTGGACTGCTCGACATTGAGACTGAGAATCGGAAGACCGGAAAGCTCCCAGCTGGGTCGGTTCCTCTACGGGACGAGCAGCCTATAATAGGGCGATTTGGGGAGGCTGTATTATGGAGCTCAAGTCTCGCCATGCTCCATTTTACCCTTGACGTGCTCACCCAACATCAATACGCCGAAGTGCTGTCCTGGCCGAGTGTCATCACGCAATCGCTGCAGGCCTTTGGCGGTACGTTTTATCATCGTGTCTAAATTGTTGATGGTACTAATATACAACAGTCATACTTGTATTCTTTTACGCATTACACCCGCACTCGGTTCCGGCGGCCTACTTTCCCCGCATCCCGTCACTCCTTCACCAAATTCTCTTCTTCGCAAGCAGTGTTGGGGGTGGCTGCTATCTGATCTACATCACCAACGAATACAGCTACTACGCTGTGCTAAAGCAAGCTCCGCCGTTAGGCGTGATATGGATTTGGTCAGTCATCGAGCTTGATCTGTTATGGGCATTGGGAAGTCTACTGAGTTGTCTAGCCTACTTGTGGCTGGGGGGATACTCTTTCATGTAATATTATATAGAGCCACGAACATAGAGAGAATCTCTGTTCAGTACTTCTTGCAAAAAGGAAATGCCGGGGCAATAGTTGTCCGTGCGATCACCTGAGTATCACGGGTAGGTCCGCCGGGCTGGGGCGGCGAGGCGGCACCAGATCAGGTCACCGGCTCCGGTCGGCAGTCGGGGCCAATCAGGGTAAGAAGGTTAATGCTCACAGTGATACGAGATATGAGACACGTATATATACACTATAGTCGAAGCTATGATTCTTGGCTTGAAGACTTTCATAGAGTACGATCTCATAATCCACGCCAGCCGCAACACAACCCTGCTCATCTGAGGATTTGATCAGTTGGCATAATGTTGTGGATTTATAACAAACTATCAAGATGACGGAAGGGCAAGGTCAGCCTCTGAAATTCACCATCACCCACTATCGCAAGCCTCAACATACACATGAAGAATTTATTAAGTGGATCGTTGAGGGCCACCTTCCTCTTGCTATTTCCGTCTTCAATAAGCACAGAATCCTTGGCTATACACTTGTGAGCGTTCTCTCTACCTTAGAGTACTACAGTGCTGATATAGGCGTCCAGTTCGTCACTCCGTCAGGGTAGCTGGAGGCGGTCAAGGACGAGGAACACTGGGTGGACACGTCGAAGGCCTTGGCTACTCTGGGATATGCGACTCAGTACTTATTGCCGAACGGGGAGACTGTTAACTTGCCAAAGTGACGGGGAAGGATACCCTTCTTTACAAGGAAGAGCTTCTGTTAATGTCTTATTGATTAAAGCACTCGCAATTAGAGTTTGAGCAGGGTACCAATATCCCTTTTTATCCCAAGGTCCCTATTCCGAACTTTGAATGAATCGTAAAACTCATTCAAACCGCTTTCCATGGGTTCTTTTCTGGTAACATTCGGTTTAATACGGCAAGATCGGCTCCTCGATCAATCGGTTTTCTGCCAGGCACCACCTGTACGGTACAAACTTGCAGAGCGGGGGTTCGCTGCCGGTCACCACTTAACTACAAAACATCAGTATGTTTTGGTGACCTATATTGGTGTGGTGAAGGTCTCGATTCTATTTCTAGTCATGCCGGGGGTTGGGTGAAACATAGGAGGTAACGGTTGTTTCGTCGGTTCGGTCCGTGACGACAACAATCGAGCGGATCTTAATGGTGATTCATACCGCGCGGACCGCGATAGGGCTCCGGCTACCCTTCCCCCGTTCTATTTTAATCTCGTGAACAACATAAAAAAGGTCCCAGATCGTACCGCATGAAGTTATTGTGATCCGCCTTGTCTAGACTCGTCTGTCACTGGGTCTAGAAGCCGAATGATGGAAGTGCGTGAGGCCCGCAGAGCGCAGGTCTCACATGATGCTAGCGGGGCTACAGCCTCATCGCATAACGACTGCTAGTAAACATAATGGTTTTATGCGAATGTCTTACCTGCAAGCCACTAGAAATTAGAGCTATCAGTGCCTGAAATGATTTACTGCGATTGGTCTACTAGGTTGTCACCGTTGGCTACAGCCGCAGCTCCGCCGCCATGGAAGTGGATACTCGCCCCAAACTAAATATGCATAGGGAGTCATCCAGCCTCCTATACAAATAACCCTTTCAATGGAAATTTTTTCGATTTCGATCCATCGTCATAAAAACCGTCTGGTGGTGCACATGAGCATAAGTACTATGTGCATTATTCCAAATGGAGAGAATCAGCTGCGGATCTTTGGAGGCTGTGCTTCGATCCCATGCATTATCACAGACAGGAGAGAGACTCTTGTAAGGGACAATGACGATAAAACGGACTTACATCAAAATACCGGGTTAAAGATCAGATAAGGGTTCCCACAAATGATGCCCCCCTGCTGTGTCAGGGGCTAAATATGAATATGTATCGCCCCATCTCTAGAACTGTTAGGACAGTAATTGTAGAGGTCCTTTTATTTTTCAGTCTAAAGACGCTATAATGAGCTGATATACTTGACTTTACGTCAGAGCGCAGAAAATATGTCTTGGATATTTATACTTATTACGAAGCAGTTAACCTAGACCGCCTTCATGAAATCTACTATAGATGTCAGCCGCCGACTTCAAGCGCTGCTGATGAGGCTAGAGAGGTCCCGTGTATGTAAAGAGTCTCTGACTAAATGTAGAAACTCCTATTGGACTGCTGCCGCCCGCTCGTTGACTTTAACGCAAAATTCCTTGGGATAGATGGAAGGAATTCCTATTAGCTCTGCCTAGTTGCAAAGTGGATTCCCATCAAAATCGTATATATGAGATGCCTGTCGTAAAGTTTGCCCTTTTTGGTAAAATACTGTCTCTGCCTTCGCTCAAATTCTAGAACAATTATCAGCCATTGAAGCTCCCCTATTTTATAGGGTGTATTCATAATGCCCACCGCGGATAGCAAGGCGTCGAGCGATACTGTTAGCATGTTCAAGAGAAACAAGGCTAGCAGCGAATCCAACAATGAAAAACATACAACTATTCTTAATCGACAAAATGGTGCAAAAAGGGCGGCAACTGTTGAGAAATCCATGACCCTGAGAGAATGCATTTTGGGGTTCCGCAAAGCTGTCGCCATGTCTCTAACTCTCTCTCTTGCCTGCGCCATAGTAGGCTACGGCCTCGTTCTGCTTGCGAGCTTCGTCACTTTGCCAGTCTTTCGACGCGACTTCGCCTGCCCTGGAGCTTCCCTCACCGAGGTATGCCAGATTCCAGCATCGTGGCAATCCGCCGTAATCTTTGGCCCTATGGCTGGACAAATCATGGGTTTATTCTTATCCGGCTGGGTTGTGGAGAAGTTTGGCTACAAAAAGACGATATTAGCAGCTCTGTCCTTGCTGTCAGGGTTCACCTTCGTTACATTCTTTGCGAAGTCGCTGCCTATATTTCTAGTCGGCTCGTTGCTTTGTGGTATCCCCTGGGGTATTTTTCAAACCATTACGACAAACTATGCTTCCGATATTTGTCCAACTGCGATCCGAGGATATGTTACTGCTTGGACCAACGTTTGCTGGATTATTGGACAATTGGGTGCATCCATTGTCTTACAGGTTCTAGTGAAAAATTCGACGGAGCTATCGTATAAGCTTCCACTTGGTCTGCAATGGGCATTCCCACTCCCGCTTTTCGTCCTTGCTATCATCGCACAAGAGTCACCATGGTGGCTTGTACGCCACAATAAGATGGAAGAGGCAAGACTAGCTCTGAGCAAACTTGTTAGCAAGAAATATATCCCCGCGGGATACTCAGTTGACGACCACCTCGATTTAATAATAGAGACAAACCAGAACAACATCAACAGCTCGGATAATGGTGTAGGATATATTGATTGTTTCCGGCGTGGGAATCTTCGGCGCACCGAGATTACTTTTGTTTTCTGGACGATTCAAAACGCATGTGGCACTGCCCTCATGCAATGGTCTGCCTACTTCTTTGTCGAAGCGGGCCTTACCCAGGAAAAGGCTTTCATGATGCAAATTATGCAGGCAAGTAATTTTTTATCAATCGCATCTAACACCCTCCTGCCTTTTGATAGTACCTAGTTCTTTCTTCTACTTACCCTTACTTATTTACGAATAAGAACTAATTGTCATTTTAGTACGTCGTTGGTTTTGTTGGTTTCTGCGGAAGCTGGGCCTTTATTGGGCTCTACGGCCGTCGAACCATTGAGCTTACAGGCCTTGCCTTGCTCTGCTTGGTTCTTTGCAGTGTGGGCACGGTAGCCTCTGTCCAAATCTCTATAGAGACGTCGGGCTGGGTTAAGAGCGGCCTGCTCCTCGCCTTCACCTTTGTATACGGATCCAGCGTCGGACCTATAACTTACACGGCTGTCTCTGAGATCTCTTCAACGCGTTTAAGATCCAAAACGATGAACATTGGATGCATTGGATACTTATCCTTTGGTGTCTTTAACAGCATCATTACTCCCTTCCAGCTTAACGCCACTGCCTGGAACTGGGGAGCTAAGACAGCTTGGTTTTGGGGGGGATCGTGCTTCCTTTGCTACATATATGTTTACTTCCGAGTTCCAGAGCTGAAGGGCCGCACATTTGGAGAGATAGACTGGCTGTTCGCCAACGGCATTAGCGCGAGAAACTTTGCTAAGACGACTGTGCCACTATTCGAAATTGGCGAAGCTGGGATTGTCCAACAGTCCCAAGATGCAGACAGCGTGGATTCGGCGCCACACCTCCCATCTCCAGTTCGAGTTGCACCTTCGAGTGCCGAGGTTTAATTTTTTGTGGGGATTTTGATTTTATTTTCATGATAGTCAGTACCCCTCAATTAGTATTCTACTCCTTTCCGAATATCTCTAGCTTTGCTCCAGAAGCTAAGTGGATTAAGAGAGCCTTGAACTGACCGCACAGTAGAACCTTAAACCTTTCTTCTGGCTCATCAGCCAAATCCAAAATATGGGGCCGCGGACTCTGAGCAGCCATGGACTAAATGGGCAGTGGAAAAGTTATAAGTGGACGATTTTCAGCAACGGCCGCACTGTACGTCTGTTGAGCTATAGTATTTTGTTTTAATTATAGTTATACGACACAAATTTTAGTTGCTAGTGTGTATGGTTAAGCATGGCGGTTTTTGTTTATCTTTTGAGTCTATGGTTGTATGTAGGAGCCTTATATTGTAGTGTAGTATAATAAACCAGCAAGAACATGAATGAACACAAAACAACCTCCTTGCACTGAAAACCATAAGAAATAGCAATATATGCACTGGCAATTAGAGCTGGCTTTGAATAAATCGATGAGACTTTGGACACAGGACGGGACTATGACTACGCAAAGATGTTGGCGATGTATGAACACACAAAGATATCTACAATCCCCGCTAAGCGCAACCTTTGCAACGACCTAGTGGCACGCACTGAGCTATCGATTCACCCATAAAGACTTGCCATTTATCTATCCCACTTACGCAACCATCTAATTTATATTTTCACGGCTGGGGCTGCGGGAACTGCTGCGGCCGCCTTTGCGGCGACAGCAGATTGAGCACCGACAGCTAGCAAGTTGTTGAAACCAGGGGTATTCTGTAGATACCGGGCGTTGAATCCAATAACAGATCGCACCTTTTTGAAAGTCGCAGTCTGTATTTTCAACTTTTGTGTCGAGACAAGCCACATTACGCCTTCGCTGCAGGGCGGGGTAGTCAAGGACCCAGAGTAGCTACATCACCACTGGTCAGCATAACCTCGGACGGCAGGGGATGCTTTGTTATCTCAGGGATCTTGCCACATAGACATCAAGCTCAATCATTTGCTTACCTCTGGAATGATCCGGCGAGAAGAATATTGACGAGTTCAGACATGACGAGCGGCTTAGTCTCGACTACCGATCCGGGGCTAGCTATCTTAGCCACCTGGGAAAAGACGGTTTCCAGAAGGGCGGACGAAGTACCAGCCGCCGTAGCAAGTGATGATGGAGGAAGCTGAACAATGGCGCTGAGGTGGCTGTCCGCCCGCGGTGCGGAAGCGGCCTCGCCGCGGCGGGAGTGTGGATGGCGGCCAAGGTCGCGCTTCGCCGCCGGCGTTATTACTTGAGCGGTAGCAGCATCGGCAGCGGCGGCGACGACGCCGTTGTCGAGGTCCACAAAGACACCGATGACAGCGATATCCTTTTCTGGGGTCTGGAATACCATATGCATTTCCACTAGGTCATGTCAGCTTTCTTCTCATTACTAGTCCATCGGATGCGGTCATACTGGCAAGGCTAGTTCCATTGTCCAGATGCTCGCTCGGCAAATGGAAGTGAAACTGCTTGAAGTCGTACGTCTTCCCACCAACTTCAAGTGTTCCACCCTTGCTAACCACCTCGACGGTTGTACCCAAGTTTTCGAACTCAGTCCCCTCTGGCATATCGTTGATCTGAAGCTTTACATCGGCAGCGGTAAGCGTCTTAAAAACGCCATCAACCATGTTTATGGGCGATTGGTTCTTTCCAGTTGCGCACAAGACGTTCGCGGAGCCTCCATCGAGTGCAGCCCAGTTTAATGGCCCCTAGTTAATGAATGTTTGATTAGTAACGGTATTTTGTCTGGAAATGTATCCAAACAATGGTAGAGCATAATCGAGCAAGGTAAGCTAGTGGTGGACGGGGATATCGTACAATGGCACCCGTATACCCAAAGGTCTTAACTTCAATAGGGGCTCCCTCCGCGCGGGGGGATAGATGGGTTCCGTACGCGCATGACGCCGATGCATGCGTCACAGACGCGGCGACAATCAATATCCGGGCAATAAATATTGACATTGCAAGATCTGCTTACTTCGACAACTATAGATGATATGTAAAGAATGGAAATATATGCCCAAAAAAAATCAAAGTGCTTGAAAACGTGATATAAATGAAGAGTAAACAAGTAGCAGGGGCAACGATGATATAGTCTAGACTGAATTATTGAAAAATGTCAAGAAGAAATATACTCAAGAAGAAATATACTCAAGAAGGAATATACTCAAGAAGGAATATACTCAAGAAGAAATATACTCGTTGAGGCGGCCATCCCGTCATATTTGTGTGCCATCGCTGCCGCGGCACTGGCCGAACGACTTTGCGTCTACCTCATGGAATCTCATAGTCATACCAGATTATTGCGTGGCTTTCGGTATCGTCGCCAGCAGATCTAAAAAAAATGAGGCCAAGGAATTTGTGACACTCTTAAAACTGGAAGCTATGCCAAGGTGTAGCATCATGTATTGCGCCTCGTGATAAGCCTTCCGCAAAAGACTTTGGCCCGACGTCGGTCAATAGCCAAGTCAAACATACCAGGCACTCACTGATAAGACCCGTGATGGCCATCTCATTCGCCTATTCTCTGACTAAATACACTTATCCACAGAAATCAATTATCGTGGGAGAGCGATTCCTAGCATTAGGCGTTTTAGGGGGTAACATTGGGCGTTTTAGGGGGTAATTCGCCAAGCTATCCCTTTCTTGGCTCTCACATAGCGCTTACCCACTTCCCGTTCGTCGATAGGTGGCTGGAACAAATGTCCAAGACATCAATCAAAGTGGCCCTTACGGCATGATTGGCAGAAGCTTGTGTATGACTTGGAAAACAAGACGCCCCATTGTTTTGAATCAATTATGGTCGCTTTGGATGCGTGTTCCTAGCATCTGCAGATAGTGGTCGAAAGCTCGGGCCAGGTGCCCCAAGCTCGCCTAATTTCCCTCGAACTCAGAAGGCCATTTTATGCAGACGTGGCCGGTTCCCTCTTGCAATACAGATTATCTCGTTAAGTCGATACACGATTAGTCAATTTTCTAGATAACTCGATAACTTTCTTCGGATCCTTCCATTCATCATACAAATCACGATACACACGATATTGATTCCCTTTTCCTGATTATCGACTTAAACTAATTACTAAACTACTCTTAGAATATTTTCAAAATGCCTTTGAAAAAGCTCTATTCTATGACTCTCGAACAGCGAAAAGCCCTCGGAACCTATACAAAAGGCCACTATACAGTGGTTCCTTAAGTAATACAATCATTGACTTAGCTAATCTACAGTCTTATAATCCCTTAGCTCTCGATTTTCAGACCTTGATGATACTCCTAATACTCTAGAAACAAACAGCTCTAAAGCTTAGCGTCGCTGCGCTATTGCCTAGCCTAAATTAGAAGCTGCTCTTTACTAGCAGAGGCTTATTAAAGAGCGTAGCAGCATTACAACTATAGAAATCTTACAATCAAAGGTGAAGATTATCTAGAATTAGCTACTATAATACTATGGACTACCTACACTAGAATTTAGCTACAGATAGATCATAAAGTTTTAACAATAGCATAATATATTATATCAAACTCTACATAGCAAAGCTGGATCTATTAGTGTTACTGTAGAAGAACAAATGAAGGCTATACAAACTATTATAGGGGAATTTTTAGAGGACAATATTTACAACATAGATGAGACTGGGCTTTACTAGAGGATGAGCCATTTACAGGGCTTTATAACACAATTAATTATAGGACAGAAGAAGGATAAAGCATGCATATTAGTAGCCATTTGTGTTAATGCTGCTAGAACAGATCAACTTCCTCTTTGGTTTATTAGAAAGGCTAAAAAGCCTCAAGCTTTACAACACGTTAATGTAGTGGCAATAGGTAGGGTTTAGAGGTGGAATAAGAAGGCTTAGATGAATCAATTTGTTATGGCAGATTGGCTAAATGCTTTCTATACTCATATTGGTACGTCACGTTCTATACTGCTTACAATGGATAACTTCTCAGCCCATATCGCTACAGTGGAATCGACGCCTCCTCCTCTAAACATATGAATTATCTAGCTTCCTCTAAATGCAACCAGTTGATATCAACCTCTTGATCAAGGTATTATAGCCTCTTTAAAAAGCTATCATCGTCAGAGTTCATGCTCAAATCTTTTAGCAACAACCTAGATCTAATCAAAACAATGACAATACACTTGCAATTTGCTAGCTTATTTAATCATGGCATCACGACATTACAAATACAACTATCTATAATTGCTTTCAAAAAATCATGATTCTTTTATGCCTAATACAGCTTCCTATACACCTACTTCCTGTTCTAAATGACTTATATACTCAACAAGCTGGTCATATATTAGACACTACAGACCTTTTGAACTTTTTGAATATAGCGGAGGAGGGAATACAAGAGGTGGAGGGAGGCTTAGATGAGGACATAATTACACAGGAGGCGATGGCTCTATATATACAGGTTTCCGATGCTTAAGATGATGATGATGAGGAGCCCTAGCATCCTATGCTTACTACACAGAACACTATACAAGCCCTCTAAGTTCTGATTGAGTTCTTAGAACCTAAAAATAGTGGCATCATGGATCCAGCATCATTTTTGTGCTCAAGCATGTAGAGAGGCAATTAGTAGCTAAATAGGCCAATGACTTTGTTTAAGGCACGTTAGATAGATGGATGGTTTAGCTAAGGGGCTACTTCAGGTCTACTTCAGGTCACTTTCTAACTCGATATTACTATAAGTCGATATAATACTATAGAGGGTTTTAACAACCTAACCATCAGGCTTTTAACCAAGGCCAGAAGACAAAGGTGCTAAGCCACTATATGGCAGCCTAGGCTTCATTAGCGATAGTAATTGTAGACCCTAGTAGATAGTATTAGCTAGGTCTAAAGTAGTAATATAAGAATACTGTAATACCCCCTAAGTGCCTTTTAGTGATGGATTTGACCGTGTATATGTGATTTAACCGGAATATACAGTTGACATATTCTACTGATTTTTTGGTCACAAGTAGTACTTACCCCTAATGCACCCCCTATATAAAAATACATAATAATTGCATTTTTGTAAAGTACCTCTCTGTTCCATATTAACTAAACCCAAATTGTCATATTGTGAATAGCCTTAAATACCATGCTAGAAATGCCAATTTGTAGGCAGTAGTTACTAGTAGCTATAGTAGCTACTAGTATGCTCCTTTTACAGCTACATCGTCACTGCTAGCAGCTTCATATTAGGGTATTATAGCATCTATACTAGCTGCCACTTAAGTATGAGTATAAGATGTGGAGTCTTGATGTATAGGGTTAGGATTCGCCTGTTAAGGTGAAGCATTATCTATGGTAAGGTAGAACCTTTTATTATGTACTATACTAATCTATAGGGCTTTGTAGATGGCACATTTCAAGGATTCTCACATCCTTCTAGCCCTAACGAAGCCTAGTGTGTAGTATATAATGGCCATAAGCATTAGCACAGCTAGCAATAGCAAGCCGTTGTAATGCTAGATGGCCTTGCATCATCTATTTACAGTCCATTTCTTAGAACCACAAATGATTAGATTATGTGGCAAGAGTCTAGCTGTGAAGCTAGACTTGAGCAGATTATAGATGGCAAGGAAGAGTCTAAATTGCTCTTCCTATACAGTGATCTGTAATGGTGGGTGCACCAGATGTGAGAATCTAGCCACCCAAGGAAGGGATGATTTTACTAAGACAACACACTGTCTTAGGAAACAGAGCCAAAGGTTGTAGCTTAGACTATTCCACAATGCAGCAATCAGGTGTATGATGTAGTGGAGTGGTTTAGACAAGTTGTAACAAATTTTGAGTCTGAGAACTCAGGGATAAGGGATAAGTCAGAGGTTAGCACCTCACTGACTTTTCAGAAACAAGGAGTAACAAGATCAATGCTTGGAAGCTTGGAAAAGACGTGGAAGTATGTAATAGTCGATTTACTGTATTGTCTGCTTGCCCTTTCTTAAGGAAAGGGCAATCCTATTTATGCTAAAGGAGTGTAGTTCTCTAATTTTCCAAGACTTTCCATGACTAACCAGGCTTGGTAACTGTAGTCGACGTAAGAGAATCCCATAGAACCATCTCCCAGGTTCCTAGCCTATAGGAAGTGAAAGGAGGTCCAAGGTCAGAGTACCCCTATAGACAGATTATGTCATAACTTAACCAATCTTCTGGGTAACTAAGGAGCGATGACGTGTAATGAATCATAGAGGGTTGTAGAAGCTTTTGGAGCTATCGTTCATGTTCCTAGGCCTCTAGTTGATAGAGATATGTCATGTGTAGTATTAGCCCAGTAACTAAGGAGTGATGTCATGTAATGAATCATAGAGGGTTGTAGAGATATGCTATGTGGTCATATCAGCCCAGTAACTAAGGAGCAATGACTTGTAATGAATCATAGAGGGTTGTAGCAATTGTTGAGTAGTATTGCTCTTGTTGTTGGTGTGACAAGCCAAAATATGTATAGTGACTTGTAGGTTTGAGGAGGAGATTTCTAAGTTTGCTCTTGAGTTTGATAGCAAACTGAGTGCAACGAATGTCAGTATGACATGCCGGTCTATATTACCTTGAGTATATCGGGCTTTTAAAAGCTCAACTAATGACTCAATACTAGTCGACGTCCGGTCTTCACCCTGTATATTCAAACGCTCGTCTAGGATCATTTGATTATAGGAAGGGGAAGATATTCGCAGGCACTTCTTGCAGCTTCTTCCTTGACTGACTGACTGGCCACGAGTGGAATAAGTGTTTGATAAACTGGCGTTGAGGTTTCAAAAGGAGGCGAGTTGATAGAGCTGATGTCCTCACAGTTATCACTTTGTAGCTCTTCGTCGTCGTCTACGTCAAAGCCTGAGAGCTCCCGCGCTCTTTGGCCAATAGACTTATCACGACTTTTTGGAGGATTCCTCTGGTATTTCCTCTTTGCCGCAAGGGCTACAGAGAGTGAGTCCCGGATATCCTGCGCCCGCTGTGACAAAGTGAGAACAGTATTTGCTGCCTCACTTCGCTCCTTATTAAGTCGCTCCTCCTCACCAACAACGTCAATCCAGTTATCAATCTAAACAGTCAATTCGCTCTCGCTGTCTGTCTGACCAGTCCCAAGACTGTCAAGGTATGCCCTCCTCCTTTCAGTTTCCCGGCATAATACTCGGTGAAGGCTCTTATGCTGCTTGCCGGTTTCCTTCGCAAAGTCCTCTCGAAGATGGGACCAAAACCCAGTCTTGCTACCTGGTCGATACGCTTCAGCATTTGATTTGCAAGCCGGAATAGGACCAGCACTTCAGCCTTCATCAAAGGGGCCATCTTAGTCAGAGAGCCTTGAGGATTGCAGCTTTCTATACGCTGCTGGGTTGAGAGCTGCGATACTTCTGGTGTTTCGGCTTCGATTTGCCCCTCAATCGTAGGCTGGATAGGCAGAGCAGGGCTTGCTCTGCCATCTTCTTCAAAGGTAGAGTATTGGCGATGTCTTTGGGGTAAGGATTGGGGCTCATAAGCCAGGAATTCGAGCAGCTTCGAGGCCATTATCACTTATATAGAGCGACGTATGTAGATACTGCTATACTACTGTATTCGCCTTACAATTACATGACGTCTATCCAAGGTAATTACTAACTTATATTCTAACTACAATAGGAATCTGGCTGGCTGTTAGCCTTGAACTGATAACTGTCTGACGCTGACAGTCTTACTTCCTATTTAGGAAATAGTGGGGTTCATGGTGAGCAGGGTTTGTACAGGGTTTATACAGGGTTCCTGGTCAAATTTTCTACACTAACTACATACAGGACTGTCGAATGAGGTGTCTAACACCTGCTGAATCGCTCTAATGGAGTCACAGAGGAAACCGAAGGCGGCAGCAGGGTATATAAATCTTTTATTAAAGCTCAGGGTATATGAATCTTTACAGGAGTGGTGCAGGGTATATAGATCTTTTGCCCTTAATTATATTACTAATCTATACTATATACAGTAATTCAAAGCTGGCCACAGCTGAACTGAAATCTGTCCAGCCGTAACCAGCTTTTGGCACTCAATTGCCAAAAGTGGACGATTCTTCGTCGTTCAGAACAGGGGGTGGTAGGGGGGCGGCAGGGTTAAATCACCAGCAGCTTGGCACCTTCCTTTTCAGGCATTGGTCAAGCTGATGGTCAGGTTGCTAAAACCCTCTAATACTACTGCAACAAGACCACGCACAAGTGCAAGGATTCTGTGCGTATTCTCAAGTATTTGGATACTCTGGCAATGAGCTTGTAGCAATGACTTGACGAACTATAATAGCCTGGCCGTTTGTAGCAGAGCAGATTAAAGTAGGATCCTTATTAAATTGGTAATATATGAAGAATGTATTCGTTTGGAATGTATTAGGATATATTAAGAATGTATTCATTTGGAATGTATTAGGATATATTAAGAATGTATTCATTTGGAATTTGTTAGGATATATTAAGAATGTATTCATTTGGAATGTATTAGGAATATATTACCTATTAATGCTTAATACATTAGATGCATTTACTTTGATCGCATAAATGAATAAAAGACGTTTGAGCTAAAGACGAGTTTCCACTTATACCCTCTGAGCTCGGAAAAATTACTAAGCGTCGGAAAATTAAAAGTGGAGAACATCGGAAACTCTGAGCTAACCCCAGCACCCACCCTGTCTCACTACTGCGCTTCACTTGTGGAATTACCGTTTCCAAAATTTAAATTAAATTACAGTATCCAGTGTCGTACCAGCGTTGTTCTTTTGCCTAATAACGACCCGCTAAAACAAGGCCTCTTCATGAATTTACCGGCCCTGACAGATCAAATGCAGAGGCGGCACTTAGCTAAGGAGCTCCTTAATATCCTCAAGGCGCTGTACCTTCTTTTCCTCGTCGCTCATCATGCCTAGAGAGCTCGCACTGTACGCAACAGGTCAGCCTTTCGACCTCCAGTCTTTCATTCACCGCCGCCCCCCAGACCAAGGAATAAGAAAGTCGAAAACAGCAAAAAGAAACATACAACAGTAGGTATTCGCTGGTGGTCACCCACCCAACTACTAATAATATACAGATTTCAAGCTTGTGTAACGGCAGGGCGGACGGGATGCCCAATTCTCTTGAATCTATGGTCGTATGTGGAAGATGTGGACGTATCCATGCTTTTGAGGTGGATGGGCTTGCGCAGGATAGGGATAACAGGCTGGACTTCCCACATCCTTACCCCCACCACATCACAAGCCCAGCTCTAACCCACAGAAATGCGTAATGAAATAAAAAGAAACGGTAAAACTCACATAAACTTCTTCCGCTCTTGTATCCGCAACATCCGTTCCTCCACGCTCTCTCGCACGATAAACCGCTTCACCTCCACCTCTCCCGTTTGCCCCATTCTATGAACGCGATCAATGGCCTGCGCCTCAACCGCATAACTCCACCAAGGATCCATCATATAGACCCTCCTCGCCATGGTGAGGTTGAGCCCTACTCCTGCAGCCCGAAGACTAAGTAGTATGACGGTGAATCCCTTTGCATCCCGGAAACTTTTCAGCACGGCTGCCCGTGCTTTCATCGCCATCGTCCCATCCAGCCGCAAGAAGGCCACTCCAGCACGCGTCAGCGCCGGCTCAATCAGAGACAGGAACGACGTGAACTGGCTGAATATAACGCTTTTCGTGCCTGGGTGCTCGCGTCGCAGGGCCTTGAGTTGACTGATCAGCGCCGTAATCTTAGCGCTCGAGTTTGAACCAAGGCGCTGCAATGCAATCCGTGGCTTCGCGTCTGGAGCATCGGGATCGGCGTCATGCTTGACCACCTCGAAGATGTCACGCGTATTGAGCGGTTCGCGGCAATTGAAGCAGCGTGGTGCGTCGCCTTTGTCGACCTGATGCGAGATATAGTCCAATAAACACTTCTTGCATGCCGAGTGCCAGCATCCAGTGACGGTTTGTTCTATCATTGGCTCTTCGCTGCAAATAGGGCATTCATTGTCCGCCTCGTCTCTGATCTGCTCGAGGACGTGCGCACCAAAAGCGTTGGCATCTGCGCTGTCATCTGTCTCAGCTGTGAAGCGCTCGATGAGGCTTTGTAAGTCCATATCGTCACCAAGTCCGCTCACGGCATCAGCAGCTTCGTCAGCTTCCAATTCATCCGCAACAATGTTTTGCTTCCGGACTAGGATTGGGTGGCAGCAAGTCTGGCGGAGCCTGAGGATCTGTGCGAAAATTGACGTGTACGCTTTCATTACTGTACCTGCCTCAACGTTGGCTGCAAAGGCGCGTTTCGCACGAAAGAATATATGCTCGTAGACTTCGCGCTCGGCTTCAGATAACTCTACATCCACAATCTCTATCGTCTTCGGCGGCAGGGGAACGAGGGCCTCACCACTTGGTGTCTTCATATCTTTCGTTCTGCGCAGCACAAGCGGTTCAAGGACCGTCTGCACAACGTCAAGTGCACGCATAAAGTCTTTGCTCTCAAATGGCACAGTGATGAATGTTTTCCAGAAGGAAAAATTGCTCCATGGCTCAACTCTTAAGAACCTGACCAACGAAAAGAGGTCTTCGAGGCGGTTGACAATCGGCGTGCCAGTCAGGACCCATCGATGCTCTGCCTCAATTTCGTAGCATGCTCTTGCAGTTTTCGATTGTCGATTCTTGATGTGGTGCGCTTCATCAATGATGACTCTGAAGAAGTTCAACGAAAATAGGCCACCATGAGTGCCTCTGTCGCCATTCCTTGCTGCCACCTGGTTGAACTCTGATAAGACTACACCATAACTCGTGATGATAACATTTGGCGCAGAGGCAGCATTGGTTGCGCAGCATAGGCTCTGTAAATTTACAGCCTTCTCATTGCCATAGTATACAACACTCTTCAATGTTCCTTCCTTGGACGCATTCTCAGCTTCGCTTTGCCATTGTGCCAAAAGCGACATAGGGGCAACAACGAGAGTGGTGCATGGGGCTCGCTCGACGGAAGAGAATGTTTGCAGCCTAGGCAAATGGTTAACAGAGGTTATCGTAGGCTCTCCATCTTGTAATTTCATCGCGACATCAGATTTATGAGAGTGGATGAGACTCATCATCTCAATCGTCTTTCCCAAGCCCATCTCATCTGCCAAAATCCCTCCCAAGCAATGCTGTTCTTGCATAGGGAATTCGACCGACAGTTCGCCAGAGTAGGGATTGAGATAGAAATTATCTATGCCCTCTATCGATGGCAATTCTTGGTCGTCCATATCCTTCACGGGCCATACATATTCTTCCCACAAAGGATGCATAGACACCTCCTTTTTCTCTGCCTTTTCATCTTTTTCCTTTGCCATCATCCAGTGCAGCGCTTGCTTCTGGTATGGCCTTAGGTCCATCGCAAATGTATCCGCCGGCTCCGCTTCAGGGGCACTGAAGTCAAAAGATTGGGCCTTCCTGTACAAGGTATCCAGCTGGTCCTGTTCTAATTCCTTGCCTTCCTCGGTATCCGATGATGGCGAAGAGCTAGGTTCCCCTCCTGACTTCTCTTTTTTTGCCGCCTCCTTTTCATATTGCTCGGCTACCTCAGCAGCTTGAAGAAGGCCTTGACGCTTGTGCTTTGTAGTGGTCTCGCTCGTTCTTGAAGGGAGTAGATTCACCTCCACTAAGAGCTTAACAAGTGCAACTTGCCGTAAGCGCAGGTCCTTTTCCTCGGAAGTCTCCTTTTCCTCAAATAGACCGGTCGTTCTATTATCTGGTGGTTTGAATCCAGTGTTATCGAATGCAGATTTTAGTAGCATGCAACGCAGCTGTAAGAAAATGGTATCATTTGTCCGCACCCTATCCGGGGCATAAACGCAGACCCCCTCGAAGCTGCATACTTGTTGGTCAATTAGAGTCGAGACCCAATTTGCCGTCTCTCTCGAAAGCCTTCCAACCTCCTCGCCCCTAGAATTGGTAAATCGTACAATAACATCTATTCTCCGGGCAGCAGCACCCTTTGGCTTTGTTGTAACTTGCAATGGAGCGATTTTGTTCTTGCCTATCTTAACTGGCGGAAGCTTTGGTGGCTGAATTTTCTGGCGCTCGATCCGCACTCTCTCCCCATGCTTAATAAGGGCTGTGCCACTTCTGGTAGCCCATCCCTCTACGCCAAAAGCGCCTATATACCGGGACTCAGGTATCCGTCGAAGATCAGTCGGGCGCGGGGTTTGTTTCGAGCTTCGCCCAACATTGGGCACTTCTGGTTTCACAGGGTTTATCGTCAAGGGCTGTGAAGCAGTGGCCCGCGGAGGTGAAGCCACTGCTACTGTGGGGCCTTTCCATGAGCCATCAAAGTACATATTTATCGCCCTTTCCATATTATCCCCAGACGCTTGCTTCAGTAATCGCCAGGTGTCGGGATCAATCTTATCGCCTATGACGAGCTCGAATGTTTCCTGGTCGGAGGCCGGTGCGTTCTCGGAGCTCGTATTAAGTTGCACGTTGGTTTGCGCATCGCGGTCGTCTAAAACTGCTGCTCTGGGGCTTCCATATCCTGCTTCAGAGGCAGTGGTATCAACCTCGGTAGGTCCTGGGGTTGCTGGGCTGGATGCGTCGACCTCGAGCTCTTCAGGCTTATCTGTGAAGAACCTTCTCTTCTTCGCCGGTCGTCCATCTAAATCAAAGGAGTGCATTATCCAAACAACCGTGTAACGCCTCTTCCTAAGTATTGGGTCATTGAAATTGTGGTTTGATCGTTGGGTTCGACGCGCGAGTCGCGTAAATTGCTAATCGCATCCAACTTGGAGCGGGTTGGCTAGAATGTGGTTTTCGAAATCGCCATACCAGCTCTATAATTTTGACTGATTCAAGTTCTTGGGAAAATCGCAATCGAGTATATCAAGCGGATTTATCCGTATAAAAGTGTCGGCGACATCAATCATTGTTGTAGAACAACGAGACTCTTTCAAGTGTGTCACGTGTCTGCGTGTGTAATTCGTGTAAAGCCGTAGACAAGGTGGGAAAGGCGAGTTTGCTCTGTTTGCTATATTTTAATGAAAGTATGTCAACGGTCCATGGGCATCAAATCCCCAGCTCCTTAACCAATAACCATGTACTCTACTCGAGCCAGTATTAGGCTGAGATATACGGCCTGGCAGGTTTCAACAGCGAAATGCGCATATGCGACAACGTCATATAGCTCGCCGGCGCCAAATGCTTCCCGGTTGACAGACCAGGACATCAGCTCAGCGCGAAGCTACTGCTCAACACTTGTCCAGTACCTACCCTGTCCCCAACTTGCGCTCGCCCATTTGAGCTAATGTGCATTCAGAAAATTTGACTCTCCTTCATATACATTACAGACGTTCATCCAGGCCCCAACTCGCGATGCCTACCTCGCAATCCGTGCCCTTAACATTGAGCTCTCGCGCATTCCCGACCTGGTCTCCAACCCAACAATTGGCGCTCTGCGCATGCAATTCTGGCGCGACAACATAACTCGAACGTTTGCAAATACACCGCCGAAAGAGCCGGTGGCTATTCTCCTCCACCATGCACTCCAGTCACTCAAGGAGCGCCACCCGAATGCGCCCACATCGAGTTTAAAGGCCTGGTTTATGAAGGTCATCAACGCCCGCGAGCAGTACATGGATAATCGCCCATACCCGACCATGGATGCGCTGGAGAACTATGCCGAGGCTACCTATTCAACTCTGATGTACTTAACGCTGGGATTCCTTCCACTTCATTCTATGTCAATAGACCATTTGGCCAGCCACATTGGTAAAGCGGCGGGGATATCAGCTGTACTTCGCGGGATGCCTCTCATTGCTTTTCCGCCTCCACCTAATCACCATAGAAATAGCGGGGCATTAGCAGGATCTTTAGGGGGCGAAGGTGGTGCTCGCCAAGGAGCAGTTCTGCTTCCGCTTGATGTCATGGCAGATACAAATACGAAGCAGGAGGACGTTTTACGTCAAGGTGCCAATGCGCCAGGCCTCAAGGATGCTGTATTTCAGGTCGCAACTCGGGCAAATGACCATCTAATAACAGCGAGGAATATGCTACAGCGTCTTCAGGAGGGGAAAGACATGGGCCACGACTTTGAGCATGAAGGAGAGGAAGGACACGACTATGGAATGCAAGGCCGAGACTTGAATGAACCGCAAAACTTTGCGGCTGAAGAACTTGCCAGAGGACTCGGCGTGCTCATGCCGGCAGTGTCGACAAGGCTGTGGCTGGAGAAGCTTGAGAAAGCGGATTTTGATATTTTCGGGGAGGAGGTCAGGGGACGGTCCTTGAGTCTACCTTGGAGTGCGTACTGGGCGTATAAGAGGACGCAGCTATAGATAATATGTATTATATGCGCCATATTCTTGTAATTATATGCAATGACTGATTGATTTTGAATCTAAATGAATCTCAACTCCCAGAACTGTTGTAGGAAGGACCGAGATATTGCGACCGCGCGCAAATCGTGTGGTGTCTTGCAACGGGCAGGAAAACTCGACAGCAGGAAAACTAGACAATAGAGTACAGTATATAGAATAAAAATAGATGAATTGAATTACTACACTATCTACGGAGCCTATGTATTATTTATGTTACATTCGGAGGGCCTGCCCAAACCCCCCGAGTAGCAGAAGGGTTTGGGCCTGAATGCGCTGGAGTTCCGAGGCAAATCGGCTCACGCCAAGCACCAATTGGGGAGCCTGACGATAACAGTGGGAAAAGCTGCCAATCCATAGCACGCTTTATACGCTAAACCTAGGTAGATTCAGCGGTGGCAGAAAAGTGTCCACGCAGGTCGCCATCGTCTTCACATTTCGATGCGACTTCTTGAACTACGCGTTAGCCATATTCACTTTCGCTCCAACTCTACCTCGATATTCTCGAAAGTCCCTGCTACAAATTCCTTTGCTATCGCAATCTGCTTACAGCCATGCCGAAAGACGACCTTATGGAGCATGCCTCCTCCACCGTCGATTTCTATTCCCTTCTTGGCATCGAATTCGAGTCATCATCCTCAGACATCCGCCGAGCATACCGAAAAACAGCCTTGAAATACCATCCCGATAAACTCGGTGCCGCCTTTGACCCCGAGAAATTCCATCTCCTCCAGGTTGCGAACGATGTGCTGAGCGACCCGGCCGCGAAAGCAGCTTACGACAATGCGCGCAGTGCGAGATTGCAGAAGGTGAGGCAGGAACAGCTGTTTGAGGGGCGGAGGAGGCAGATGAAGGAGGAGTTGGAGGCGAGAGAGAAGGGTGGCGTGGGAGCTGGGACGTCGGTTGGTGGGAAGAGACCGAGGGAGGACGAAGATGAGATGGGCACAGAGATTCGCCGCCTGGCGGAGGAGGGCAAGAGGAGGAGGAGAGAGATGGAAGGGAAGATACGGGCGCAAGGTGGATCTGCGCCATCGTTTGCTGAACCTTCCGTGTCGACGTCTCCACCTACACGGCCAGCCGATACCTCGAAATCTGCCGAACCGCCAAAACCAGAGCCAGCACAAACAGCAGCAGAGGAAGCTCAAGAGGAAGATGAAGTCGCCCGACTCGAGCGCCGCATTCGAGAAATTGCCGAAGCCAAAGAGAAGCGCAAGGCTGACAAGCGGGCGCGAAAAAGTGGCGTTTACGTCCCTGCTGATACCCCATCTGCGTCTCCTGCGGGTGACTGGAAGGCGAGGTTGAAGGAGAAAGGCATCCATGACCAGAAGGACACAAGTACACCAGTGAAAAGACCCGATTTGAACGGTCTTAAAGCGGGCGAGAAACCGCTATCCTCGCCGAAGTTTTCATTCTCCCCCAAACCAAGGGTAGTCCCACAGGCGAAGGATGAGTTCGCGGCGACGATGGACCGCCTGAAGGATGCTGAAAAGAAGAGATTGGAGGAGGAGATTCGGCGGAAGGAGGCTGACAGTCCTTTGTAGAGACTCCCTGTACATATTTGCATTTCAGCGTTGGCGTTTCGGGCTAGCATTTATATTTATGATACCATGTGTTATATGCAGATTGGACCATGCAGAAAGCGAATCAAAGACGAGATTCATATATACTATATCGTATACTCCTATTCGTACATTGCCCAGTCTCTCATCAAGCTTCGAGCACTTAAACGTACAAGCCTACCGCAGCCAATCTTAATGTACAGCAGCCCTTCTACTTCGACAGATGCCACGCAGGCACAAATGCCTTAACCTTCACCAAGTTCTCCGCTCCATCCCCAGTCTTCCATTCGAATTTGAACTCATCCCCTTCCTTGTACCCCGCCCCTTCACCCTGCATTGCATTCGTCATAATCTCCAGCCGGCACAGTGCCAATCCCACGTTGCCAACTCCCTTTAACCACTTCCCAGCGCTTCGTCCCCTCTTCTCAAAGCGCCCAATTTGTGTCTCCGCAGGCGGCGCCGCAATCTCCACCTCCGGCTTATACTCCAGAGTCTGCGGTTCGTCCTCTTTAGCACCATAGAGCTGAACAGGCAAGATACGCTTCCGCACCACCCCAGTATGGTGTGTGCGAATTGTCAGTTCCTGGCCCACATAGCAGCCCTTGCGGTAGTCAATGCCGGACATGTAATCGATGTTGCTTTCCTGCGGCAGAGCAGATTCACGCAAGATCTCATCCTGGCCCTCCGCAACGCCCTTCAGGTACCGCCAGATCGTGTAGCTCATCTCATCTGTCTCCACCAGCCCCTCCGTCTCTTCTGCTGGTGGCTTGGAGCCGTCAAGAAGCAAGAGTCGCTTGCCCATCTCCGGGGCCCGGGTGTCGACGCACTCAATGTGACCAGCTGGGGCTGGGACGGTCTCAGTGGGGATAGTGTGTGGCGTCCACCCCATCCCAACCTCCTTTGACTTGTCCTCTTTCCACAAACTCCAGGTCTGCATCTCGTCTTCAGGTAACAACCTAATATCGAATTTCGCCCTCAGCCTAAACCGCTTCAAGTGTTTATACAGCGTCTCCGCCCCTTGCGCATCAACCTCCACGATCCAATTCTCCCCTCCACTCCCATCATACTTCCCCTTCAGCAGATTATTCGAATCGGGGTAGATGAAGACATCATTCAGAATGCGGCCTGGCGCATTGAGGAAAGCGGCGTAGAACCCGCTCGTGCGCGGCGTCGACGGCGCGATGTTGGCGGTTATGACGCCCTGGAGGAAGTGTGGCGCGTCGGGGCCGGAGAGCGAGATCAGGCGCCGCGAGGGGAGGAGGGTGTAGCTCGATTGCGGAGGAGGTGGGGGGTTTGCATTGTGGCGGGGGCTGGTGGAGAAGAGGGCACGTCGGGATTGGAGGCAGGAGGTGCAGATGTATGGATTGGCGAGTTTGCGGGTGGGGGACTGAAGCTGTAATAGCAGGCGGGTGGAGAGTGGACGCTTCATTGTGGTATGGCGGGTTGGGAGTTGCTGTCACAGAGAAGAAGCCGCAAGAGCTGCGTCCGGTTAAGGTTCGTCATGGCGGAATGCACGAAGGTTTTTGTATTGTGGGGTAGCTTCATTACGGTAGTTGCCCCAAATGCCGGTTCACGACAAGAATCCATGATCAGTTCCGAGGTACAACTATAATATATAATATCGTTGCGTTCGTACTTTTAGTAACCGCAAAGTTGTCATAATGATCATAATGAGCAATCAAAACACCCTTTTAATGATGATCCAAACAATCGTACGGCATGAGACGAAGCGGGGAAGAAGATGAGATGAGCAGTGACGAGAAGACGAGACGGTGACGACAAAACACGGTGAGACGGTAAGCTTTCTTACCGCTATCCTAATTCACGTTACCATCTGCCACATTCTCTCGTCACCGCCGCCCTGTTTTTCATTACCATTAGACCCAATCCCTCGGCGTGACTATAGACTCTACGTTGTGGTGGAGCAGCCATGATTGGGACAAACAAAGGCGGGAAATGAAGTCTTCGACAAATTGTATTTCGGATGGAAACTGCTTCAACTTTCATCCCTTACATAGGAGTTTATAAGTGACCGATGCATGCTTCTTTGAATGTATTCACATCTACTCCGAACTCAACGCAACCTGCAATAACTATCACTCTGATCCCAATATCCCCCTTCTAATGCCTAAACCCATCACTATATAACAGCTATCGCTTAACAACCACCGAAGTCTCATATCTATCATCTAAAGCCCTCCTTTGGCAATAGTATCAAGATAGCCCAGTAGGAATCCCTTATCCGTTGGGGACATAGGCGCCTGGTTGCTGGTCCTTCTGGCCCCCCTCGCTCCAGTATTCTCTCCACCAGAAGCAAAAGGCCTCTCGGCACCAAGCTTCTGCTGCTCGGCGGGTCCCGGTGGCGCTCGTTCTGGCAATTTCTTGAACAGCGAAAGTAGAGCCTGCTTGTGCCCGGGAGGAGGCGTAGGTTGGGCCGCATGCTGCGAATCGATAGTTGGCAACACTGGTGGTGATACTCTAGTCGGGCTGATACCAGAAAGCTCTGCGGGCATTGGAGGCATTGGAGGGCCTTGTGCTGGTCGCTTCAAGATCTGAGGCGCAAAGGGTTTCGGTGCTTGTTGTGGTGCCTCAACATCAGCCTGGCGCTTCGGAGTGCCTCCCGCTTTCCTCGCTCCCTTGCCATTGGCCGCTGGTTGTCGATGCTGCTGAGGCTGCTGGGCCTGCTGAGCTTGCGAAGGCTGCCGCGGCTGAGGAGTCGACGGTTTCGAACCTGACTGGGCAGGGCGTGATAGGATAGCAGTCGGCCTAAATGGCTGCTGTTGCTCTGGTGCGCGAGGCTGAACCTCAGGTCTACCGTCAGGCTTTGGCCTAGCAAAAGCTAAGTTGCCATCAGGATGCGGTCGACGGGCCCTCGTAATGGAAGCAGGGGATACTGCAGGCCGAGTATCCATTGCCGTTAGCATTGGAGGAACCTGAGGAGGCTCTGCAGAAATTGGTTTTGCCATACGAGCAGCAGTGGCCGTAGGGGTCTTAAATAGACTTAGAAGTGCTGATTTATGCATGTCGGCTGGCGGCGATCCGACGAGCATGCTGCGGGAGTCTTGCTGTGGCGGTGGCCTTTGCTCGTAGCTTGCTACAGGGCGGTTGACATTTGGTTGCTCTTGCAAAAGGTGCTCGCTTGGAAGCTCTTGAAGTTGTGTAGTAGGTGTTACGTGCCCCTGAGTGTATCTCGATAGTGGATGACCGTTTGAAACTTTGCTGTCTGGCACCACCCTATCTTGACCACGAAACGCGTTCAAGAGGGCCAAGGAGTGGCTGGTCAATTGAGGTGGCGTCGGTTTGGGTGGCGACATTACAGGTTCGTGTACGTTTGGTAGATCCGGTTGCATTGGAGGAGAGAATTGAGATGGGCGCTGCTGAGGAATCTGTAGCATATTCTGTTGACTAGCCTGCTGCATAAACTGAGGTATCGGACCGTGGCCCTGGCGACCAGTAAATACGCCTTGATGGACTTGTGGCGGGAGTGGTTGTGGATGTTGCAAGAACTGCGGGTGGCGTCCAAACTGAGGCTGTACTTGTAGTCCAGGAAATTGAGCACCCATAAAGTAAGCAGGATCAGCAGCATAACTTGCATTCCCTTGCATCGCAGGATGTTGTTGGCCAGCGCTAGGTGCTGGGTTCCCAATTGCCCCGATCGCCTGAGGGTTGGCCATACGCATACCAGACATTGGGTTGGATAACTGATGATGCTGAGCAGGGTAATTATAATTCTGTTGTTGTTCGATTTGCATCCTGTTGTCCAAAGCAATGGAGGCTCCATTGTATGGCTGAGGATTTGACTCCTGTGGGTTCATTGGGTACTGCTGCTGCGGATTCCGCTGCGTTGGAACTGAATTGTAAGAAAAGTCTGCCGGGCCACGAGGTACTTGAGTTGGAGCTTGTTGAGGTGGAGCTTGTTGTGCTTTGCCTTGGGGCTTTCCACGTAGTATGGCAAGCAGGGCGTCACCGGTGTTCCCTGCTGGGTATTGGGGAGCGCTGCCAGGGTTTGGCTGCAGGCCCTGCGTCGCAGGCTGTATCTTCAATAGTCTATGAAGAGCTGCCGTAGCTCCTTCCATAGTATTCAACTCGGGGGCCGATGCTCCATGAACATTTGAAATTGGCATTTCAAAGCCCTCGATTGCGCTTCTAAAGCCCTCTTCCTCAGTCTGACCCTCATCTGCATATTGAGACAAATACTGATTGCTTGTAGCACGCTCAGAGTCTTTCTTCTTCTGCTGCTGAACCCATTTCTTCAGTGGCACTAAGAATGGTGCTACCATATAGAATTTATTCGCGTTCTTTGCAACCTCGGCGTCATTCCCTGTTTGGTGATTTTTCTTCCTGAAAGCAGGGAGATCTGATAATCGGTACCACTCAATCTTGCTGATTTCTTTTCTTGTTCTTGGTTCGAAATGAGTGTCCATAGGGACATCTCTGAAGACGTACAGCCTGATATGCTGCTCGCGCATAGGGATATCGATATATTTCACTTCTTCTGACTCCGGGACCAGGCCAGCAGCCCTGATGTCGTAGCCAGTCTCTTCGTATACCTCACGCACAGCACAATCAAGATCATCTTCATCCTTGTTGATCTTTCCTCTGGGAAAGCTCCAATTCGCTCCTTTTTTCCAGCCCTTGACAAGCACGACGGCGTCTAGCGCTTGGTTCAGCATTATCGCACCTCGAACAGGCACGCGGGTCTTGTATAGGAGGAATTCTTCAAAGGCTCGCATGTGATTGTCAATCGAAAATGCGGATAGTAGGGGACAATGTTGGAATATCCTGAGGCAGAAGCTGCGGAGGGACATGGATGGGAGAGACGGATCCAACGGCCGGATGAAGTCTTCGTAAAACCATTGTGCCTCTTCGACTTGGAAACATATCCTCGCTACTGAGGAGAGATCCTCCTCTGGTAAGTTGATAATAAATCGAACACATAAATCATCGAGCCCTGTTCCAGCATCGTCTTGTCAGCCCTTGTCGCGTCCATGACAGCGGGTATTTCCAGTTCACTGGTCTTTCATCCAGTACTCACAGTCTTCTAGCTGCATTTTGGAGTCTGTCATCTAGGCTGCACTGTGCTAGCATATCCACGACTCGAAAGGACTTTGGGGTGTTTCTTGAGGATAATAATATCCAGAGCAGGCGGATCCGTGAAGTGCCAAGGTGTCGCGGCTAGGAAACACGTCGGTCGATATCACTTGCAGAACCAGTAACTCAGAGTTGCGTGGTATCCCAGATCAGAGGTTAGGCTCAGAAACTGTTGGAAATAACGGTTCAGATAATGTGCTTATATCATGGTAGGTGTATCTTCAATGACGATGTTTTGCCATCTTTGTCTTTGCACCAACTGGCGCTGTGGCGGTGCAGACTTGTGGCGCAGGTGTGGCGCAGCCGTCTAAGCTTAAACAACATGCACTTGCTCATATTAGTACTAGCGTTCTTTGTACCTCTGCCCTGTCACTGACGTGGAGGGGCTGGGGCATGTGGTGGCTGTTGGGTCGCCGCCAAAATCAAGATAAACGCGACGACAACCCCTTCATGCGCCAGCAGAAACTGTACATATACGCATTGGTGTTTGCTATATATACTTGAATCTGGCCGACGTTATTTGCTTCTTTTAGTCCTCATTTCTAGCCATACGCGGGCTGATCATTCTAATCCGTCCCTGGAACAACATATATTTACTTCAGAAGGTCACCCTGTGTGATATTGGATTCCAACAACCACGACGCTGGCTACCAATAGTCGCACTTAATCCGCAAAGGACTCAGCAAGACCAGGTGCTGTGTTGAAAGCTGATTGACCCACCGCCGTTTTACGGCCAAAAATAACACACAAAGCGCCTCCCGAAACAGACACAACTCGCCGTAGACCTATCGATCAAAGAAAGCCAAATTCGACGGCGACACCGTCCGCCACAAGAGACTCAATAAATCTCACGTCTCCCGCTCCAGTTTTATCGACTATCGATAACCATCACCAACATGACTTCGCTGCTGGCCAAATATGTTAGCAAGAAATTCCTAGGGGAGTCGTTGCAGAATAATTTCGGAACAGAGGTTTGTCTCATACAAGAATTGACACTACGACGTACTAACTCTCTCTATAGGATCCTTATTTCGAATCTGTCCCCGCTACACGACTAAATGGCAGGCCCTCGAAGAAAATGAAGAAAGTCCGAAAGGCATTACCACCAGGCATATCTGAGCATGATGGGAAGATCCTGACGAAGGTCAAGCGCAGGGCATATAGGCTTGATATGAGCTTGTTCAACTGCTGTGGTATAAGGTTTGGCTGGAGCAGTGTCATTGGTATAATCCCAGGGTGAGTTACTATTTTCCGCCGTTTCCTGGGACACTTCTAACGTATTGCATTAGCTTTGGTGATGCGCTGGATGCATTCATGGCAATGATGGTATATCGGACATGCCAGCAGGTTGAGGGTGGCCTCCCTGCTGCTGTTCAGTCGCAGATGGTGTTTAACATCGTCATTGACTTCTTTATCGGTCTTGTGCCTGTTCTCGGCGATTTGGCAGATGGTAAGTTTTAGCAAGCCTTTGTTCCATTCCATCGCTAATAGAAGCGACAGCTGTTTTCCGCGCCAACACCAAAAACGCTGCTGTACTGGAGAAACATCTTCGTGCTAAGGGACAGGCCAGGCTCAAATCCCAGGGCGCCGCGTTGCCCACCGTCGACCCTAGCGATCCGGACGAATTCGACCGCCTGGTGGCCAGCGGTCCACCTCCAGTGTATACTGCAAACGAACCATCACAACAGCCTCCGATGCCTCAAACAGCTCCATCGGGAACTCAGCGTCAAAAACCTTCGGGCACAACTAATACGGCCTCAACAACAACCCAGAGTAGCGGCGGGTGGTTCGGCTTTGGAAAGAAAAGCAAGCAGCCGGACGTCGAGAGCGGCGCCGAACAACGGCATGGCGATACGCCACTCTCCAACTTGCCGTCCCGTCCTGCCAGAGAACCAAGCACGCGTCAGAAACCAGTTCGAACTCGGTAGGTGTTTGTAATGAGGTGCTTTAATTAATTTATAACTTTTGTAAAGACTCGGAGCTAGATACCACGGTAAAAATTATACAATTGAATAGAACAGCATTAAATGTCAGCATTGACTTTGACCCCGCTTCAATCTTAACACGGTAATGGGTGAAATATATGCTCCCATGTTTATAAACGAACTCGTTGGCTAGGCATCCAAAAGCCCCGTACGTAAATGAGTCACGAAGCTCCATTGCCAAGCTGATTGCTGAGCTTTACTAAGTTTACTAAGACGTGTTATGACTTAAGCCGGCACAAACGCGCGTGCATGGCTGTGGATAAAAGATCCATCTGTGGATATGGGTGACTGTTTCCTTGGACAGCTGCCTGCGCGTTGCCTGCGCGTTGCCAGGGTTAATCTTATCAGATCATCTAGCGTGAGGGGTCTCTGTCCACACAAATGCGACAACATGGGGCAGTTTCAGGAAATTCTTTCAGCTCGATCCAACAGAGGCCGGAAATACGGATCTGGAGGTGTACAGGTGGGGTTTTGATGTCTTACTGCTGTTAGGCTGTGTTGTAAAAGTGTCAGTGCGAATCCCAGCCTCTTCCCTTTAGAGTGCAAAACGCGTAAAGTCGCGTCACGTGAGGAAGAACGCGCTTCCAAGAAACAAACTAGGGTGCAGACGGGGACTACAAAGGACGCACTCTTCCCCTCCACCACCTTATTCTTCACGTCACCATCAACACAGCCAATTCCTCTTTACTCTCTCTCACTCTGTGCCAAAACTACCAGAACATCTACATTAACTGAATTGATCTCACTATCCTCAGACAACAATACAATGGCAACCCAAATCACGCCGTCGAAGAAGGTATGTAATCTCTTGCCACCGTCGCTGTCGTCGTGGGAATAGCTCCTAATGAATGATACAGACAGCGTCTTCCCTCGAGAACTTGAAGATGAACGACTCTCCAGCTAAGAAGCTTGACTTCGCTGCTGTTGGAAAGGAGAACCTCCCATTCGACACCCAAGCACCCGTCGATGCCGTCGTCGAGACCAAGAAGCCAATCGTGGCAGAGCCCGATTTGAGCTTGATCGCACCTACACTTAAACCAGAGGAAGCCGACGAGCCACTGCTTCAGTCAAACCCGAACAGATTCGTCCTGTTCCCAATCAAGTACCACGAGGTATGTGACCACGTCGCGTCATCGCGCGTCAGCACGGACGCGTAACGCGTAAAGTGGATTTTATACTGACAATTTACAATAGATCTGGCAGATGTACAAGAAGGCAGAAGCGTCTTTCTGGACGGCAGAGGAGATTGATCTCTCCAAGGACCTTCACGACTGGAACAACCGCCTCAATGACGATGAGCGTTACTTCATTTCCCACGTTCTCGCTTTCTTCGCCGCGTCAGACGGAATTGTCAACGAGAATCTCCTCGAGCGCTTCAGCAGCGAGGTCCAAATCCCAGAAGCCCGCTGCTTCTACGGTTTCCAAATCATGATAGAGAACATTCACGCCGAGACATACTCCCTCCTCATCGACACATACATCAAGGAACAAGCTCAACGCACATACCTCTTCAATGCCATCGAGACCATTCCTTGCATTAAGAAGAAGGCCGACTGGGCAGTTAGGTGGATCCAAGACAAGGATTCCACCTTCGCTCAGCGCCTCGTTGCCTTCGCCGCCGTTGAGGGTATCTTCTTCTCCGGCTCCTTCGCCTCCATTTTCTGGCTCAAGAAGCGTGGCCTCATGGCCGGCCTGACCTTCTCGAACGAGCTCATCTCCCGTGACGAGGGTCTCCACACTGACTTCGCCTGCCTCCTCTTCTCCCACCTTAGACACCGCCCAAGCAAGCAGGCCGTCCAAGACGTCATTACCGAGGCTGTCTCCATCGAGCAAGAGTTCTTGACTGAGGCACTTCCCTGTGCGCTGCTCGGCATGAACGCCAACTTGATGAAGCAATACATTGAGTTCGTCGCCGACAGGCTGCTACTCTCCCTCGGTAACGAGAAGTACTACAAGGCGACCAACCCATTCGACTTCATGGAGAACATCTCCCTGGCAGGAAAGACCAACTTCTTTGAGAAGCGTGTCGCCGACTACCAAAAGACTGGTGTCATGGCATCGACCACCAAGAAGCACGAGGATACCGCTGCACAGATCGAGTCGAAAGCAGAGAATGGTGGAGACTTCAACTTCGATGAAGACTTCTAGATGCTCCACATTCTTTGGTTCGTCTTTTATTATGTATTTATGCGAATGGTTCCATCGGCGTTGCTTTGCTTTAAATTAACCTGAAAGGTTGTACAACTTGGCATGGGTAGCTCTGTTGTGGTGGGTGGGTGTCTTGCACACATTTTTTCTTTCATATACCTGGCATAGAATGCTAGCGGGCTCGGCCGTTAATCATCGGGAGATCACTCTTCTCAATATGGAGTTTTGGGAGTTGTTTGTAACATGTGGATAGGATTGGAAAGGGGTACGGCAATGCCACGAAATGTGGTATGAAACAATAAGATAGGATTAAGTAGTTGAAGAAGTTATATCAAAACTACTTTCGTGGTTGCTTCTCATATAAATTGCTTGGCCGTGGTATGAATAGTCATATATTTGCTATAATGGTATCGAGGTCGAAGGGGTCAGTCAGATGTTCTCTGTAACATATTCCAGTTAGCTTTGATTGATACTTCAATCCTAGTATTCACGAGGATACTCGAGTTTTTCGGACCATAGTACATGATGTGGATGAAATCTTCACTTAGCTACTCCATATCAGCAATCCACTGAGAGAGAACCTTACCTAGGGCAATGAGTAAGAGAGTCTTTGCAGGAGACTTCTCTACAAGCATCCTGCGTCGATATAGTCTCTGTATGAACGTCTTTATTATGTTGTCATATTGTGAGCATGGTGTTAACTTTCAACTTCCTAATAGCTAACGGTCTGTATAGTCTTCCCTGGTCCTATACTATCAGCGACTACACATGCTGATATAAGCGGGTCCTTCTCGAATTTAGCGGGAGCATTGATTCTAGTTACTCTCCCTCGATTTCCGTCTCTCAATCTCTATGGCCATCTCCATCTTCTCACGTCCACCCTTTCCCACTTCTACTACAAACCCTCGTCAACAAACATGCCACAGACATCACATCCGTGCAATAGCACCGAGTATGCAACAGAAGATGATGAACACAGTTACGTCCAGCATATGGCGACAAAGGCTACCAATGCAGAAGGTGCCAATGGGGTGGGTGCTGGTTGCTGGCTGTCTTTAGCTTACCTAGCGTCTACGGACTGTTAGGACCAAGATTCCACCTACGTGCTCGTGCGTATTGTATGACGGTGACAGGGGAGTGGTGGTGATGGTGGTATTGGCAGCGGTGGTGAGAAAGGAAGTGGGGTGACAGGAAGTCATTACGACGGCGACAAAGGAGTGGCGGTAACAGTAGTGATCCTGAGAGTGGGCATCATTCCCGACAGCCGAGGTGGTTCGAAATCCGTGATTCTAATTGCTTTGCATGCTTCGACCTAATTGAATCGCTAGTTGCATTCTGATATTCAATTTCCCTATTGTGATAGGATTTCTCGAGCTCGTTAAACCAATTGCGGGATTCTTGGTTAAAGGCTTCGATGCCATGGCCCTCGTTTGCGGCTGCAGCCTGTCGCACATAGAGCGTTTGGATAGTGATCGGATTTTCGTATCCTTTGAGGGCACATCTCATGAAGCACGTTGAGAGATCTAGGCCTTTAGATATCTAGCTTCAGGTATCTGACCCATGATGAACTCCAATCCCATCCCACGCCTGCCATATTATAATCCACCATGGCTACCATCTTCCACAGCCCAACTTTTCAAACATCGCTTAACAGTATGCCCAAGACGCCTATAATGCCTCCCACCCACCATCTCCCACCCCATCCAGCTCCACCCCTCACTTCCTCCCCTTCTTCTTCCCCTTCTTCGCTCCACCCGGCTGCGCCCCAGCCTTCTCAGGCACTGGCGCCGCAGCTGCAGCAACCGCATCCCCCGCCCCCTCCATCTTAATATCCTCCTCCTTCAGCTCCGGCAAGCCCGCCATCTCGCGTCCAAGCCGGGATAGGGAGAGCACGAGACGTCCAACCTCTGCGGCTTTGTCGGTGCGGTATTTGAGGGTTGTGCCTGACGCCGGGTCGTAAGTTTTGAGTGTCAGGAAAGCCACGGGGGCAGGGGCGGCGGTTTCAGCGGTTGTGCGGCGCGTGGAGGGTTTGACGGTGTATTTTGTCGTTATGCGGGACTGTGTGAAGTGGTCAATTTGAGGCTTGCATAAGGGAGGTAGCAGCGGGGTTGTGCGAGACGGCTATAGGCATCGCGAGGAGGGACGTACGGTTGTGGGACGCGCCTGGAGGAGGAGAGCGGATTGAGTGAGCCACTCCTGGGCTGTGGGGAGGTACGGCATTTTGGATGTCGGCGAATCGAGGTCGCGAGGGAGGAATGACTTGCTCCTGCTGTGGTGTGGCGGGAGTGGGATGAGTTGTCCAGATAGGCGACCCCACGAAAGTGACAGGTTTGGAGAGCTGCTAGTACGGTGGCCGCTAGCGGATTGGACAGAGGAGTTGGTAAATTTCGATTATACAGGGCAAAATTGTAAGTTTACATATTAATTCCGATGGTATATACTCTAAACTCTATTATTAACATTTCCAATAACTTTTTGTGTTTCCCACGGTGCACAACGGCCAATGTAGGAATCTACCAAGCACCATGTACTTGTACCCGAGTACACGCGTAGAAAATGTAGTACAGTCAAACCCCTGTTATAACGATCCTGGATACAAGGATATTTTTGATATAGCGATATATTTTTCGGAACCAATTCTATTTCCACACAACTTACGATACTACGATAATCGTTACAGTTCCATCCGATTATCGTTATATCCAGTCTGACGTATTCTCAGGATCATGAGCCAGAGGCACAGTATTACATTAGAACAAAGGCGCGCCCTTCGTCGCTGGGCACATCGACAGCACCCAAAGCCTACACAGAAGCAATGCATCGAATGGTTCCTCCACGAATACAATCACAAACTTAGCCAGTCAACTGTTTCTGAATCCTTAAGTCTACGCTTCTCCCACCTCGACGAGAATAATACACCACAAGGCGTGCGACTTCAAGAAGGCTTCTGGCTGACTTAGAGAAGGTTCTGTTTGCATGGCAGCAGCGTATTGAAGCAAGAGGGGGATTTACAACTGGAGAGCTTCTGCAAACAAAGGCAAGAGATATCTGGCGCCAGTTTCCACAGCACTCTGGCAAGCCAGTCCCAGAGTTCAGCATTGGATGGCTTGAGGGATTTAAGAAGCGCTTTAAGATATCATTAAAAGTTCGACACGGAGAAGCCTTATCTATCCCAGCTTCTACAGAAGAGGAAATGAGAGCCTTACAAACTGTGGCAGGGGAATATCAAGAGGAGGATATCTACAACATGGACGAGAGTGGCCTTTATTGGAGGATGATGCTCTCTCGAGGCCTCTCATCACAACATCGGATCTCTCTTGTCTTTTGTGTCAATGCAACTGGCACAGATCGATTTCCAGTCTGGTTCATTGGCAAAGCTAAAACACCACGCGCTTTGCGATTTGTATCAGTTCATACAATGGGAGGGCAATGGCGGTGGAATAAGAAAGCTTGGATGAATACAACGATTATGACAGAGTGGCTTCAAGCTTTTTATCAGCATATTGGCACAACACGACAAGTTCTTCTTACAATGGACAACTTCTCTGCCCATTATACTGCAATTGAGCTTTGTCCTCCTCCATCAAATATTCGAATATGTTGGCTACCTGCTAATAGTACAAGTCGCTACCAGCCTCTTGATCAAGGGATTATTCAGAATTGCAAAGCTTACTACCGGTGACATTGGCTACAATATATCTTCAATCCTTCGACTCAAATGTAGATCCTCTGTCGTCAATGAATCTACACCTTGCAATCCGTTGGATCTTACGAAGCTGGAATAACGAAATTACAAATACTACAATCTACAATTGCTTTCGCAAATCAACACTTGTCTCTTCACCTATTTCACTTCCTACTCCAATTATGCCTCATGGAGTTACAGAGCTATATCAAAAGGTTATGGAAGCAGGAAATATACAAGACGTTATGTCAGTTGCAAATTTTCTTAACCCTGTTGACGAAGATGACAATGGAGAGGATGAGCAGAATGTAGGAGAAGATGAGGTTTTACAAGAAGTGCTACAAGAGCATTTAGGTTTACCGACTACTCAAAGTGATGAAGAAGATGATGATCAGCTTCCACAGCCTATGTACTCAATGGCTGATGCTAAACAAGCTCTTCATATATTGATTGGATTTGCTGAAAGCCAAGAATCTCTTTCTTCTGATTATTTACGGACACTTGAGTGGTTGGAATCAGCAATTGAGGGTATTCAGCAGGCATCATTAGTTCAGGGGACATTAGATACATGGATTACATAATATATTATATTTTGGTTACAGCGATATACTGGTTATAACGATAGTGAAATGGTGGACAGAATACATCGTTATAACAGGGGTTTGACTGTAATGCTCAACAATGGCTGAAATCTCAATACCACTACGTGCTGCAATTATTACCTTGCGTGTATACATGAACGCATCATATGGAGAGATTGAAAAGAAGCTTGAAATCTCAGCTGACTCTATTGCATATATATGGCACCAAACTGTTAAAAAGGCAGGGAATACTGAAATTCACAACCTTCTCCAATGTCATACTGACATTCGTTGCACTCAGTTTGCTATCAAACTCAAGAGCAAACTTAGAAATCTCCTCCTCAAACCTACAAGTCACTATACATATTTTGGCTTGTCACACCAACAACAAGAGCAATACTACTCAACAATTGCTACAACCCTCTATGATTCATTACACGTCTGTAAGGATGCCAAAGCCCTCAGTGATGGAAAGCATCGGAGTCGGGCAGGTTACGGTCACGTGGGGAGCATTAGGGTAGGTTATCCGAGTCGGACCCGTTTCGGGTACTTAAGGAAATTGACTCAACGGGGGTTCCTCTCTTCATCTTTTTTGTATCCTTCATAGTAGACCTATAGGATAGCATCCGTTTAGCCTCCGACTCGCACTCTCATATGCTATTACTGTGAGCTGGGTGCCCTGTGTCATTACATTATACAAAAAGATCACGCCTGCCGGGGACGGCCGTACTTAAATAATATCCCACACCGGAACGACTCAGGAGAACTACCGTTACACCATCGACTGTGACTCGGTGATGTTTCGGAGGAGAGACCTGACGACTTCAAATAGCCATGATTCCAGAGATCTCACGGACAGCCAGTGGATCAGGGTTTGATTCTTCAGAACAAGCTGGTAAAGTCGCCGACGCGTTGGCGCCAAATAGGATACGAGATCCTTAAGAACCCCCTCATAGCACAGAGGAAATTGTGGACAAGAGCGTTGATAGCTACGAGCTACCGGAAGTCAAGCTCTTTCGTATCGGTACCGATACACACCCGAGGCAATATGTCGAAAAAGCCGACATCAAACATACCCCAAGACAATGACGGTCAACTGCCCAGAATGACTACCAGACAAACCACCGCTGCAGCTACGACGTCTGTGCCATCCGAAGACATCCCGAGTCGAATGGCCCACCTCGAAGCACAGATACAGGAGGTCAAGGATCTACTAGTTATCCTGTCGGCATCCCAGACCAGAATCCCGTCCACACCGCCGGTGGACGCCCCATACCCACAGTAGAAGTTACGGAGCAACGAACGCCTCGTACACGAAACACCCCCGAGACAGTTCAATTGCCGCCTCTTCAGAACACTCGTTCTCCCTCGATTCCAGGGTCATCACGAATGCACACCGAGGACCCTCCGAATCGCTATAAGAAATCAACCATCTCTGAGAAAATCCTTCCTCTCAGCGATGGGGTAGAACATACCTTCTTACAATGGAGCGCTTCGATTCGGGATCGACTCGTAGTCAATGAGGACCACTACCTTACCGACGTCTCGAGAAGAGCGTTGATATGGGGAACTACGACCGGCCTGGCGAAGACCTACCTAGAGCCCCAATACCTGTCCGCTACGCATGGGTTCCGCAGTGCTGAGGAGATGATGGATCTACTAGGTTCATACTACCTCACAGGCAATGAGACGGAACAGGCCAGGAACCTCTTCGACGACCTGCAAATGGGAGAGAAAGGGCATGCTAGTGAAACCTTCCCAGAGTTCAAGGCTCGTTTCCAAAGTGCAGCTATCACAGGACAAGTCTCCGAGTCGGAATGGTTTCGGTACATGTGGAACAAGTTGACTCCTCAATTCCGCAGCCTGCGTCGCGATCATCAAAATCCAATGGAAGGGAGAATACCAGACCATGGTACGAGAACTTACCGCTTTCGACCAGGAACGGCGCCGGAACAACGAATTGAATCCTCTACCCGCTCTCGCAAGGATGTCCACACGTACCACGGATACGGCAAAGGCGTCATCAGCGTCGAAGCCGACTCAAGCCACATCCGCTCTGTTCACCCGAACCGCGTTCCTCCCCAAGCCAGCCATACCGGAACGTCTGAGAACCGCAGTCCCTGCGCCCTCAGGAAACTGTTTCAAGTGTGGCAAGCCTGGCCATTTCCAGGACAAATGCCCCCTTAACGCCACTATCAAGGAAATGGACCGTAATGACCCCCGAGGCAGAAGAACAATGGGAAGAAGCTGTGGAACTTCAATCGGATGCATCCCTCGAGGAAAATGACGAGGCCTAGGAGAAGGCTCCTTCCTAGGTCTACGCAAATGTGACCTGCGAGGACTAGACTTACGAGAACTCCTGGAGGCACCCAGTTCTTAGTCGACACGACCCTGAGTATGAATGGACTCGGGGTGCAAACTAAGTCCCTAGCAGACACAGGAGCAAACGGCTACCTCGTCATTAACAAGCCTTTTGCAATACGACTGTCGAAAGCACTTCAGAGCCCTATATGGAAACTACCCTACTCTGTACCCATACGTGGATTTCAGCGCAAAATCCAAGGCCACATATCGGAGTATATTCGGTTACACTTAACAGTCGAAGGACGCTGAATATATAACTGCCCCTTTGTACTCCTGGACCTCGGAGCACAAGATGTGATAATTGGGAAGAAGCTTTTCAGCCGCTTCTGAATACTACTCGATGTAACGCTGACTTCTAAACGATAGAAGACACAGAGGTTCTCTTGCGTAAAGGTTTACTTATCAGAGGAGGCAGGGGATCAGACACAAAGGCTTCAAGTAACACGTTACTAGTATATAACAAATACTGTATTGAGTTGAGCACGAAGCTCCTATCTAAGGAAATACTATCTACTTATATAGTGGCGTCGTGCCTAGTGGACTCTTGGGAACTCACTCGAGTCCTCGGAGTCCTGGACTCTTAGGACTCTTCTCATCATCCTGCGAGTCC